TTGCCTCCTTCATCGCCCCCCGAGTATGATCGGCCCACCAATCGTGTTTCGGTTCTGCCTCTACGCAACACCTTTGGCACATCATACACCTTGTTGAGCTTGCCGAATGCATCATGCCCATGTCAACCGCTCCGCCCGCATATACCGGCCGGCCTTGCTGAACTGCCCGGGGCTGATCAGGCTGCGGCTGACGACCAACTAGAGATGAACCCTCTAGGGTCTATTCATGACCTCAGCTACCTAGCAATCCGCTCGACCAGGTATTTGACAACTAAGCTGGGCTGACTGGGGCAGCCAAGTCCACATTCTTCTGAGTGATCACTACCCGCGCAAGCAGAGATGCTCCTTGCACCCCCGGCGCCCTCAGATAGCTCTAGTACCAAAGCAGAACCTGATTTGGAGATGCAGTGGTCTCCTTGAGGATGACCACGATACTGGCAGCATACCGGTCTTGTGGGGGCAAAGGTACCAGTGAGCTTGATGATGGACCGTTCTCCATCCCGCAGCCTGCTGCTCCAGCATCCGCCATGGCTCAATATCCTGCAGCCTAGGTTATACATATGTTCTATTGTAGCCTCCCGTCATTCAATGTGCACTTTGATGTATCGAACACGAACGAACGTGAGTTCTGAGGCTCTGTGGGCGCCATTCTGTTGCGGGGAGATCTCGGATCGGGGCGGATTTCGCATTGCACAAAATCATGATTTCGGTCGTACGAATCTCAGACGAAAACCAAGCCTCAAAGATCACAATAGTCTGAATCCCAAAATTTGCCAGATCTTGAGCTCCACAGTCTCATCCGTGCAGGTGTGTACTGGAAGATCGGCGTAACAAGATGCGCTCCCACACAAGAAAAGAAACGCGTCTTCGGCGTCAGCGACTCGTGTCTCAGCTGACTGACACGCATTTGCTTAGCGTTACGTCCTACTAAGTTATCAAGACGCGCGAGCTCCAAGTAATGCATAACACAGCCAGGCAAGCTTTGTTGTAACAAATCATGGCGATAACGTGGTATAGCAAGTATGCAGGATATCAGACGATGCAAGTATAGTGGCAGACAGTACAGTAATGCAGGCAGATGTGTACCAGTGGCGAGAAACCGAAGGAATGCATGTACATTAGGGCGTATCCACGAAAATCACACTGCCGTCTCCAGGACGACTGGCCAAAAAAAAGGGAAAAGGCGAAAGGAGGAATTACCAGTTCCACTCCTCGTCATCGTCGTCTGCAGACTTCGCAGGCTGACTCAGTGGAGGCACAGGTGTCGGGCTGACGACCTGTGGTACCATAACGGCGCCAAGGCCATGTTCGAGCTCTGGCTCGTCATCCATGAGAGACTCTGGAGCGGATGATAAAGAGGGGGATAGTGGCGAAGGCTTGCTCGGTGCGGGTGACGTCGGCGCCGGGGAAGCGAGCGCGCTGAAGAGTGATTGAGACATCTCAAAGAGGAGCGACGATCGCTTTTGTAGCTTTAGAGCTCTGTGCAGACAATAGATTAGATTCCGGAGGGGTGTATAAAGGCTATATCTACATACGTTTCTCCCTGCTGCATCTCCTCCCACTTCTTGCCCACGCTACCCATCCACCCCGAGTTATCCGATTGTGGCACAGCAGCATTTGAAGACAGTGACGTGTCGTGTGTTCGGCTATGTCGCCTTGTCGTCGTCGAAGGCTCGGACATAGGCATCACAGCTGATGATGACGGCCGTGGCTCTGCATCTTTGGACCGCCGCCGTAAAGTGGAGTTCGACGACCGCGATGAACGCAAGCCTACTGCTTCTGCCGGCACCTCCGGCTTTTCTTCCGAGATGGGCGAAGGGCGCGCACTGTCGCAGTCTTCCACGGGATCCTCGAGCGAGAGCGAAGACAGCAGTGACGACGCAGAAGACTGTGAGAGCCGTTTGCTGGGCGCCGAGCTCGATGAAGTGGTTGTGGTCGAGGCGGAGCTGATGCTCTGGTTCGCGGCGTGCTTGCTCGCCGCGGCCTTCTTCATCGCAGCCGTAGAAGCCAGAGACGCACGTGACACAGTTGCAATGCCAGACATCGGAAGAGCGGGCGGAGAGAACGCCGGAGGCGACGAAGGCTCAGAGGCAGAGAGGTCAAGACCCGCAGCAAGAAGGCGCACGCCCTCCTTGATAGCCGTACTGGCCGTAGGGATGATAGAGGACACCGGAAACGAGGGCGAGACTCCGTTGGCGTATGGTGAGCGGCCGGGGGTGAGCGGTGACGAGTATGCGCGATCCATGCCCCGGCTGACAATGCGCTCCCACTTGCGCTTCAGCTCCGCAAGTTCGGCTTCCTGCACGGCTAGCTGCGAGCGCAACTCGAGCAATTTGGACTCTTTCTGTGCGATGAATTGAAGGAGGTCGGCATGTCTATGAGAGCTCGTATGAGTGGGCGTGGAGAAAGATTTGCCAGGTACACGCACTTCTCAGCCAAGGTAAGCGGACCATAGTCCACTGGAGGACCTGGAGAGACGGGAGACGCGACGTCCCTCATCAATGACCCTAGACTCCTTCTGTCTCCCTTCGCACGACCTTCCACCGTCCATATGCCCATCGAGTTTGTTCTCCGGGGAGACACAACAGCCCGTGACAAGACAGTGGGTGAGCGCAGATCGACATGGTCGCTAGGAAAGTACGAGATGGATGATTGTCTCCGTGGGTTGGGTGACTCGAAGCCGCGAGCTGTCGGAGGCGGAGTCGAGAACCCGAATGATGAAGCCGACCGTGGAGACAGAATAGGAGAGGAGCTGGGAGAGAAATTGCTCTCAAGCAGCTGCAGCGGTCGTGGGCCGACAGTGGACGAAGAAACCACAGGCGAGCTTGAAGTCGCTTGTACAGCAGCAGACATGGTCTCGAACCGAGTAACAGGTGTAAGGACCGTATAGAACAGGATAGGAACTTATTAGACAGTAAGGAATGAAGGAAGCTGGACACAAAGGTCCTTCAGGCAGCAGAAGTTGTTGTCGGTAAGGAAAGGCGAAGAAGAATGCACAACCGGGTTCAAACTCAAGACCGGGGCTAGATTTACAGTGATGGTAACCAAATCTGGCAAGTCCCAACCCCAAGCGAATGAATGTTTACGCACGCAGAATATTTTATAGCGGGTAACGACTTGTGGAAGATTGAGCAGTATGGGTCCTCAGACAGACTCAGTGGTTCGCACAGGTTTATGTAGCAGAAAAGGTATAGAGCAGAAGCCGGGCATCTAACACAGTCTCTGGAGAGTACACAGTTTTCGTCTAGTGTTTTGACTCTTTCTCTGCCTCTGCAATGAAGTTCTTGATGCTGTCCATCCTGGTTAGTCACTATTGAGCCCTTAAAAGCGACATATCTGCAGGGCACGTACAACTGCTCTTCCTCGCTGACAAACGCGAAACAGGCATGAGCAAAACGGGCCGGAGAGACACGGACAGCCACGCACCTCGAGCTTGCGTCAATCTTTACGGCGTTCTTGACCTGCTCGATAGTCTGTTTGCCAGACGCAGGGACAGCCTTGTCCTTCTTGCTGCCTCCCATAGCCATAGAGACGATCAGGCCTGTCAGGCCGAGAGTGCCCAAAGCGAGGTACTCGTTCTTGATAGCACGACCAGCAATAACGCTGGAAGGAGATAGAGTCAGCATTGGAGGCAATGGAGCACGTAACGGGACTACGCACTAAGACATGGCGGATGAGCTTGCGCGATTCGTCCGACGTGCACAAGCAAGTGTTTACTCGGGGTTATCCGGGCTGAGCGGACGAGCTAAGGTTAGGGTTAACACTCAACGCTCTCGGATTTCGCCGGCCGGAGACTGCGCATTGGCGACTTAACGCCCGCCGTCGCGCTCTGTCGCTTGGGGCACAGTCCTCACTTTCTCGTGCCGCGCACGATGAGTCCCGCATGGACTCACACGAGCCTCCGCGGTGGAATACAGTACGTCGCTGACGCTTTGTCAGCTGAAGACGAGCTCTGACGAGTTGCCTCCGCAGTTACTTATATAGGTCAGCCGCGTACGGACGAGGGGCTGCCCTCCTCATCTTTTCTGACTTCTGTCAAACCTGACCGCGTCTTGTCTGACCTGTCAGTCTCCCGGGTTTTTGACGTCCACCTGCTTTTAACTGTCGGAGTTTAGAGTGGACGGAACGAGTAAAACAGGAGAGGGCAAGACTCTCCTTTCACACTATTTTTTGCAACAACCATGTTTGTCCTCGATGAAGACGCACTTCTTCGGCTTCTCATGTACCTGGCTATCCCTGGCCTGCTTGCAATGAGACAGGTAAACTGCTTCAACATGCATACTTGCGTAGAAGTCTGATCTCGCTTCATTCATTGACCTTCTATTCTCAGACCTGCAAGCGGATCAACATCTTGACTCGAAATACACAACTGTGGATTTATATCTATTGTCGCGACGTTCCAGTATCACACAAGGCATTTCATAAACCACTCTCCGCTATGTCTGGCTCCGAAGTAGAAATGCTCGTCTTACATCCCCTTCGGCTAGCCAACACCCTATATCACCTAAATTCACTAGGTATGAATACGCCGGAAGCTCTTTCAACCCCTCTTCACCAGGCAAGCTCCGTGACATGGGTCAAGCTCCTTCAAGGCCAGCTCCTCATTGTGGCCTCGTCGAACGCGCACCAGAGTACTCTTTCTCTCTGGTCTGTCCCGGCGTTATTTCAAGGCGGAAAGCAAGCAGCCGAGCTGACCAAGTGCTACCTTCCGGGCCCGGTATACCGCGGTGTGTTGGATCTGCAAGGCAACAACGCGGTGTTTGCCCTCGAGCTCCGATCCCGGTGAGACGCGATAAGATCGTCACCGTCTATGAACAGCTGACGTTATTCTAGCGTACCTTCCATTCAAGTAGTTTGCCTGCGCTACACGAGCCAGTCTGCCCCGACCTTTTATCGGAAAGCATACCTGGAGGGCGCAGCTGTCCTCCGAACCCTCCGCGGGCGCTTGATAGGATTCGGACTCTACGACGAGTTAAGTGTGCCTTGCGTCTGGAACTGGGAAGATGGTTACGTCAACCGGTTCTATCAAGAGCCCAGTTTGAAACTGAGTGACGTTTTTATGTGTCTTAGTCTCTACCTCACCGCTGTACAAGGGCGGTTGTGTCGCGATGGCTTTCCACAACAGCCTAGCTGCCGTTGTCGAACCTTACCGGCTTTCTCTATATACACTTCCATCGGACGACGCTCCACCGCTAGTCATCGACACAGAGATCATGTATTTCGACGACCGAGTCACGTCCGCCGCAATCGAATTTTTGATCGAGTGCTCGCCGTACACAGAATCAGTCACCACCCATATTGTTGTATGCAGTTCCTTCGGGCTGCACGTCTATGCTATCCCTCTCGAGACGGTGGGCGGACAATATCGTCCTGTCCACCGCTGGTCCACACCAGATGTCTCGACAGAGCGCTACCCGGTTATCCTCTCTCCGTCCTTTGGGCACAGGTGTCATTCTGTGTTGTATATCGCGGATAGCGAGCGGACGGAAGATGCCTACAGTCTAGTCACTACGTGGATTCCGACCGGCTGTGACTCCAGTGATGGCAACACGAACGGGGCGACATCTGCGATGTTGGCAGGCACAGACATGCCAGCGCTGTATTTAGCTGCGACATACGACTTCGACGACAGACTCGGACTGCTCGTCGTAGGGAACGGGTTTGGCGAACTCGCCTTGTACAGCTTTGGCGACGTTCCTCCATACACGCTGGCAGGTTGTCTTCAACGGAACGAGTTGATTTGCGGAGAGCGGGACGAGGAGCTTCCTAGGGTAAGTCGCTGTACGCCCCAAAGTATAGTCTGTCCATATGTGCTGAATTTTGTGCATGATAGGATTTCGTCTTTTGCAGTCTAGCTCTGCCATTCCCGTATAGTGGTGCGCGCTATCCGCCGATGGATGCGCTCAAGGAGCTCTTGGAATCATGGCGCGCGAATGTATCTGTCGAGCCCCCGGGATGGAGCTCTGACTGGTTTGCAGCCTCTGCTTCAGACACGGGCGATGACACTTATTGGCTCGAAATGTACCACCCGTTCAACTTCATCCCTTACCTCGGTCGCTTCCCGTATGAGGTTGAGCACACCTTCAACTACTTTGGCACGCCAACCCCCCTCATCTATCAAGACCACCGCATCAATGTTCGCGCGCTCTTCCGCGCTGGTGGGCTCCTGTTTATAGTGGTAGAAGAGCCGGAAGATGCGTTCATGGTTCTACCACCAGGAACGACCATCGAGGCAGCTGCGACAGTATTGGAAACAAAAGCCTTTCCATACCCGAACGTTTCAAAGTGTCTAGGTGGATACTACATCCAAGCGGAGGCCCTCATGAAATGGTACACCGAGCTGAAGACGTCTAAGAGGAACCGATGGGCGGAGCTGAAGAAAAGGGGAGGGGAGGTCGATCCGGATTGGCTGGTGGCGACGGTCGAGAACCGTTGCGTGTTCCCGACAGGTCGGAGATAAGACGTAACTGGAGCTGATAGGGAACGGCAAGAATTGTTCGATTGTGTGCCCCAACTTGACCTGTACATGTCTAGTTTGTCATTTAATGTATAATTATATTGCCTGATAACAAATCTATTCGCTCATTAACTTGAAGGGGTGGCCGGGATAAGACTGCCATGTCGTTGGCGGAGCCTACACGTCCGTCAGGTCTGTCAACCCATTGGGGAACAGCGCACCAAGCAGCTTGTTCTGTAGGCATACTGCGCCATACAGACGGCCTTGTTTTTGGAGGTAGGTGGTTGGCGGCAACTGTTGGGGCAGTGGTGAGCATTGGGACGCGTAGTCGTGTAGCCTATGCACCCATTGGCGTGTGGTTGAAGCATGCATAACAGATTTGACTGAGCTGCATTCAGCATAAGTCAGGCCTAGTGTACTGAGTTGGACGCAGCTAGAGTCAGCACAAGTCTATAATGAGAGCCAGAGGATGGTTCAAGATCAAGCGCGCACGTGTAGCGTGGACGAACAGAGGCGCCCGAAGACCGTAGTACCCATATGCATGACATGTATGAGTATCAGTGCATTGGACTGGAATGTCCTGCTGTATCATAAATCCGATTGTATACATTCATACAGTCATTTTGTTTTATATCACAAATCCGAAGCAGATGTTACCCTGCTTGCATGCCGTAGACGACCAGAGCGCCCGTAATTATAAAGTACCGATGCTACACAGCTGCACGGATGAGACTGTGGAGCTCAAGATCTGGCAAATTTTGGGATCCGGACTATCGTGATCTTTGAGGCTTGGTTTTCGTCTGAGATTCGTACGACCGAAATCATGATTTTGTGCAATGCGAAATCCGCCCCGATCCGAGATCTCCCCGCAACAGAATGGCGCCCACAGAGCCTCAGAGCTCACGTTCGTTCGTGTTCGATACATAAAAGTGCACATTGAATGACGGGAGACTACAATAGAACATATGTATAACCTAGGCTGCAGGATATTGAGCCATGGCGGATGCTGGAGCAGCAGCCTCACGATTCTTGGGTGTAGAGAATATGGTCAGATTCTCGGATGCGGAGTATCTTGAGACTTGTATGACATGGTCAGACAAAAACCAACGCTCAACGATCAGATTCTCGAATGACCGAAATCGCGCCCGCGTGATGTTCAATATCTCCCAGATACTGTCACCACAGTCTCATCCGTGCAGCTGTGTAGGGCGGACGGCAGCCACACAAAGTGGTTGCAGCGTCAGCATGGTGGGGTTCGCTGGTCTCCGTTCCTGACATTCCGGTCCCATCATTGCACTGAAGCCATATAACAAAACGCAGTTTGAATTGGCGTGCAGACACAGAAAAGAGGGAACGAGAGTGCACGGCTGAAAACAAGAGCTACGACACATTGCCTTTCATAGCAAGAGGGGAAATATTACATTATTATGCACACAGCAGACAGAGACGACGATTAATTTAATGCGTGTAGATTCATAAGAAGAAAACCCGAGAAGAGTCAAGGAGAAATAGAATATAGTGGCCGGTCAGCATTGAGCATGCGATGCGAGATGTGGTTGTGAGAGCCGCGGAAGGAAAGAAGAAGGCGGATTGGGGCGATAACGCGAAAGACCACCATTGATCGAGAAGGGCTACACGAAAACACAATGATCATGCGTTCATGAGGTGGAGCGGGAGATAATGGACTCTCCTTCGCAAAGGACAGGTAACAGGTCGGCTGGCGGACTGTGAGACATGCATGCGTGTCCAGGGTGTGAGGTTAAGCTGAAGGCTCAGTCTTTCGCTCGGGGGTCCATGCGCGGCTGGCATCTTTTCCTAACACGAAGACAACGTCGTCTTCCTCCTCATCTTCCTCCTCCTCGTATTCGTGAACTTCGTCGATAGCGGTTTCCTGGCCGCCGTCGACCGTCTGCAGCTGCACATGTACCCGGGCCGCAAGCGGGCCCCCACCTTCTTCGGCAGTTGAAGGATCACCGGGGGGCTGCGGGGGCGGATTTTGCAGGAGAAGCTGCTCGACATCGACCGGCGGAGGAGACACGTAGCCCGAGGCGCTCTCGCTCGAGTCGACGACGCTCAGCGCAGCATCAGGCAGCACATACCGCTCCCACTTATACGGGCGGACCCAGTCTCCCCTAACCTGGACTAATGAAGACAAGGTGAGCACATCCTTGACGAGCTGCGGGTCGTACGTCAGGGTTTTCACACGCGGGAAGGACGCGAGAAGCATGACGGTGATCCATCCACAAGAGTCCATCTGCGCGGATACATACTTAGTACTGTGGTCCATAGGTGAGCTGAACCGCTACTCACATGCTTTCGGAGATAAAGGTCTTGCGCCATATTGTCCTCACCCAGGTAGTACTCTAGTTGCCCCAGGAGATAGTATCTCGTCGGATCAAGCGGGAACGACAGCTTCGTCACCGGTGTTGGCACCGGCGCGGTCGGGGTAACGACTGGCACAGGCGGCAGGGGATATCCCGCGCCATATGGTGCGTACACGTCATATGCCGGTGGGACGAAGCCAGTAGGCGGAACAGGTGGGCCGTAGTACATAGCGGGATCTACAAGCGGCACACCGTATCCAATATTCTCCTCAGGGTCAACGTCGATATCTCGCGGAGGGTAGCGCGGATATGAGCCCCGTCCGCCGGTGTAGTCGCGGCCTCCACGACCTCCGCGACCATATCCACGGGTCGAGCCACGGCCCCGGCGTCCACCAAACCCTCGTCTGTAGCCTTCATCGTATGAGCGCGGCGCCGACCGCCCGCCATAGTACGGCCTGTCCTTGAATCCACGGTCTTCGCGAGGGACGTATCCCGTTTCAAATCGTCCCCTGCCAAAGCCATAGCCAAAGTCCCGCACACGAAGCTCATCGTCCCTAGTGTTCTCAGTCAGCGCCGGCACCGGATCGCTGTCTGCGTACAGAGCACCACCGGCAGATGCAGGTGCGGGAGTAGGCGGCAGACCTTCTGCATTAACAATGGAGCCCAGAGGCGAGAGTCGCACGCGCAGCGGGATGCTTTCTGGTGTAAGCTCTGAGGTACCAGCAGCGCCTGAGACTGGCTGCGCTGGCTGCACCAGCACGGCAGACTGCGACGAAGTGAGCTCTTCTTCGACGATCGCCTGGCTGGTGGTGCCGAACTCAATAGTGGGCCGAGAAGGTGGTGCCTCAATGACGCTCTGTTCATCTCCGTTTATAGCGCCTGGTGCAGTGCCTGCCGCCGGGCGAGCACTCGACATCCCCATATAAGAAGCTGGCGGTGGGATCTGATGAGGCCTTGTCGACTGCCCTGCCTCTCCTGGAACCGCCTCCCTACTCGCGGCTCCCGCCTGTACGGCGTGATCTGCCGTCCGCGGTGTGGCCTCCGCGTCGTTGCTAATGGTGAGCGACTTCAGACTTAGGCCAAGCGTCCCAGACTTGTCCATGTCATCTTGAGTGGCTTCACCGTCCTCGCCCAAAATCTCTCCATCAGCTCCTATGCTCCCGAAGCTCAACAATCTCTGTCTGCTCGACGGTTTCTGAGCTTCTCTCGATGCCTCTTTATCGCCCGTAATGCCGGCAGTGGGCTCAAAGCGTTCTTCGCCGGGTGATGGTCCAACTGACGTCGGCGGCGTTGCGTCTCGAGATCTCACCAGTGAGGACGAATGAGTGGTGGGGGATTGAGACTGAGACGAGACCGGGTAGGGCTGTCGAGGATCCTGGGGCACACCCCAGTACGTGTAAGGCTGTCCAGCTGGAGGAGGATACGGCGGATAGGATGGATAAGCGGCGTAAGTGGAGTTGTAGCCAGGTGGTATTGACCCAGGAGGAGGATACGGCGGGGTTGGGATACCATACGAGTTCGGTACGTGCGGCACCGGCGGATAATATGCTACCCCGTTTGCTGAGACTGGCTGAGGCATCTCAACCTGAGACGAATGTGCGGCCGGGGCTGAAGGAGGGACAGTCGGTCCAGTGTACGGACGAGGCGAATTCGCTCTCGAGGACCGCCTGCTGTGCATCCCTTCGTCAGGCATCCTACGAAGCCGGGTCGATGGATGCTTCGGGCTTGACTGTATGCTACCCGACCTGCTATGCGCTTCAGAATGCGATGCTGAGCCGAAAGCATTCTGGCCTCTTCCACTGGAGCCTTTGTTCCGCTCTTGCGATCCATGTGTGGACCGACTGGCATTTCCGGACGAGGACTCCCGCGCTCGTTGTTGAGACTGTGAACGACTATTGGCCGAAGACTGCGTAGTCCGCCGGGCGTCTGCAGCAGCTCGCAGCTCCTCTGCAGGGATAGGTACCCATTTGAGCTTTTCACCTGACGAACCGACATCAGCATCAGCTTGGAGTCCGAGGTCCACGTGTAAATATTTGGTTTGAACGACTGCAGTCATTCATAGTGGGAAAGGGGTGAAGTCCAGATGAAGCGTGTAGACGACACTATACTTACCTCGTCTCTGTCCACTCCCTTGCGCCTCCCTTTTATTCTTATCATCCTTCTCCACGCCTCCACTACTCCCCTGCGGGTTAGAAGCTGACGAAAGAGCCTTCCCTACTTCCGGCCAAGACGTCGCGTCTAGTCGAGGCAAGGGTACCGCGGTAGGTGCACGGTTCGGCTGTACGACCCAAGGGTCATCCTCCTCTTCCGTCGATGCGGGCAGATCAGCAGCGGCAGGCTTCGGCGGCAGTGTGCTGCTAGAAGCTTCTGGCTCCTTTTGGGCAAACGTCGACGCTGAGGCAGAGCTCGAGGCGGTGGAGGCGATGGAGGCAATGGGGGCAGTGGAGGCGGGGCTTGGGTCCTTCAAACTCAACACAGGGGCTTGCGAAGACGATTCTGAACTCTTAGTCGTTTGCTGAGAGTGAGCTCGAGCCATTTGTTCTTTACGTAAACTCCACACATTGACCATAGGCGGGGCAGCTGCCTTCTTCGCTGGAGTAGAAGACGGCCCCGCCACAGGGTCAACGGTGCTCGAGCTCGGCTGACCATTGATAGGCTTGTGCTCTGCCGCTTTTCGTGGGGTAACGGGAGAGGAGGACTGGCGGTCGGTTGGTGCGGGGGGAGCTACTTGCTGCAGCTTCGCAGGAGGTTCTGCGGCTGGGGGCTTCGCCGCCTTAGCAGCATTTGGTTGCGTAACGGCGCTTGCAGATGGGGACTGGCTGCCAGCCTGTGGACGCTGACTTGAGGTCGAGGGGGCAGCGTTTGCCCGCTGGGACTTCTTGACCCTGTCAGCGTAGGAGAGGGGCGGGGATTGCGCACTGTGTTGCACGTTCGACATCATGATGAACGGCGACCAAATCTATGCATGCAAAGCTGACAAAGTGGGAGATACACAAAGCTACGGACGCAGGTGAAGAATCCGCTGAGGATAGGCAGGCGCAATCGATTTGGTGCAGAGAGAATAGATAGATGGGGTTGCGAGAGAAGAGTAGGCGAAGAGAGGCAAGGACCTAAGGGATTTTATCCGCCGCCAGCTGCGATTTCTTTTCCACAGATCTGGATGGAAATGGCCTTGAGGACGAGGCAGGGACGGAGGCGGTGGACCAGGCCAAGCGGGCAGCCGGCAAAGATACAAATGTTTCTGACAAGTCGATTCAGACGCGTGAAAGCAATCTCGGTCCCGTCCCGCCGGCATCGGCCTCCCCGTCCATTCCTGGCTTGCTCCGCGGTGCTCACCGGCCGTCTCTCGGCGAGAAATCGCGGTAGGTCACGGTCACATGGAGAGTGACGGCCGGAGAGAAGCCGGCGCACTCGGAGGCGTAATACACCTTGTTACAGTTCTGTCTACCCTCGGACGATACTCATGGGATCCTCCACATAGCAATCCCGCTTCTGTCCTTATCTACCTTCTTCTTCACCTCCTCGCTTTCTCCACTCCTCACCGCGCCCGCGACAAGCAGGGAAAGCGCATCTTTCAAAGCGATCTTCTTCAAATCCACATCGGTCTCGGTGTCGCTCGCGGCGACAGACACGTCCAATTCGTTCTGCTGTGTGGACAGAACGACCCTACCCCAGTCCACACAGAGATCCAAGTACTCGAATATCGTCTTCACGATTCCACTAAAGCCCGTCGTGCCGTCGAGCGCCTCGCCGTCCTTCGGCAGGGTGACCTTCCACAGACGGTCCAAGGTGAGCGTATCCCACCCGAGAAGCGGCGCGCCGAGTTTGACAGGAATGACGATCGTCGGACAACCGTTGAGCAGCTGGTAATAGATGACGCTCTCTGACGGGCGCTGGCTGCTCGTCCAGATTCCGGCACGGTGTGGCTTAAGTCCGACCAGAAGGACGACCATCCGGCGAGGCTTTAATGTCGAAGGGAGAGGCGTGAGAGAGGGTACAGGGGAGGGCGTCCGCGAGCGGGAGAACATGTTCGAGAGGCTGAGGTCTTTAAAGTTGGGGATCGAAAGTGACGAGTATGATGATTTGGGTGTCCCTGAAGGGGTCGCAGGAGGAGCAGGAGCCAAGCTGATCACGAGAGCAGATTCAGCAAGTAAAGCCTGTCCAACCTGGTAGTCGCCTGCAACATATTAGATGCTTCTTCACCCAGCCGGACCATTGACTCGCCTGGAAGGAAAGGACCATGACAAAAAACCACGTCAGGTTTCATTGACCGGGGTATGATAGGTCTTCGTCCGCTTGCAAATAAGTAAGGCGAGAACCAGCCCTTCTGCGTAGATAAGTAGCCCATGACACTAGAAAAGAGCGAGGAATCCCTTCAAGCGCAAAGCATTTCAATCGGCTCAAGATCAAAAGGATACGATGGGCTCTTACCTGTGTAAGCTTCCACGATAGAACCCTAGCAGTGCATCCTCATGAATGTGCTTGTACTTTAACGTGATGAGGAGCTCTTTGATTCCCGTCGTCTGCAGCTTGTCCGAGTGTATGGGTAAAATGAAGTCGAAGGGCTTTTCAATTCCAAGGTGGTCCGCAAGCTCTGTTGTAAGTTCGGAACTGGCATGCATCCCGATCTCGACGAAGATGCCGTCGCCAGCCGTATCCATTATCGCGTCGGACACAGGACCCATCACCGGTGCTGCGACGGCGGCCATGCCGCCCTGCCACGATTGTCAGCACCCCAAAGGCGATCCAGGAAAAGGAAAGCGCGTACGGTGGCTGCAATAATGCTGTGTACAGCGAGGTCGCGGAAGCGTATACATGGCAGGAGCAGCGGCGAAGAGTCTCCCCACTATGGACCACTTATCAGTCGTTCCCGCCCAGCTGGTTCCCCACTAGTAGGATTAGAATGCACACCGGAGACAGACAGACGATATTTGTCCCAGAGGCTCTTAGGGTCTCCCAAGAGGACATCACAATCCGCCCAGTCATCGACTGTATCCAGCCCCACTCAATCCCCCGCCCTCGTAGATGCACGGAGCTCACGTACCCCAACTAGCTTCCGCACTATCCAAGGCGCGGCCTTTTCTTGTCCTTCATCTTGGACAGATGCAGGGTCGACGGGGCCGAGCACGGATACTTCTTGGGTCATTGTGCCGGGGCGATTATATATGCTGCAGTGCGCTCTGCGAGAGAAAGGCAGAGTACGTATGTGTATCTGGTCCTATATACCATGTGTCTGCTCTTTTATCTAGCAGCCCTTGGAGTTTGTAATCGAGAGGCGATGACAATACAGACCGATATCAAGGATCAAACCAGCTAGCAAATTTCGATAACATCGTTCAGGTCAAAGTTCTGCGCAAGCGTTTCCTCTTTGAAACAGCTAGCCCATCGCGCGCGGTCACTCGATACGGCATATGGCTCTTGCAGGGATCCACTCTATGTAATTCATACACCTTCTACAATCATATGGCTACACTCGGGCACGTTGAGGCCCCGACTACCACCACCACCCGCGGCCATCTCCATCTACGACGATAGTCATAAGACACATCGCCGGCGCCCGGACCTGACCATGCACACAGGAGCGTTGAAATCCTGTCTTCCCAGCGAAGGGGATGTTAAGATCCCGCCCATCAGTCATCGGTTAAAGGGCTCGTTGAGGCCGCTCCTGCACGTCGCGTACACGATGAAGTATTCGCCATTTAGTAGCGGTAGTGCGAGGGCTTGTATGGGCCGTTGACGGGCAGGTCGAGGTAAGAGGCCTGCTCCTTGCTGAGCGTCGTGAGTTTGACGTTGAGCGACCCGAGATGCGCCCGGGCAACCTCCTCATCGAGTTCTTTCGGGAGAATGTGCACGCCGAGGGGGAACTGCTTGGTGTTGGTCCAGAGCGCAATCTGCGCGAGGACCTGGTTGGTGAATGAGCACGACATGACCCACGAGGGGTGGCCGGTAGCGCAGCCCAGGTTGACGAGGCGGCCTTCAGCAAGGAGGATAATGTGGCGACCAGAGGGCATGGTGAGGCGGTCAACCTGAGGCTTGACGTTGACGATCTGCTTCGCGTTCTTCTTCAGCCAAGCGACATCGATCTCGACGTCGAAGTGGCCGATGTTGCAAACGATGGCGTCCTCGGGCATAACCTCGAAGTGCTTCGCGACGAGGATGTCCCGGTTACCGGTAGTGGTGACGAAGACGTTACCGCGAGGAGCGGCCTCCTCCATGGTGGTAACCTCGTAACCAGCCATCGCGGCCTGGAGAGCATTGATGGGGTCGATCTCGGTGATAATGACACGAGCACCGTAGGACCTCAGGGACTCCGCGCACTAAACATCTGTGAGTAAATAGCTTTCCAAGGATCTGCGTATGCACTTACACCCTTGCCGACATCGCCGAAACCAGCGACGACAGCGACCTTACCAGCAAGCATGACATCAGTAGCACGCTTGATACCGTCGACCAGCGACTCGCGGCAGCCGTAGAGGTTGTCGAACTTGGACTTGGTAACGGAATCGTTGACGTTGATAGCAGGAACCTTAAGCTTGCCATCACGGAACATCTTGTAGAGATGATGAACACCAGTGGTGGTCTCTTCCGAAAGACCACGGACGTCTAAGAGAACAGTTTAGGCAAAAAGCTTACAATGGCAAAAGACACGGAGCTCACTCTTCAAGTACTGAGGGTATTTCTCGTGGACGATAGTGGTGAGGTCACCACCGTCGTCGAGGATCATGTTGAGAGACTGGCCGTCGGGGAAAGCCGCCAGACTCTGCTCGATACACCACGTGTACTCCTCCTCGGTCTCGCCCTTCCAGGCAAAGACAGGGACGCCGGTGGCAGCGATACTGTGTGCAAGAATTTGGTGACATTTTCCCATGCTATTCGGCTGAGTTCACATACGCTGCTGCGGCATGGTCCTGAGTGGAAAAGATGTTCTGTTGCCCCAAAGCGCTGAGTTCCCCATCGATAAGGTGAAACTGATATGGGGGAGCTTACGCAGGAAGACCAGGTAACTTCAGCGCCCAGGGCGGTTAAAGTCTCGATGAGGACGGCGGTCTGGATGGTCCTGTGCGAGCGGTAAATAAAGCGCCGAATGATGATGCAGAAGGGGCTCACATGTGAAGGCATCCAGCGATGCGCGCGCCCTTGAGAGGCTTGGACTCGCCGTACTAGACACCCCACGATATCAATGCCCGTGAAAGTCGTCAAACCGACCTAGAAACATACCTTTTGGCGCATATTCATCAGTCCGGGCATCTCATTCTACAGGAAGTCGTTTTAGTCAACACGATTGTTACATCCTGGCTGCTGCTAGCTGTACCTCAGCGATCTCAATCTCCTTGCGACCGAAAGCAGCAAGAGAGACATCTGACAGAGATTGAGCTAGTCCCCAGCGAGAGATGGGGAATTTAACATACCAGCGACCTTGTAGACCATGTTGACTGCTTAGTGGAGGAGAAAGATGGTGGTAGGGAGCAGAGATGGGGAACGGGAGCCAAAAAGTCGTACGGCTTTTCAATGAGCACCCACGTGGGCTTAAAATACTAAGCTTAAAATACTAAGCAGCGAAATCAATCTAAGCAGGCGCCTGTCCTCCATGTCCGAAACGAGTGCGACCACCACGCCCGAGACGAAGAAATGTCGAATCGCTGAGCTTGTCCAGTACAGCTGTGAGAGAGAAGAGGACGCTTCAGGCAACTCGCAGTTTCATTGTTGGCCCATTCCGCGCGTGTTCAGAATGTAAGTCAGTCGCACGTAATTGAGCGGTGCGGAACCCTGTAACGTGGTTTTCATCGTGGTAGATGTACTGGGCGTCCTGCGGTCGAAATTACACGATATGTTGATGCGGATGTCACCACAGGGGAGATAAAACTTCCTCCGCAGGCTAGGTGAGCGCACTTTGCTCCGAGTTTGCGCGGAGTACGCGCTGAGCGGCGGCGGGCCTTGCTGGCGTTCTCATAGTCAGCAGTTACCGAAAGGGAAACCATGGAGAGACGTTCAGAGGTACCCACAAGGCGATCCGAAGGACGCATAGCATCCTTTGATAGACGTTCAGATGTACGTCCTAATCTCGCAGAAGACAATACGCGAGCGTTATCCCCCGCATGTTGCCCCCGCGATGCCCTCGAAGCTCCCCTGCGTTTGCAGGAGAGTGCAACTGGATTACGTTGCAGTAGGATGCAGGCCTGGTTAGCCGAGAGAATTGTAGCACGCGACGTGTCAGCTCCTCTACTGGCAGGTGAGTGTTGGTGTTCGTAGCGTAGCTTTGCGGTATTGATGAACAGGGCTGCGCTACTGTACGAGGGTGACGACCCGAAGATATCATGTCGTGCAGCGGACTGTACTTTTTTCCGCTTTCTACCCGTCAGCCGCCCCCGACAACCCGATAGCGGCCGTTGGTCGACTTTGTTCAGGACCTGTGTCGGGATAGCTACGAGGGTGGTTGTCTCGGCCTATGCGGCTCGCTGCGATTTGCTGACCCTTGCGATGCTCAGGACGACCGGCCAGTCCTGCCGTATGCTCTGTGGATAGCACGCACATCACCCTCAAGATCGAGCATCATAGTCGGCTCTGCCAACATGCTGTGCTCTTGGTTATGATGTCGTCTTCGTCATAGCCCTCCTGCTGGAGCACTGTCTATCCCCGCAATGCGTCGCCAATTGAGCGCAGTCGATCGAGACCCCTGCCGTTCTTATAACCCAAGCCCGCTTATCTTCAGAGCTGCCTCGGGATCAACCAGACATAATCTGTCAAATGGTCTCACTGTCTGGTGGGACATCTCAGTTTGCTTCGCAGTGCGTGCCCTGACAGATATGGCTGCATGATGTTCATCATAATCCCTGCGCTTTGTGAGGAGATACCTGTGTGCCTTTCTGTTTGCATGACGCTTTGCTAACTTCGGAGGTGTTCTGTATATATGTTCATCACCCAGTCTGGGCCTCTTGGCTATGTAGCTCTGCGTGCCATTGTAGACGCAGGCCGAGTTTTTAATGATTTGTGCGTCTCGCGATGACCAAGCAAGCACTGTCGCCGACCACAATCATGATCCTGTTTCAATTGAATGTTCTATCTTTCGCAGGCACGATGCAGTGACCATGAGGTAATGTGCAGTACGTTTCGCCCACATCCCGCCGCCGGTCGCACTCCCGAGGTCGTTACAAGGCCGTCAATATCTTTTTGCCTGAGAGTCGTCCAACGCCGTCGCGCGAATGGGAATTTGATCGCCGCAAGGCCCGCGGCAGAATCGAGTCCGGCTATGCGTCTTGATACTGGCCCCAGGTGTGACACCAAGCGCACCGCACAGCGCACCCCCACTCGTTGGGAACCGGTTGATCATGATCCCATTGCGGTGGGAGATGACTTGCGTCAGCGTTGCGACGGAAACGTCGAGACCGTCGAGGATGATGGCGGCTGCTCCGCCGATTGGAGCTGCGCAGCGTTCGCATGACGCCACGCGACCTCCGACGGGGCCAGGGCCAGGCATCTCATGGCACAGTGCCGATATCGCGTCTGCACGTGAACGGAGTTTGATCAGTGCTCGTTGCGCAAGGAGTGCCTGTGATCGTCCTTAGCGTGCGACGTTGAGATCATCAAATGAAAACCGCCCCCGTTGTCCGAAGTGACACCGGATGTCTGCGAGCTGCGGTTGTCCATGTTCCCCCGGGTGAGTGCTCTTCAGACAACACCCGCGAGATTTGCCAGACGATCCGTACTAAGGGCCACAGGTGAATTGGCAGGTGCTCTCACGCCCCCCTGGTTAATCTGTCAGAATGTTATCCCTTGCCTTACGGCACCGGGGTCTTTGCGACGCCCCCAGCGCATCAGAAGGCCTGACAAGTGATATTGCAACGGAACGAAGAGAAAGCAGTCGTCCAAGTTCTTGGGGTCTGGTCGCCTCTCAAGCCCCGAACATTTATCGCAAGTTCGCGGAAGGCTTGGTCGCTTATGGGATTTGATCCTTCACATGAACGACCTGTGCTATATCTACGCCCTCTGGATCAGTGGAGAATATGATACCGTCCCTCGCGACCCTTGATCAGCCTGCCTGTTGCCCAACATCCGTATCGTTAAGGTAGCCAACACACGACTCCGACTCGTGTTCTTGACCAGCACAACCACCTATGGCCTGCACCGCCATGGACGCTCCTGAGACATATAACGACTGCCATCCGCTGTCGCCAAGTTCCACCACTGTCAAGGTCGAGCCTGCCTCTCTCGATTCGGGGCATAGTCTGCTGCACTCCCCTCCCTCTTCTCGGTCGTCTTCCCGCGCCGCCAGATATTCCAATACGACGTCTTCTACACGCTACAAGCGAAAGTATTCGCAGATCTCACCCCGTGGCGAGTTGTCAATCATGACGCATCCTTACGGAAATTGGTCATCTACTGGCCTAAAAGACGAGCAGAACCCGAGCCATCGAGGATTCTCAGGTGGTGTACAACCATCTGGGTCCAACCGCAGAGGCGGAAGTGGAGACCAGCAGCACTTCTATAACCCAGAAAGCTACTCGCAAGCGGTAAGAGCGCGTTCCATGTTGTAGTCCGCCTGCCACTCACGCGCCGCAGCACGACCAGTACCGCAGTGCAAGTGCTAGACACCTCACTCAGGTCGGCACTTCGAGTCTTTCTGGGGCAATGGGAGAGCTCGGCCTATCAACGCACTCCCCTTCTAATGCTTCACCATCTGGTATGCCGTGGACGCCTTCCCCAACCTCTGGGTTGTCCGGAAGCTATGTCGTCGCGCCACCAGCGGAGGAGGCTTTCGGTCCTTACCTTGCTACTCCGAACACTTCCCTTCATTCAGACAGTCCGCCAAACGCACTCCTATCATATCAGCAGTATAATTCATCGTACTCGGGATCTGGGAGTCCTACACATGCCCTATCCTCATCGTATCCGGATCAATTCACGTATCATCAACAGCAGTCGCGTGCGGCAGCCATGCAGCCCCCAACCATTCTTCCATCGCCAGTCTCGACTTCACCGACCGGTATGGCAATGAACGCGTCGCCCTCGTCAATGACAACTCCGAGCATTTCCATGGGCCGCTCTCTACGCGGTTCGCAAGAACGCCCCGAGGACGAGGTGCGCGCTCTCCGAGCACGTTACGCGGAGCTGGAGCACAAGTACCACACAATGCGCTCCAAGGCGGAGCATCTCGAGAAAGAGCTACAGCGCGTCGCGTACGGGAGCAGTCCCAATGGTCTCCCAACGCCGTTCGCCTCGCCCTCCGACGAAGGCTGGCGGTCGCGCACAGAGACACGTGTCAAGCTCTTCTGCTCGCTGAACCGCGCGGGCAACGCTCTGTGCGCGTGGCACGACTCGCGCCGCGAGCGCCGCGCGTACCCGCCGCGCATGGCCCCGCCGAACACGCTCAACTGTGGCTGCACCTACGAGGAAGCGCTCTTCGAAGAGAGCCTCGCGCGCCATGGCGTGGGGAGCTACCACCCCGGCGAGAACGTGCGCATGGACCCTGCGCTTAGGAACCCGCTCCTCAAGCTGCTGCGAGAGCGGTACGGCTATCGTGATGGCGACTTCGAACGGGACCCAGTCACCGGTGAGTGGGTCGAAAGTGAGGGTCCCGCACGATGGGAAGCGAAACTCGCGCAAGGAGGTCCCGCTTCCAAGAAAATCCGGGTCGATGACCGCCGTTAGATCCGTCAAAAATTTTCTGGCCCTGTGAGTATCTTAGATCTTCACCTATTTCGTCCTAGACCGGCCTCATGTGCCGCTTTTGTTGACGTTACACTTCATAAGTTTTTCGAACTTTATTCGTCTTCTTGAAACACAGGCCATATTTTACGCATGTATTGCTTATTCTTCTCCTGCATCATGCTGTCGCATCTCGAGCACAGGCATGTTCACTCCCCGACCAGTGTATCCCTAGTGACTGTACCCTATCGTAACTCGCCGATCGAGTTGTAATACGCCATTATGTATCCATCCTGTTTCTACGCAGATAATCTGACGGCCCTGGCATGTCCATAACAATATAACATACGAGCTGCTTACGTAGAGCCTGGAAACACGTTGCCTGGGCACATATCTTCAGGTCCACGACGCAGAATTAATACAAGCGGTTATGTATTACGACGTGGGAGCGTATGCAGAGCACAGGAACATTCATCAGAAATCATTGCGGCCATCCAGGGTTGTATGCTACTATGCCGTTTGCAGGAGGCAGAAGGGGACCTAGCTGTGTCAGACCCGATCAAGGAATTACCGAGAAGAGAGCATCCGGGACATCCGAACTGGAAGAGCACGTTCCAACGTGTAAGGGGCGCACGCAATCTTCTGAGACGATCACAGAGCGGGCTTCGCATATTTGTACTCGCCCCCTTTCGTCAGAGCCTGTCAAGGTGCTAGTCAATCGCGGAAGAAATTGTGTGCACAAAAGGCGCATCTTACGCGCTGATAGGCCGGACTGCGGTGTAGCCAAAATGCCATCAGACAGGGTTAAGAAGGTAGGGTCCAGAGGAACGTACCGCGCGTGGACTCGCTTAACGTACTCTTTGATCTTGGGACCCAGCATGTCCGGAGACCCGTCAGCCCACACTTCCAGGGCGAACGACATCATGAAGTCAGCAGATGTGGGTCCTTGTCCACCAGCCAACCAGTCTCCGCATTTCGACAGATGTTCTTCGATCTGTCCGGGACGATCGAAAGAAGTGCGTTTTAGAAGGCAGCGGCTGCGTAGTTAGAGGCTACGTACGAATTCCGCTTGGACCTTGAGGCGGGGATTAACTACTGCGTTGTCTAGCGTCGAAAAGATGTACCACAGAAGCGGGCGGAAGATGAACGGAGACTTGGTAGGTACTAGGCCAAAAATGAATCTATTCACGAGTAAAGGCATCAGGGTGCCCTCGGCGTAATGTGTGTCTGTCACGGCAAGGTTTAATCAGGAACGGATAGGTCTGCAAGCGCAGGGCTGCATCCTGAAACCGCGACAGAATAATAGGACGTACAAAACAAGTTGTCGACTTTCCCAGAGTCAGGAGGCAAGAACTTGCCGCTGCCGTATTTGCCTAAGATGTACTCTGTTCCGGCCGATGCTCAGACACGAGAAGTACGCCACAGGTATGAAAATTCGCACCGATAATTGCACCGCTTTCTGCTAGTGTGATGTCGCCATCTGTGATGACGGGAGCCGTTCGCAAAGGATTGACGACTCTGAGCTCTTCGGGAACACTGAAGTCTTCGCGGCGCCGATGCTTAACGAGAGTGTACGGCAGCTCGAGCTCTTCCTGTGCGGAATTAATAGCACAGCCTTAGCCTTCCATCTGTATATGCCTGGAAATACCGGACATTTTCTCACCAGGAGCCATAAGACACGCTGTGACCTGGAATTGTCTAGATGATGGACCGTCAAGACAGACGGCTCGGAAGACATAAGACTACGGATGTTTCAAGTTTCAAGCTGCAGTGAACGGCAAAGGGTTCTCGCACCGGGGTACACGTCATACAGGACTGTTTAAGAGATGGCATAGGCCGAGAACCTATGATGCGTTCCACGGTCACATGACGTATTGGTCTTGGCGCTACAAGTCGCGCCCGTCGCGTCTTCGCCTGAGACCATCCCGCTCTCTTGCAAGGTTTGCGTTTCTTCGGCTCGGATAGCGGCGCAGTGTGCAGATAATAATTTTACTAGACCATTACTCAGCGGCTCTCAACTCTACAGGATGTTCTTACGCATGCTAATTTTTGGGGGCGTGATTTTGTGCTGCAGCCCCTTCGCTGGCGGACGAGTGTTCTCGTGGTCGAAAACACCAGAAAGCATCGCATCAGGCAGGGCAGAGGGCGGTGGAATACCAGGTCCGGCTATTATGTTTTTCCAGCAAATCTGCCTCGGCTTATTTGTGTACGATCTTAGACCTTTGGCAGTCTGCAGAAGTCTCCGCGATCATCGAGAAAGCGGGTAAAGACACTCGATGCCATTACGTCAACGCCTATTCCAACTAATTTGTGCCACTAGCTCAGCTTGACGCATATCGCGCTACGCGTAAGCCAGACTGTTTCCAACGAGTGGCAAGCGCGCTCCGAGTACACTGCGAGCAGCTCGAAATGAACGAAGAAGAGCGAATCCGAGGTGATTAGCAACGCTTCCACGGTCGCTATATGCGCTCATTCCCGCACTAGCCGCGACTTCCATGACCCTTTGCGAGCTTGCCACCGCGAATCACTGGCCGCCGCTTGAGTGTGCGCCTTTGGCTGTTGATGACCCATCGTCGGGGCACCCGTCCAGGTCTTCGCTGGACAGCTGTGTAGGGTGTGTCCCGAATATTCTGATAGCGTATATGCGGCGTACTGATTGTGGTGCACCGTCACGACGATCAGGGCGTTGTCCAGGAGTGCGCAGTATTGGTCCAGCTACTCCGGATACCTCCGAGAGGCCCGTGAGCGCGACTTCTTGATTGATGTTTCGAAGATGGCTCAATTACGCTATGTAGCGCAACTTTGTTATGCATACAGACGGTGGCACGACATTGGTGCGTCTAACAGCCATACTAACCCTGAGTAGCCTGAAATACTGCATCCCAAAGACACAGCCAAGGAGACATATAGGAATGCAACATCTGATGTTTTGTTGCTTCTTCAAGCGATTAGGGCGCAAGCAGATGACAACTTGCGGAGACAGGACCGTCTAGACGGCGTACTACAAGTACGTCAATTTCATACGCTTCATGATCCGGGTGCTGATCCAAAGAGACAGCGGGTCCAAGCATCCCTTGCAGATATGAGTGCTATGCAAAACACCCTGTCGCGGGCTTCGAGCGTCCTGCACCAGTCCGTTACTAGTCTATCTACGGAGGTGCGCGAAGCACACACGTGTTTGACTCTGGGAACGCTCATTCGGTCTAGGCTATGACAGTCTTCAGGGACATGTTAGTAGAACTGCAAGAATCTCACACTTTAGCCGGCCGTCTTGCCGCTGAAGAGGTATCGTAGAATATGACAGAGCTTCGAAGGCAGGGGACCGCTAACACTCCTGTAGCTGAGCCTGAACCTGGACATGGCCGTGGAAAAGGTATGCTATATAGCTACTCCTCCTTCGCGTCACTGATCAGGATCGAAAGCACGCGGCCGCTTTGACTGCACTCGTTCCATCTCTCAAGCGAGACTTCGAGACTGAAATTGCCATAGCATTCGCAGGAGCGGCTGCCCAGTACCAGACTTTGCAAGAACAAGCTGTACGTGCAGGCTGTGTGGCAGCCATCGGTAGCTCATAATCCCGAACGTTCCAGGAATCCACAATGGCCGGCTGGAAAAGTCTCGGAAATGACGTCCAGGGGCTGCAACAGGCAAATTCTTAGCAGCTCTGCATTCTACCGAGAGATAACCTTAATTTTCCCGTAGTCGATTGAGCGGCTCCTGGTAACGAGCTCCGAAGCCACGTCTCAGCTTGCGATACACGTCTCACAAGCTGCCGTTGCACAGCGTGTGCAACAAGACGCCACCCACTCCGCCGCTCGCCTCGCACTGGTCCTAGTTGAACTAACCAACAGTACTCGTAACGAGCTATCGGCTATCAACGCAACCGCGACCGCCGTAAGAGAGGAGCTAACTAACACCGGTCGTTATCATGCTAGCATCTGGGATGCGCAGTGGGTACGAGAGTGGGCCGACTATAGTCTCATGTGGCTGCTCCAAGTGGCGTTCAACGGTAAGTACCGGCTCGTAGCGTGCCTCATGTACTGACAAATATCGATTTCACTGATCACAGGGAACCGAACAAACATAGACATTTTATCACAGCTGCCGATTGTCCGGGTTGGATGCTTTTGTCTCCAAGCGTTTTGGTACCTCTTGCGTGTCGGCTTCTCCACGGTTGCGGTGCGTCCTCAATTCTAGTTGCACTTTTGACTATCACAAGGACTTCGCTCATGCATCAGAAAGGGTTCTCTTCTTTTATTGCTCTCTCTTAGGAAATGGCTCTCGACAAATACACTTCCTCGTCTGATCTCTCTAGGCGACAAGGAACGGTGCCACCGCAGTCAGGAACCACTTGAGAGCGAAACGACCACGCTTGACTACTCGTGTTCAGCTTCCCAAACTTTCGGTTCACCGCCTTCGCATTCCGCTTGTCTCGGTGCCTGTGCTACTCCCGTGCCTACCGCTCGTTACCGGCAACATCGATTCTCGCGAATTCCTGATCGACTTTGCGCTCCGAGGCCGGAATCCCATGGTTCTTAGTCTCTGTTACTCTGCCGCCGCCATATTCCTCTCTGTTGTCTTGTCATCCCGCCCCTTATGCCTTCTTATTCGATATTCTCTGCCGGCTACAACAACGATCTCCGATTTTGCCCGCTTCACTAGAATCACTACTTGTAGTTGAGTCCAATGTAGCTCTAGCGCCGGCTCATAAACCATATCGCTCAAGCGAGGACTGTCTTAGTCTTCCGTCCAGAGTTTCATTGCTTGTGCACAAATCTTGATGAGATGCGAGCTCAGTCCCGTCGCCTACAATGAGTAGCACGAGGCAGGGGGATCTACATACTGGCGGGCGTCAATTTGCCCCAACGCGCCGCGAAGCTAGGAGCGGATAGAAGAGGTTTACGATAAGAGTTATTGACTTGTGAAAAGAAGGTAAGTAATTAAGTGTTACAATGTAACAAATGTTTGCTATCCCGTTAGTGATCGGTGATCGGCGCAAGTAAGGTTCGTGGCGGTTACGCAAGGCTCCGGGGTGAGAAACTTGACTCCAGAAGCATTCCATCTGCATCAACCGTGGGCACCGCAGCTCACACACTTTCTCGTTCTCCGCAGACGACCACTAGGGTTCTCTTAGGTTTCCTATGACCATTGGCCTACATGTCTCGGACAGCCGTGCGCAAGCACCGTACAAAGTCGACCGCTAAGGAGGCATCGTCAGCGCAGGAGCCGCAGCCCCTAGACCGTAGCAAGGCCAGGGTGCAGCAACCCAAAGCGCAGGACACCGCCTCTGAGCCTCCCCCGCAACATGCACAAGTGACCAAGGAGCGCAAACGTGCAAACCGAAAGCGCGCGGAAATTCAATCTCCGGAGACCCCAGTAAGCTGACGCCACACTGTGCTTGCTGTCTCGTTTTACCTGAACGCTGCCGTCGTCAAGGATCCTAGTCCACCCGCGGCCCATTCCACGATGAAGGGGAACGCCGACAAGGCTACTAAAACCGCACATGCTCCGTCGGTAACCGGCACAAACGACGTTCCGTCGTCTAAAGGAGCTGTGCTGTCCAAGCGAGTACGTACGCATCTGCATGACGCCTCTTCGCCCCGTGTTTCTAAGTCACACTCCACTCTTGTTTTGTGAAAGTCGCACGGCCCCCTGTGTCTGAGCTACGTTAATGGTCGTTGCAAACTATCTCCTTGCCCTCGGCGGCATCCCAAGAATCTGCGTCCATGTCGTAATTTTGCGAATGGTACCTGCAAAAATCAGAGATGTGCCCGGCCGCACATTCTGCCAGTGAGTGGACATGCCGACAGACGTAGAGTATCGATTAACGTCTTTGCAGACCGCCAACCAGGCAGAGGCGTCCCGCCATGACGATGGTACGGACACGGACACAGACACAGACGCTGCTTCGATCATAGCAGCTGTGTCTGACGCTGACGAGGATGTTGCCTCCGAGACTTCTACAGTGTCTTCCTATCACGAGCAGGAGGAGCCTAACTCCTCTACCCCTCGCCTTCAAGTACGTCTTTACATCACGAAGTCGGCGGTATGGCTGAACGTGCATTCCAGAAGAGTGACGAGATTTGCCAAAAATTCCTAAGAGATCGATGCAAATGGGGCAGAAAATGTCATCGACAGCATGTTCAGGAACAAGCAGTAAGTGACTGTCGCTTTTGATTCATACTTACACCAGCTCATCCCGCCTTAGCATAAAGCTGCACCCTCATTGTCGACTGAGGGTCTTGGTAGCAAGCCGCCGGACCGACCACCTGGTGTGAAATTCAATCCAAGTCTCCCATCAGTTGAATCAAAGGTTAGCAAACCGGTCGTTCCTACTTCGAAGCCGGCTGCGACAACCGCGCCCGACGCCGGGCAGACGCTGGTCGAGGAGTGCCGCCAATACCTCAGAGGCCGATGCACATGGGGGAATAATTGTCGGTTTGTGCACCCACCCAAGGCCGCTGCAGAACCTAAAGTTTCGGTCCATGACTTCGTGACGGGCACTTCCGTGTCTGCATCTACCACTGCCGCCTCCGAATGTGCAAGCGCTACAGCAGCCGAACCTGCGGATGCCGATGAGCCAAAGCTTCCGTGTTATATGTACATGACGAGGAACATGAAGTGCATTTATGGTCGCGAATGCCGTAGACTGCACCCTCCGTTGCACGAATGGAAGAAGGTACTACGCTCTGTTACCGTCCTACGCCGGACTATTGACGTAACCTTATAAATGCAGTACCTAGGCGCTTCTGATGAGGTCTGTGAAAAGTTTTTGGAGGGAGCATGCTGGCTAGGGGAGCATTGCTGGAGGCAGCACCCCGGAGAGGAACCTGTCGCTGAACAGGAGAAGACACCTCTCCCGACTCAACCTTCACCTGAAGGAATAGGCACTAGACGACAGCGTAAGCCCCCCGCGCTGCCGCAACTCGTGATCCCTCCGGAAAACGCTGTCCCCGAGCGTGGCTTCTCTACCGTAAGTACCACTTGCGAATAGTCTTTCCTTCATTAGTGACCCATCCCCGCTAGGGTTCAACCTCTCCAGAGACGTCACCGCTATTGACGGATGACGCCTCAAACCCCGTCACCCACCCAGTCTGCAGAAATTTCCAGAGGGGCCGCTGCATTCGCCAAAATTGTAGGTTTGTTCATCCGCGCAAGGCATCTGAACCAGCGCGTGTACAGGTAAGACTATGGCTCTGTACGTGCATAGTAGCTTAGGAACTGATAAGTCGTAGACGTTGGCGGCTGCGTCTTCGTGGTCATCGCTCGATACCGACTCTGGACATACTCGTAAGGATCCCGTATCAGATCAGCGAAGCATAGAAGCTAAAGTGAGTACGGAAATTATTACGTCTTACCTGCCAACTAATGAGAGTTGTTCAGCTGAACCGGCTTCTGAACACCTTGCAAGGACCAGCTAGCCAGCCAGCCGGAAGTCAAAAGCAGCCGGTCCCGACGCTTGTTCCAGCCCGGGAGTCTACTTTTACCATACAGCCAATGAAGCCAGTACCTATATTTCCACCTGGCCTTGGTATAGAGCAGGTATCTTATTGGCTCATACTCTCGGATCGCGCAGCATGTTCACGCCGTTCTCAGCGATTTGCACCTGGCAATGCACGGCCATCGAAACCTCCGCCAGAAATCATGTCCATCAACGTCCTTGATGCTGTTCACGTCGCATTTGGACCAGGCTTACAAGTACAGCATGTCAAGACCGGTTTCGAGTCACGCGTCGTCCTCATCAAGGGCGTGCCCTCCAACAAGACTGCTGGCGATTTAACGCATGCGTTAAGACGATTTGGGGAAGTCTCAGAAGTACACCTACCAGACGTATGCGACGCTCCTACCATGACAGTGAGGGCGACATACCCAACGTATGACGAGGCCGTCAAAGCCGCCGCCGGCCTGAACAACCAGCCCTTATTTGGCGTCGAACTTCACGTTCAGCTCGCCTCCCAGCACTCCACTTCTCTCGGCAAAGGGTCAGTGCAAGATGGCGATGTACATCTCGAGTTTGCTGCGCCTTGCCGAATTGCCTACCTCGGCTACACCTCTCTAGACGCTGCGGAACAGGCGATCACTAAGATCAAAGCGACCGAGATGGGCGACTGCGAGCTCCAAGCTGTCTTACACCGAGGTGTCCCTAGTGTCGGGGCTTTCACTGTCAGAGTCCTGGGGCTTCCCCCGGATACCAAGGAGTCTAATCTTGCGCAGTTCTCCCCAGTCGGACGACCTATGATTGATCGTCCAAACTACATGTTACTAAACGATGCCCTTCATGAGCTGTTCCGTACTGCCAGACAGCACGGTGAGCTCCTCAAGATCACTGTACTTGCACCGCCTTTCTCAAGGCAGCGTGTACTGGCTTGGGCGCATTACGCATCACCGGCCGCAGCCGCAAGAGCTACCAAAGCGCTTAATAATCGCCGATTCAAGTTCTTAGGCGACGAGGTGCTATTGGCTACTCATACACGAACGATCAACTACACCCTTCCCCGGGATGTCTTCAAAGCCCTCCTATACGATCTAGTGGCACTCCGCAACCGTCTCAGAGCTGGTCGAGAGAGTTGCAGTATCTCTTGGTTTGACAAACGCGGGCCGTCCAAGGATGCGCCCCCTGTCGGTGTCAAGCTCGCCGCCGATGAGCTTCCGGTCCTCACGAAAATCAAGGCGTCGTTCGAAACTCTCCTCAGAGGCGATCGGGTCACAGCTGACAAGCACAGCGTGTGGGACCCATTCTTCTCTTCACGAGCTGGGGCGCTGTATCTTGAGCAGCTTCAGCAGGCGCATCACGGGCTGCTTATCACTCGCGACCCGCGCAAGTGCTCCATCGCACTCTTCGGGCCCCCCGCCGCGCGACATGCTGTACGCTCTACGATCCTGCGAAAGGTGCAAAATCTACGAACACAGATGTTCCACAGTTTCCCTCTCGATGGGAAGCTGATCGGACTCTTCGTTAGCGCTGACCTCATGAAATTACAGCAGGAACTTGGGCGCGAGAATATTGTTTTGGACTTTGCTACACGGAGCCTGAAGATTCGGGGCAACGACGATGCTCTGCGAGTGACTCGGCTTATCCTGCGGCATGTGCAGGAGCGGCACAACCTCCATCGCAGTCACCGTGGAAACAGCTGTCCCGTCTGCCTGGACGACGTCAGCTTGCCAGTAACGCTTCCTTGCGGGCACTCTTGGTGCAAGAGTTGTCTTGAAGGCTACTTACTCGCAACCGTCGATACGCGCGTATTTCCTGTGACTTGTCTGGGAGACGAGGGTCGCTGCGGCTCGCTCGTTCCCATGCATGTTGTAAAGGAAATTCTTCCCGCAGCAAAATTTTTCGACGTTGTTCGCGCGTCTTTCCTTACCTACATCCACTCCAGACCAGAAGAGTTCTTCTATTGCCCGACACCCGACTGTCCACAAGTCTACCGCCCGGCGCCTGCCGACACCGTTTTGCAGTGCCCGTCCTGCCTCATCCGTATCTGCGGCAAGTGCCACGTCGAGAGTCACGATGGCACGACGTGTGCGCGGCGCGAGGCAGATGACCGACGTCTCTTCCAGCAGTGGTCGAGCACCCGCGACGTCAAGAACTGCCCGGGATGCAAGATTCCCATCGAGCGCATCTCGGGCTGCAACCACATCACATGCACACACTGCAAAGCGCACATTTGCTGGGTGTGTCTGTCGACGTTCAAGGAGAGTGGACAGGTGTACGAACACATGCACAATGCACATGGTGGTATCGGACTGGAATACTGGTTTTGATTGCTTGGGCTCTGCGACTTCTTTGATCACCTTTTGTTCTTGTCCCTTACATGCCATTTCGATGTACTCCTTGCTCTTATTTATTCCTCTAATTTATAGGACGTTGTATCTGTGCTATATAATATGCCGAGTGAAATTACGCTCACTGATTCCCTTCCCCGTTGGGCGCTCGCTCATGAAACATATCTTCCGCTCGCCCATTTTGCTCCTCGCCGCCCAGTGATCTTGCTCTGGACGTCGATGAAGTTTCCACTACGCATCTTCTGGGATAGTTTGCGCATATCTAACGGCTGGATGTATCCTTACCCGCTAATTGTTCCCTGTTGAGGATGCGCTCAGCCGCGGGGGCCCTTCGGAAACGACCGAGTCGATGGAATGCTGTACATGTGGTGTCCGGCTCGCCGAGCCCTGCGTACTGCTTCTGCCTCGAGCCCGACTTCACAGACGGCGATTTTTGGAGACTCGAGGCCGACTGCGATACTCGCCTGTACATCCGGGGTTGCTATATCTGTACAAAGCCGACATATCTCGCTGCAACGCCTCGTCTGAAGCCAAACCTTGCATGAATCTTCGCGCTCCGACGCTTGTTGCCATCTCACATTACCGACAAAGCGTGTTCTGGAAGATCCTCTCATTTATCTACGTAAGTACTACGCGAGTTCGTATAATATCTCTGGGTGCTGACAACCCTGGTTGCCCTTCGCGCTTTGAAGTACGGCGCATCTTTATCTTGAACTCGGCGTTGAACGCTGCCCTTGCGCTTCGACATGATGTCCTGGATGGGCCCTCAGCAGTATCAAACCTGGCATGGGCGCAGCGCACCTACTGGCTGGTCGGGCAGCTGGCCTCCCTCCGCGCCGATGCCTAATCCGCCGCCTCAGCCCCCTGGTGTCGATCCCCGAGCTTGGACAGGAGGTCAATGGCAATGGAACCCTATGTTTCGAGGCAACCCTACGGTCCAAGCAACACTGTGGGCTCCTCACCCGAGCTGGGGCGTTCCTGCGGCTGCAGCACCGGCTTATAACCCATACAAGCGTATACCGAACCCTGGCGATGCAGCATACTACGCGACTGAGCTGAAGAAGAATCCCCTTGGTCTCGAGAATATGTGGACGTATGTACAGTGTAATTCACGCGTAGCATGCGCTATCTCACTTGCTTGTGTTGTTGTACCTCAGGGTGGAGGAGCTGGAGAAGATGTCGAAAGAGGTGGAGGAGAGAGAAGGGGCGAAGCAACGGAGCAAAGACGATGGCGCGCCTCAAACACCGTGGCTATGGGTGCCCAAGGAGCTCAGTAAGTCAGACGATCGCCCTGAGGAGCAGCCAGATATCGGTAATGGACTTGGTGTCCGAGACTCACAGAATTCCTCCCAAACGCATCAGCATCATCACCATTCAAGCAAGCAGCCCCAACCTGCGTCGGCTGGTATAAGTGCGCAACAGATGCAAGAGCAACAGCAACGAGCCCACCGACACCATCACCATCGTAGTCCAACTCATCGTACTGCCAGTCAGAACATATATCCTTCTTCCGATGCGGAAGGTACGCGGACTCTTCGACGCTCACGCACGGAGTCGCTGGTCCAAAGTTCCATGCAGCCGTCCTCCGCCCCCGCGGCGGTGTCTGTCTTCTCGCAATATTACCAACAACAACAACAACAGCGCCAACAGCAACAGCAACCACGTCAGCAGGAGTCCCAGACGCAGTCGGCAATACCGAACCCTCCTCGCACTCCAACTCAAGTCTCTACAGCATCCGCGCAGGCTCTCGCGCCGTCGGCTGTGTCGCCCAAGCCTCCGCGCACTCCGACTCACGTCTCCACAGCCTCATCCCAGACTCGTTCTGACGGAGGTAGTGCAGACTCCGTGTTCAATTCACAGCAACAGCTGAAACCGACATTTTCCGCGAACATCATTCGCACGCCCCAGCACTATATCGGTGCGGGATCATCTTCTGCATCCGCAACTGCAGGTGCAGCCACGCCCACTCGACGTCCTACTCGGGAGGGTTCTAGGGACGACACTACCACGCGACCCTCGTCTCTTTCGTCACCACCACGTCATACAAGAGCATCCTCCAGAGCTCGAAATGCCTTGATAGACACTGATACGGAGACCGACGACGAGTCGCCGGCTCGCCCTCATGCTCATGGGCCGATCTATGGTCCCCCCACACCATCTCCATCTGGACCGGCTGATTCTGGCGTTGCTACACCCTCTCAAGCTTCTCATAGGGATTCATCGGCCCCATCCATTGGCAGCACTCTATTGTCCATGACCCTGTTATCGTCCATGACCCTGGATACACCACCTACCTCCGCCTCGTCTGGCGTATTCTTATCCAGCTTCACTGATGAGCCTACTGGCATTCTGAGCCCTCTCATCGTAGCTAGCGTACCTGCTCCATGTAAATCGAGCCCCAGTCCGCGCGAAATGAGTCGTAGCCACACATACCCACTTGTTGCCACCTCCTCACAGTCGCCACCGAGCAGTATTCCTGTGATACCAGAGGAAAGTCCCTCGGCCTCTCTGTCCCGTGCACCGTCCAGGTCGTCCAAGACCCCGAAGCGGTCGCCCTCTACACATGCACGCGCTCCCGGGCGTAGCCGCACCTACCCGTCTCTGGACCCTACGGTATCTGGGGAACCTGCTGTCATACCACCCATGCCCTCACCGACATACATGCCGCCTGTCGTGCCGTCACGCGTACCTTCGCCCTCGCCAAATAAGAATCCTTTACCCCCGCCGCCGATGCCCGCTGCATACGTCTCCTCTGCGTCATCGTCCGCTTCTGCTGCTGCCGCGGCGAGTCAGGCTAGCCAAGAATACAACCGACAGCGAGCACAGTCGCGGGCGCAGTCATCGTCTCGGCCTCCAAGCGACTCATATCAAAGCCACCAGTCTCAAACTTCTTCCCACCAGACCTCGCACCAACCCATTCACCAATCTTCTCACCAGAATTCTCGTTCTTCTTCCCAACAAGCCTCGCCGCGCCGCCGCCAGGTACGCTACGGTTATTGGAACCGGCGCGGAGACCATCTGCTCATGATCTCCGACTCGCCATCGCTCCCGTCGCCACGAAGCGCGCACAAGGCTCAGCAGTTCGTCGTGTATGCGCCGCCATCCTATGCGATGCCAGAGGAGCTCGCGCACTACCCGCATGCACTCGAGGGCTGGATGAATCACCGCGGCGAGACGCTGCCGTACGACCGGAACGTGCCAGAGTTCCCCGACAGCCTGCCGGTCCGTGGCGAGGACCCGAGGAAGCCCTACAAGACGGTGAGTGCTTGGCTCGCTCTGCAGCGCAGCGATCACGTTGCTGATGAATTGATCACAGTTCATAAAGTATACCTATATTTGAGGCCCCGGCGGCTGACATGTAAGTTGAGTGTACGCGCTGCTGGTATTCATTCGTTATCTGCCTGTATATTACGGAATATGTATGCATTCCCTGAAAGCATCCGACCGTTCCGTGCATTATTACTGCAACCGTCCGCTTAGATACAATAAGTTAGCGGCGATGACTGGTACAGTACAACAATGTCCTCATTGTGTGCATTCGATCTCCAAGATGTTCCGCCTCCTCAGCCCGGGCAGCTGATCCCCAACGCGCTGGCGTATCTTCGAAAGCTCTGGCTCCGTGAGCACACATGTGAATTTGAGCTCGAGCCGCAAGCTCCGCAGGCCCTTCGCCCGCGCTGCCGCACGCTGCATTTCGTCCACGCTCATTCCCGCGTCATCTACGGGCTCTGCGAACGCATCGAGGAAGCCAACATCAAAGAAGCGGAGCCAGCGCAGGTTCTCGTGCTCGCCGGGAACGACAATGCGCAAGCGGAGACTGTGGAAGCGCGGCGAGTGTACGGCGGCGAGGAACGCACCCGCGAACGAGGCGTCCTGCTCGGCACGCGGCGTGTCGAAATACCAAAGCGGGTCGCTCCAGTAAAAGTGCAGCAGCGCACTCTCGAGCGCGGTGTTTCGCGAGAGGTCGAGATTGCGCATGAGGTTAGCTAGCGCAGAGAGTGAGTGAAGCTACACAGGACGGAGTAAAAGTGTGCTTACAAATCGGACGCAGCCCGGAGGAGAGGCTCACTATCCGGATTGACAGGTCCTTGAGAGATGGGCCCGCCATCGCAAGGATCTCACGCGCTATTCGACCGGGTGCAGGTCGCACGGATAGGTGAATGAACCCTAGTGGAAGATGTACAAGACTTGATCTCGATGATACAGTCCCTTCTGCTGAATTGTCGGTTGCAAAGTAGTTCACGGAAGTAAGAGGAATCGAAATACTCGATAGGCTTCGCAGGCTACGCAGAATGGAGAGCAGCTCGTCGCCCGAACGAAACGCGACATTCTCAAGGCGCAACTCTTTCAGCGCAGGAAAGTGCGGGAACTGCTCTGACGAGATGTCGCGCGTGATGTGCCCGTACGAGATGCTGAGATGAAGACGCTCGACATGCCCTAGCTTGACGAGCACTGAGTTGGTTACTTCGTTCCATAGGCCGTCGCGCACGACAACGCAATGTATACATCGCGCGACCTGGGGAGCAGCGCGCAACTTGTATGGGTCGGGTCCCCCGCGACGGACTATGAGCGTGCGATAGAGATGATACCGTGTGCGGGGAAGCCAAACACGACTCGTCAGCGCACACACTCTCAGCGTACGCTTGTCGTTGGCAAGATGGTCGATGATATGTTCAATGATTTCGACTGGAATGCTGCGCCTAACAAGCTCCCACTCGCCGCTGGTGTCCTAAGGGTCGTTCAAGAGGACTGCAGGGAGCCGAAGGATGGTACATACCTCTTTCCGCTTTCCCTTCCGTCGCTGTCTGTCTTTCCTTGAGGAGTACGATGACGACGTCCCTGAGGTGCTGCCTGTCGAGATCACGACGAAGAAGGTTATGACGACTCCTAGGATGAGCGGGACAGAGAGAGCAGACAGCCAGGAGTCTTCGTCGGCCGAGTACGCAGGCATCTTGCTGCAAAGAACAATACGAGCTGGATGAATCACCCAGCGAGGGTGATGGTGGTCAGAGACATGGGGATCGAGCAAGTTGCCCCCTTCAAGGATCCTGGCATGCAATCACGTTCCGGATAATGCCCGCCGAGCGCGCGAGGGAGCAGAAAGCAGCGCTACCAATGTGTCGCACACAACGCATGTTAACTTTCGACAAGCGGAGGGTCTTAAAAACTGCTGTCTGCAATGCGGTAGATTGCAGGGTATAGTTCTTTAGAGATCACAGGGTGATAGCAGAGGAAAAACAGTGTATTGACTCTCGAGTCTCAAAATATTAAACAACACATGGGTAGAACGCACACGCAGATGTCTCTCCCGTGACAAACCTCTGCGCCTTGGAAGGTAGGCATCGAAGTAATATAGGAAGACAACCGAAGTCGTGAATTGGTCTTGCACCGTAAAGCTACTTCAGAAGCGATGGTGGAAAAGCCACTGCGTCTGTACACAAGAGGTGCTGGTCGTAGGCGAGTCGTAGCTAGACTTGGATGGCAGACACGAAAGCGAGATAGAGTACTCAAGAGCAGATTGAGTTACACAGATTCGACATGGAGCAGAAGAATGCAGACAACTCGCAGACAACTCGCAGAATTTTAGGGTGAACCTTTCAGTCGGAGCTGCGGAGAGTGAACTCGCTCATTTGGACGACGCGCCTGGCACGCGACGCGCTCGCGTTCGACGGCTGCAGCAACCATGGCGCTGATGTACGGGAAAGAAAAGGATGCAGATTTTGAGATTGGCAAGTTGAAAACATGTAGATGTCCTCTGTGAAGCTCACCTCTCCGCAGACAACGTTTCACATCCTGGATTCTGCAGTTTCTTCAAAAAATTGCCAGCAAAGTCTCCTGAAACAGGCACCATCCGTCTCTTCAACCGCGGCGACTACTACTCCGTACACGGTCCAGATGCACTCTATATTGCAACCCATGTTTATCATACCAACACCGTCGTGAAATATCTTGGTCCTGGCGGTCGTAATGGTCTGCCCAGTGTTACGCTTAGCGAGAACTCGGCCAAAATGTTTCTTAGGGAAGCTCTAACCGCTCGCCAGCTCAAGGTTGAGATTTGGGTACCAGAAGCAGGGCAGGGCAAGCGGGCGACCAAGTTTACACTAGACAAAGAGGTGTGTGCAAGGGTTCTCGCATACAAAACTGGTGTCATCTATTCATGCGCGTAGGCTTCTCCAGGGAACTTGCAAGATGTGGAAGAAATGCTCTTCGGAAATGTGGATATAACGACTGCTCCCATCGTCATGGCTATTCGGGTCGCGTCTACGCCAGCTGCACCGGGTGCACCGGCGAATGCGAAGACTAAGCAAGTTGGTGTCGCTTTTGCTGACACAAGCACTCGGGAACTAGGAGTTGCAGACTTCGTCGATAACGATCTCTTCTCAAATACTGAAGTATGCCATACGAAGCTCCAAAAAGATTTTCTTACCGATTCGTTTATACCCAGACTTTGATTATTCAACTGGCTGTCAAGGAAGCAATTCTACCCACCGGCACCCAGTCTGGAGCTACTGAGCGAGATGTTGACCTCAAGAAGCTCAGAGCTGTGCTCGAGCGCTGCAATGTTGTTATTACAGAACGCAAACCAAGTTAGTGAGATGACCAACTGGGTCGCACTGCAATGCTGACCACTCTTCCAGGCGAGTTCAATTCGAGGAACATTCAGGACGATCTCATGCGCCTCCTGAGTCCAAGCTCGATACCGTCCTCATCTACTGGCGTTGACGCAGCTTCAATCGTTCGTGAGTGTAGCTTCTTAATGTCGTAGGTGGCCGAAATTTACACAGAGCATCGCAGCGCAACTCAGCCTTCCAGCAGCACCGGCCTCGCTGGCAGCACTCACAACCTACCTCTCCCTGCTTTCCGACCCAACCAACCACGGCGCATACACCATCCGCACGCACGACCTAACACAGTTTATGCGACTCGATGCGAGTGCGCTTCGCGCGTTGAATCTCATCGACGCTCCAGGCAACGTAGTGAGCCCCACAGCCGGTCATGTGCAGACAGAAACTAACCTGTATTCGATACAAAGGGCGCAAACAAAAACGCGACACTACTCGGCCTTCTGAACAAGTGCAAGACGGCGCAAGGTTCGAGACTGCTCGCTAGCTGGCTTAAGCAACCCCTCGTCAACCTGCACGAGATTCGTAACCGGCAGAATTTGGTAGATGTCTTCGTCCAGGACCCGAACTCACGAAGGCTGCTGCAGGTATGCGCTCCCAAAGCTATGCGTGCTTGCGAATGCTGAGGTCCAGGGCAGGAGGAACAGCTGAAAATGTTGCCAGACATGCATAGAATCTGCAAGAAGTTCCAGAAGTCTGTCGCGACGCTGGAGGACGTTGTTCGTGTATATCAGGCTGTGCTCAAGGTTTGCTGATCCCTGGATGAGTGCAGCTGCGTTCCAGCGGCTGATTTTGCGTTTCACAGCTTGAAGGCTTGGTGAAGAACATTGAAAGCATTGATACCACCGACGAGTACAAGGTCCTTATTGACGAAACATATCTTACCAAGCTTAAGGTATTTTCCGCTACCGCGCTGCGTTTCTTCTCCTTTAATTTTGATGCGCGCAGGAATTCGAAGTTTCCCTGTCCAAGTACTCCGACATGGTGCAGGACACGCTCGACCTCGACGAGCTCGAGAACCACAACTTTGTAGTCAAGCCCGAGTACGACCCGTACCTCGAGGAACTCGCACAAAAGCTGAAGGGAGTGCGCGACGAGCTCGATGCGGAGCACCGGCGCATCGCGGCCGAGCTGGAGCTCGACCTCGACAAGAAGCTCCACCTCGAGAACTCAGTCAACTGGGGGTATTGCTTCCGCATATCGAAGCTCGACTCAAAGAAAATCGAAAAGAACCGGCGGGCGTACCACGAGCTCGGCACGCAAAAGAGTGGCATGTTCTTCACGACGAGCCCCCTCAGAGAGCTGGCAGAGGAGTACCGCGAGACAGTTGCGAAGTACAAGGCGAAGCAGAGCAAGCTTGTTGGCGAGATTGTGGCTATCGCGGCGACGTACACGCCTATCCTTGAGCAGTGGAATGGGGTTATTGCGCATCTGGACGTTATTATTAGGTATGCTAAGAGTCGCTCCCAAGATTTTATGCACATTTTGATTTGCACACAGCTTTGCACACGTTGCGGTGAATGCACCGGAGCCCTACACTAAACCTGAAGTACTAGAGAGAGGTACGCTGGCTGCAAACAAGACTCGATCATTCCGTCTGACAAGTCCCTTAGGCACCGGCGGTATGGTCCTGAAAGATGCTCGGCACCCATGCCTGGAGGTTCAAGACGACGTTAGCTTCATCCCGAACGACGTTGAAATGATCAAAGATGAGAGCGAATTCCAAATTATCAGTACGCTCACCGCCCTGTACTCCTTCCTCTCGGCTGCTAACAAAAGTATCGTTCTGCTCGTAGCTGGTCCGAACATGGGAGGAAAGAGCACGTACATTCGGCAGGTCGGCGTTATCGCGTTGCTTGCGCAGACAGGCAGCTGGGTGCCTTGTAGCGAGGCACGTTTGCCGGTCTTCGACTCCGTACTTTGCCGCGTCGGCGCTGGCGACAGCCAGCTCCGCGGCGTGTCGACGTTCATGGCAGAGATGCTTGAGACGGCAAACATCCTCCGAGTCAGTGAACAGTGTGCAACGAATGTGAAAAGAGATGTTGATGGCGAATGGACAGAGTGCAACGCAAGATTCGCTGATTATCATCGATGAGCTTGGACGAGGTGGGGTTCTGAGCACAGTCGTTACATTCACGTCCTAACTGACCATCACGCTCTCCAGGCACGTCTACCTACGACGGCTTCGGCCTCGCCTGGGCCATCTCCGAGTACGTCCCCTCCCTTCTTCTCCCCACACCCCCCTCCACTCATCCCATTCGCAGACACATCGCCTCGACGATCCACGCCTTCTGCCTCTTCGCGACGCACTTCCACGAGCTCACGACGCTCGCCCAGCAGCTGCCGCACGTCAAGAACCTGCACGTCGTCGCGCACGTCTCCTCTGCCGACGGCGCAGAGGATGAGGGCGTGGCGCAGAAAAAGGACATGACGCTCCTCTACAAGGTCGCGCCGGGCGTATGTGACCAGAGCTTCGGCATCCACGTCGCCGAGCTCGCCAACTTCCCCGAGCGCGTCGTCCGCCTCGCGAAACGCAAGGCCGACGAGCTCGAGGACTTCAACGCAGGTGCGCGCGCCCTCTCCGTCCGCTCCTTTCCTCCCCCTCTCCTCTCCTCCTCCTCTCCTTCTCCCTTCCACCGGCTTCCCTCACCTCACTAACTCTGCTCTCTGACCCGCTCTCACAGAGGACCGAATGCAAACCGAGCTCGATCCGTCCGTGGTCGAAGACGGCACGGCGCTCGTCGAGGAGCTCCTCAAAGCCTGGTCCGACTCCGTGTCGACGCACAGCGACGCCTACGACGTCTTCATGGCTGACGCCGAAGGCGAGGACGGCGAGGGCGACCCCGAGGCGCAGCTCGCCGAGCTCAAGCGCTGCATAGAACAGTTTCGGCCTAGGCTCGAGAGCAACGCGTGGGTACAACAGGTGCTAACATCCCTAACCTGAGCCACTCGCCTTCATTTAGACTCGCGCTAGTTTGCCATGCTTTCTTGCTGTGTCTATATCTCCGTCGTTTTGCTGTACAATTCATGCTGTCTCGTCCTGCAATCCATCTCTTCTCGGATCTCGCACTTTGTTGCCAGGACAGCTCGTGAAAAATGAAGCGTATGACGTGCACCGCACTCATCGCCTTGGAACATAATATGATTATGTTACGACAACGTACAGTATTCTACACACAAAAAGGGCGTACACTGTCGTACAACTAAAGTACACGTACATCGATACTCATGCTGTGGGGGGTATTGGCCATGAATGGTTGTTCTATCGGTATCGTACACAACATCTCGGCACCGCAATAACTGCGCCCTGCTCAAACGGACAATACTCGCGCGACGGACTACTCGGTAACGCGCATCTTCTGTTTGACGTCGGCAGCGAGGCCGACGCCGCTGCCCATGCCAAGAGCGACATCGCCTCCAGGCCCAAGGACCTTCACGCCGGGAGCCATGGGCGGTCCTTCAAACGTCTCGCCGAACGCGGAGAACGGAGTCGAAGGGCTTAGCGACGCAGGCGTGCGGACGCTTGCAGAATACGAGAGCGCGGGCGAGTCGAGGCCTGAGCCGTCGTCCTCGTCATCAGCAACGCGGGGCACGCTGCTCCGGGTAAGAGACATCTTGCGGCTCTGGAGGGCAGTGTCGATGCGAGTGTGCAGCTGGTTCGTCGGGGAGGTGGCAGGTGCGCCGGTAAAATGTGGCTTGACGGTGGACGAATCATGGATGGGCTGGGTGTTATCGTCACGAACAGTGGTGGTGCTAGCGAGATTGTTCCTGAAGTTGTCGTTGGCTGTGCGCAAAAGGCTGCAATTGTCACGGGCGGTGGTAGCTTGGTGCATATCTTTCGAGACGCTGACAAGATTTGCGTGCTGGGTCGGCGCGTTGCCGGAGTGTGCGGTAGAGTGGATACTAGAGTTGATGCTTCTGCTGTTGCTGTTGGGAAGAGATCGGGAATCAAAGCGTTCGTTGTTAAGATAATGCGACGGAACTGTAGTGGAGCGGGTATGGAGAGCCTGAGCCTGAGCTTCCGCCTGGGCCTGTGCACGGGCCTCAGCGGCGGTCTGATTCCTCTGGCGTGTGAACGTCAGCCGAGACTCGAGGTCCAATGTGAGTGGAGACGCCTTCTGTTCTTGCTTGGTAGCAGCGATGGTGGACGCGCCTCCGTTAGCGGTCGAACGTAAGACCTGCCGGTGACTTCCGCTAGTGGCATGAAAATCCGCCTCGGACATCGAGGGCAAGGAGCTCATGAGCTTTCGAGACGCTCCACCGCGGGAAGACGCGGTCGCGGCAGCTTCAAGTCCACGAAGTCGTGCGTCAGCAGTGTGGACATCGGAGGCCGACATACTGAACTCGGAAGACAGCCCTTGAGACAGCCCTTGCTGCTGAGCGCGGAGAAGGCGCTCTGCGTTCTGCTGACGCGTTTCGTGAGCTTGAAGAATGAGGCGCTCCATTTGCGTAAACCCATTTTGAGCACGTGTCGAAATAAGGGGATTCGTGATACCGCTGCTGAGAGCCATTTGCATCTGCAGTAAGTCCGGAGAGAAGGCTTGCTCAGTATTGTACGCATTGGATGGCAAGCGCAAGCTGGACGAGACGAAATCGGCAGCCTGAGAATGGAGGCCATCGTTTCGATGTGCGTGAACAGTCCCGAGGGCACGCAAGTCACTGAGAGTTTGCTGATTGTGAAGTCCTATGGGCGGCGGCAGCTCGGGGAGGTTGACCGGAGCGTAGAGATCAGGCGAAAGCGAGAGATCGGAGGGCATAGGCGGAGAAAGATCGAAGTTGGGACTCGGGATACGTGAAGCCTGGCTGCTAGGATGCAGCTGAGTGCCTTTGAGATTGAGCAGCGCCGCTTGAGCCATGGTAAGCCTCGCAGGAGAGTTCTCGCCATCGCGAGTCATGCGCTCCGCGCGCTACACAAAGGCAGTTAGCATCTGGTGAGAAGTTGATCGAAGATCACGTACCCTAAGTTCCCTCTGCTCAGCGGTATCGGCGAATCTGACGGAGATTCGGCTGCCGGCGTCGTTCCATCCGCGAACCATACGACCGTGCAGGCGCTCAACAATTTCTTCCGCGGCCTGGCGGCTCTCAAGCCTATCAAGGTCAGGGTGGTCAGCACCTTCGACTCGATCGTCATAAGGAAGATGGCTAACCGTACGAAGGCGATTATCCTCGGTGGATTACTCAACCTGGTTTGGAAGAGACGGCTGCTCAAAATCTTGTGTGGGCTCACAAGAGCTTGAAGCGTCGGCACATCTATCGTCAGGGGAAGGCCCTCTATGTACAGGTTCGTGGAGTGTGTGTCTTTGAGACGTTCCATGCGCACTTTGAAAGAATCGGGAGGATCAGTGGCGGACACCGGTAGGGCGACACTGTTGGCGTAGGCTGTACCGGGAATCTTGTGGATTTGCTGCGCGACACTCAGTCTGCGCCTACAGCCACTAACAAAATTCACTCGCCTTGGAGAACGAGGGGTGTAGATTGCGATATTTTCGGAGAGACTCTACACACTTCTCGGCAGCGTCGAGACTCGAGAATCTACGAAATGCATTATAAACAACGTGCAGCGGAGATAACAAACAGATGCTTACAGTACAAAGCCGTAGCCGCTGTGTGAAAAGGTTCCGTCAGTCAAGACCATTCACATGTCATATGCATAAGACGTAAACACGCATGCGCGTGCCCATGGAAGGTGTTCATATGCGCATATAATCGGAGGAAACAATACTTACGAGGGCTTTTCGCTCACATGACGGGTAAACGTTCGAACGCTGAGGACTTCACCATACTGGGATGTCATCTCCAGCAGCTTATCCTCCGGGAAATTCGGCGGTAGACCATTGATATAGACGTTCGGTGTGCGCAACGTCCCGTCGCCGGCCACGGCTGTCTGAGGTGAAAGGCTGCCGTTGGACGACTGAGAAGAGAGGTCAGGGGTATATGAAGAGGAAGAGAACGACGGAGAGGGAGCAACGAGCGATGGTACGTATAGTGGAGGGAACGACTCCTGGGTTGGGGCTGAGAAGTACCGTAAGACATGGTGTGGGGAGATAAATTCGCGAAACACTTACTGCGACCGTCGTCAGAGGGAGAAAGACCGCAAGCCAGATCCAAGATACCGCTCCCACCGCTGCCCATGGTGGACTTCTGCAAGGGAGGAGGAGTCCCATCAGTCGGCTGGACGAGTCCTGCGAGATCGATGGGAGCGTCAATCAGCCTCGTGCGGAACTGAGGCGCTGCAGCGGACAGAGTCGATCCCGTTGACGTAGCGGAGCTTGAGCGAGAGGCTGAGTCTGGCGGGGTCAGCGGCTGAGGCTGAGAGTTGGAGGGTGGTGTCGAGGGCTTGCTGGAAGCGATAGGCGTGGTATCGCGCGAGATAATGGGTATATGCTGTTGGGAAGTTTCCTGCTGGTTTGCTATGTGTGTGCTAGGGCGAGGAGAACTGTGCTGCGAGACGGGCTGTGGAGATTCCAGAGGCGGGGTTGATGATGACTGCATAATGGAGAGAGAAGGCGACAATTGCTGTGCGAGTAACTAGAATGGATAGCGAAGGAGAGCTAGACTTTAAAAGAAGAGCGTAGGAAGACCGAGAGCGGGTATGCAAAGAGCCGGAGCTAGAAACAGAGAGTAGTTGTATTCGTAAGAACGCAGAGGGGATGATGACAAGCGATATCCTTCGAGCGGGCAGATTGGGAGATGTGACGCGCGACGGCAACTGATAGAGGGGTAACAGGTAGTTGGAAACAAGGTATGGTGCGCAGAAGTCAAGGATCGTTGGGATTCGAGACAGAATGTCTGCAGTAGAATACAAGGATACGAATGAGCTGGAGGCTGCGAGCGTACGGTCGTGTGTGGGGAGAATGTGGGGGAAAAAGAGAACGGCGAGGGGGACGGCACTGGGATTTATAGCTGGGGAGGGGACGGTCGAAGCCAAAGTGTGATGCCCAAATCTGCGCGACGTCGATGGACAAAAGCAGACAAGAAGCGTGCGGAAGACATGTGAGAGTTGGAGATGCAGGGGGCGGGCGTGGGAAGGCCCATCGGAATCGGCTGCTCTGATGGGAGATTGAACGTCGGCGCGCCCTTCGCAGACGGATCGCTGTGCCACAAGGCCGACGTCTGGCGTGATTTTGCGCTGTCTGGGCGGCAGCCGAGGTCACGTCGACGGGCGCGTGGTGAATTAATCACCGCCAGTGGGACAGCGGCCACGAGCGCAGACGAAAAGGGCGCGCTGCAGATCGCGTTCTGAGTGCGCATGGGGAAGGAGAGAGCCGAAACATACGAAGATGAGCTGTGGCGTCTCCGCTCAGCCTTCGACCTTGGCACAGTGTGTGCCATCCTGAGAAGTCGGCCTTCTATCTTCCGGCGGCACGAAGCTTCGCGGGAGCGGCGCATCGGCGCATTATGGAGGCGAGATGAGGCCGACTCCGACCATGCCCGCACAGCTCTCATCCGCCGGAGATAGTCGCCTTCAGGCCGAAGCTCGAGACACCGAGACACCACATACGCTGTGTTGTCGACGACGGTCAATGTCCAACAAGTGAGACGATTCAGAGACCCGGGAGCAGATCGAGATCTCGCTCCCAGATCGCATGGACTCCCCGGCACCAATGCCGAGAAAGGCAATCGTAGTAGTCATCACCCGCAAGGATTCCCGGCGGCGCATTCCAGCAGGAAATAAAGAGACGAAATGTGCGCGAGGCACTGCTGGCATCAAATGGACGACGCATGCGTCGTGTTACTCGCATCGGGAAAACATCCCAACATCTTCATCTTCCCGCCCCTCGGACACCTTACTGACATCCCCGTGTCAAATACAGAAGATGTCTGCGGTCTCGGCCTGTTGTATTAGGCTGAAACAGCCCCATTCGTGACCTGGGATGGTTTTTGAGCAACTACGTTGTTAATCATATCCATATCACCCCGTTCGCACCCATACCAGGTGTTAGCTTCAAGAACATTTGTAGTCACTGGAGACCATTTGTCCCGAGTTTCTGCTTATCCATTGGTGCGTAAGCACAGCTCTACATGTGTTACACATGCTGTCCTGGCTTTCCTTTTGCAGGCCCCTAAGTGTACATGTCCGCCTACCAGCCACATGCGCCTTCTTTTCAACTTCCTTCAGCATATGCATGTCTTCACAGGCTTCCCTCATCTTTGCTATGCCGATAACTAAGTCTGGTCGTAGGACTGCTGAGCTCTCTGAGCTGACCAATTTTTAGGCGCCATATCTGGACCAGTTGAGGGTGATGTGATTACTCAGTACTCAGGTTAGATACATACTAGGAAATGCAGCTGTTCATACAAATAGCTTCAGCAGACGTCGTACACGGAAGTCATCAAACGCCGGGTCCACTCGTATCCCCAAACGTCAAGTGCGCTGGCCCCGGAGTCACCGCCTGATCGTACCCCTCCTCGCCCTCCATGACAATCTTCATCGTCCGCTCGTCGATACGGAATTAATCGCTTCCCCTCGAGCACCGCTTTCACTTCCTCGTCGCCCTGGCGCCCCGCGAGCACGCTCCCGACGTCCGTCTGCCCGCCGAGTGACACGGCCAAAGCGATCGTGCCCGGCGCGTGCGAGAGGTGTAGGGCGCGCCGCTCGCGCCGGTGCCAGAGCTGCAGGAGCGTGCCGACTGCGGCGAGCACGAACAGTGCCGCCGCGAGCAAGTGTGTCGCGACGGGGCTCAGGAAGAGCCGCTAGTGCACCGTCTGGAGGTCCACCGCGATCGGCTGGTCGAGCGTGATGAAGTAGACGGTTTTGGCGACGAGCGAGAGGTACATCGTCTGCTCGGCCGGTCAGCGCTGCGCCCCGTCTGCGGCAGGGCAAGGGGCGAGGGGACACACGTATATCTGCTCCGCGAGCCCGGCAAACTGGTCGTTCTCAAAGGCCGCCGTAAGCCCGGACATCGCCGCGGCCTGGAACATCGCCGCTGGGAGCGCGAGGCGTATCGCGCGTCCTGGCGCCCGGCAACGAACAGGTCCGAGAGATCGACGTCGAAGAACATGCCGTTGTACGCGGCAGTGATTATGCCCGCGTACTGCGCGAGCGCCTTGTCCGTGCCATTGCCCGACCCGAGCTCGCCGAGCGTCTGCGCATCAGTGTAGCTCGATGCGAGGTCGGCCGCCGCGCGCGCGTCGAGGAGCGTGATGTTCGTGTGCACATCGTTAGCGAGGTCATCGGGGTCGGCTGGTACGTGAAGAACCAGCAGATAACGGGCCGGAAGGATTCCAGCACGGAGGTGAAGACGGAGCACTGAGAGGTGTTTGCGACAGGGTCGACGCCTGGCAACAGGTGCGCTTTCAGCGCGTCGTCATGGCGAAAGGCGACAGCTTACCAAACAGATTCGTAGAAGACTTGTCAACCGACCAAGAGAATTCGCATCCACGGAAGGTCGCGCTATTGTTCCATCCGTTCTGATTCTCCCATTGTGTCATGTTCAGCTAGTCGCGAAGGGTCCTGGTCAGCCCATCGTTGACGTTTGCAATTGTTGATACTCACAGATCCAAAATCAGCATTCATGCACGTCGGGTGGCTCAGTACCGCTGTCGTGTTCACAAACAGTGTGCCGTTCGCGATGTAGGGAAGCTACACGTAGACTTTCCTCAGCCGCACTCTATCACAGTCCACCTGTGAACATACGTTGAGAGGCGCAATTGTGTAGCCGTCGTACACGAAGGGCGGGTAGCTTATGTTGTACAGGACACTGGCAGAGGCATAGCCGGCGGCGGTCAAAAGGCTAATTAGATTGTTGAGCTAATTGTGCCGAAACATTAGCGCGGGGCGCGCACAGGTGAGGTCCTGGAAGTTTTGGTCGTTATTGAGGCTAAGCATGCCCATGTTCGTCGCATTGTCCCACATGGCTTATTGTCAGCTATTTTACACATCCACGCGCTTGAGCTCGCACCGTGTTGTATCATATCAATATCCTGCACGTTGAACAGCGCGGTAGCCAACGGATGGAACGAGAACGTAAGTAGAACTAGGAGCGAGCCGACGACGACGGGCCAATGTCGGTTGCGCGCTGCGATGATCCATACAGGGGGCGTACTACAAACTGTTAGCGGAATGCAAGAGTGGTAGAAGGACGGGACGTACCGGATGCGCGTGTAGTCCAGGAGCAGGCTGCGCTGCGGTGGCGCATTACCCCGCGCTAGTTCGACGTACGGCTGCAGCTTCCGGACCTCGAGGTCTGTCCACACCCACAGGGGCGGTGAAGAATATGGAGATCGCAACAGGCGACAGGGTCTGCGAGAAACGTGTGAGGAATGTGATGATGAAAGAAAAGAGTATATACATAGACATAGTGCATGACCCCGCTTTCGGCCGAGGCCTTGCTTAAAGTCTCCCATCCTGTAGAGTGCTGTTGATTCGCACGAGAGACGTCGCGCATAAGGACATACCATGGTTTTTCTGGCTAAATTGCAATGCTATTTCCAATGCGACGCTGCCCAAGGCCATGATGAGCCCAAGCGGAACCCAGAACCACAGGCGTAATGGAACTGGGGTCCACGGCTTGATGTCGGTTCCATTTGTGGGGGAATAATCTGTATCGAACGGACTTGATTTAGGTTAGGCTCAAGCGATATGGAACCAAGGGCACTTGCCGGGTATCCATGGCGCTTCTTTTCCTCCCGTGTATGAGGCCTCTTTGTTTATCGTTGAGTCGTATACAAGTAGGCCATCGCCGCTCCGGTATTCACCACTGAGGCCTTCGTCACTGAGGCTTTCGCCTTCTGAGAAGTCCGCTATGCGGTACGTCGCATACTGTGGCAGGTCATCAGTTAATACGGTGACGTGGTAGCTCCCGCGTGTTCGGGGACGTGTCCGAGGCGACGTGAATGATCTGCGCGGTGCCGTCTGTAGAGGACCGCATCTCCCTTGGTCCGATGGGTGCTCGTCTGGGGGAGAACATCTGCTGTCGAGGACGCGTCTGCGATGTTCTTCAAAATCAGATGAGTGCTCTATAGGATGAATAGGAAAGCGCTGCGACGAGTGAGAGATAGATGTGCGAGCCGGAGGAGTTCTCGGCCTATAAAGCAGTCCAGCGTGATGATCTCGCCAGTACTTTGACGTCCATGGCTTTAACTATCAAAGTCTGAGAGCATGAAACACTCTGAACACCACGAGCACCAACATTTGATATCACGACGATAGAGTGTGCGTTCCTCGACCCGATCGAACTAGGAGACTTTACCTCAGAGAGGCGCAGTTTGCGCTTGGCGCGCCCGCCGATCAGGACAGGCTTCACGCTATTAGGATGCATCTCCGCCTACGGGCGGGAGCTTATCCACACAGACACAAGTATGAGGGCGGTTGGATGTTGTTATCGGACTGCCACTAGTACTTGGTGATGGCACAGCTTGTTCGTGATGGCGGAGGTGGCACCGTCGGGCCATGGACTCGGGAATCGCGCAACGTGTCGCGAATGGGGCTGTTCAAGACGCGCCCCAGAGAAATATTAGATTAAGTTCACTAAAAGAGAATTACACATTGAGCGAGATGAGTAGGAGCTAGACAGTAGACAGACGCCAGTAGATGTAGAAAAGCCAAGAAACAGAACTCGCGATGCCGGTAACACAAAGATTTCGCGAGCCCCCTGCTAAGGCTATCCAAAGTTTGTTCTAGCATCAACAGCTTGACAAAAACAACCAACGAAGCTAGATTGTATTGCTCAAAGTGATGCACATCCAGATAATGAGCGCAGGATATGGAAGCATACCATGATCAATCGCGCTCATCTCAAGAACCCGCTAACAAAAACTTGACGGGGAATGGCAAGTCCAACGTTGCCGGTTCCCCTCTATAATCCGCATGAATATCGGTCGTACACTGTTTGGAGAACGAGAGAGTTAAGGTGACATATCGAAGCCGAACGTTGGCGCCGCGAATTTATACCGTACGTGACGCGTTACTGATGCGCCGATGCGCTCCGTGACAATTTTGACGCGCTTCGTGTCAAGTCGCGACACACGCCGCGCCGCAGGTCGCGGCTTGAGCTGACGCCTCTGCAATCTTTGCATCCCCCTTGTCCTGCGTTCGGCCGAACCACAGGAGGCTCGTCGCTCCACTGCTCTTATCTATCATCTGCTGCCAGTACTCTAAGAAGACGACTCGCGGCCGACTTCCTACGGTGTCGCCCGGTGCAGGCTTGGCCACTATCCATCACTCACACAGCTGCAGATACACAATCCCAACGAGGTGGGTGCCTGCTCCGGCTGCAAGAGTTGTATTCATCAGCCTACTGTCGTGTAGATGAGGACCAATCCAGTGCCCCGCCTACCCAAGCCGAAAAGTGCAGTGCACTGCGTTTCCACTCCTGCACGCCTTCCGCCCGAGCTCTGCGATATGGTCATCGATCACCTGCATGATGACAAGACCTCGTTGGCATTATGTAGCCTCGTCTCCGCGTCCTGGCTGCGTTCGGCCCGTTACCATCTCTTTGACTCGATATACATCTACTGCGAGAAAGAAGCCGACGCCTTCCAGAAGTTCCTCGACTACCTGCGATCCACGCCCAGCGTATGCGCATACATCAAAGACATCTGCTTTGATGGCTTTCACGAGGCTGATCCGGACTCGGATGGACTTGGAGAGACCCTAGAATCCACGTTTTTGTCCGCCATTACTGCGCTCCTGCCCTCGGCTCACAGCTACTCTTTCATTAACTGCCAGTGGGCGCGGTCCGAGCGCGAGCTGCCGAAGTGGAAGCAGGTGCCCCTGCACAGCCTGTACATCAACTCCTTCGTCGCCGCGACCGAGAGTTCGAAGAACAAACTCCGGATCCTCCGACACTTCTCGCAGATCGAGCACCTACATCTCGCGAACATGTGGCTGGGGCATTTTGGTTTCGATGAGCATGATGAAGACGAGAAGGATTATAACGGCAGTTGTTGCTCACCCTGCGAGACACGGGTGAAATCGATGTCGCTGTCGATGGCCAACATCTGCTTGAATTTCCTCGACCACCTCCGCACACAACCGTTCATGAAGTCCCTGCGATCTTTCCGCGTCGTAGATCTCTTCCATGCGGACTACCTGGAGGAACATCAAGACTTGGCTTTTGTGGGTGAACTGCTTAAGGATTGCCTGAGCTGTACGCTGCAAGAGGTGAACCTCGAATTGCCTCGTCTTCCCGAAGGCGGTGAGTGTGCTTACCTCTACATGTCAAACATGCGTGTCTCTGATGTATAAACGTCGCAGAATCGGCGGAAATATATTCCCAGCTTAATCTGGCATCCTGCTTGGCCTTGACGAACGTCATTCTGAGGATGCCCGTGCGCCGCGATGTCGATATGATGGACGTAGAAAATGCACAGAATCAAGATGAGCGTACAGACACAAACGTCGATGCGGACCAGCCTTTGCCACCCGCGCCGGTCATTCCACCGACTGGATCAGCCCCATCGAAGCCCACGCTTTTCACCGACGAAGAATGGCGCGTGCCTCTCGTCATCTTGTCCCAGCTCCCTGCCAGCACGAAGACCGTGACGCTTGATGTCGAACTGGAGGGGACGAACGATGCGGTATATACCCATCTGCAGGGGCTCTCTGTCTGGCAGCAGCTGGATAAGGTCCTGTCGAAGCTTCCCGCACTAGAAAAAATCTCCATCCGCAGGATGAAGGAACAACATACTGCGCAGTGGACGAAAGCGCAGCACGACCTCATTGTCCGCGAATTGCCATCACTGCGGCGTAGGAAGGTGCTGGGTTGTCACTGGTATGATGCCCCTACTCGCCGGGAGCTACTGTGTTGCTGACATCTTGTCAATACAGGCATTCCAATATGCAATAGGCTCCTCAGCAGAGTCGTTAGCTAGAGCACCGTCCCTGTCCTCTTTCATTTTGAGTCTCGGCCTTCAAGATACGATACTGCTGTGGTTGCTAATGTCGACGGTTCGCAGCTATCATGTATACGGTATATGTATAATAATAGTAGTACATGCGATGATCGTTGAGTTCTGAGAGGTCGTTTGGGGAGATCAACATCCAGGTGACGTTCAGGAACAGTTGTTAGTACACGATACAGACTACCGCTCCACGCGCGTCTGTCACGCTCCGTGACTGACATTGACGTCGCTATCGACGTCACGGTTCGATCGCTCTGGCGCCAACTGAGCGCGGCGCAGTCTCCAACGTGCTCCCTTCAAAAGCACCTGAACCACAACTTGACCCGCACCTGTCACCATCCCTCATACCTCCCTCACAAGAATTCATACCTTTCACGAAGTATAACATTTTCACCTGAATAGCATCATGGGTGTTCGTGGCTCTGATGTCCTCCTTATCATCGTGAGTACGCTAGGCCCGCTGAAGGAAATGTTGGGCTGACAAGGAGGCGTCGCGCGCGCCAGGTTGCAATTCTCGTGCCACCGATTTCCGTATTCTTCATGACTGGATGTAGCTGCGATTTTCTTATCAATATTCTCCTGACTGTGTGAGTACCATGTCACGTTCCCGTTCGATGGAGATGTCTAATGTGGATTCCTCCAGACTCGGCTACCTCCCTGGTCACATCGTGAGTAAACTTCAACAAAGAAAGGATCCCTATCCCTCAGTCTTGTCAAATAGCATGCTTTATGGCTGATATACAAGAAGATGAAGGCCGAGGAGCGTTACGGGCGTGGAGGCTACCACTGTGAGCGACTTCCGCGCTGTCACCACGTTGCCTCATAATTGACTTGTCCCTCTTTACGTAGACATTGGAAATGGCACGTACGAGCCCATCAATGACCAGCCAGGTATGGCCCCTGCTCAAGCTCCTCCCGTCAACTACGGTGCGACTGGTGGCAACTATGTCCGGTAATCAGTGTCCGTTGGATAATTTGCATACCCTTTACTGGCCCCTTCCATGCACGGTTTCTTCACATGTACGATTAGCTCCTCCCATGTTTGTGTATTGGATAGTCTGCGGGCATGTTGGACACATGAGCGTCGCTTTCTGACTCGATTTATCGGGCCAAACACCATTCTCCGGAACGATATCTGTAAGTCCTTTGAAAGCTGCAATCCCTTCGCTTTCCGTTTGTCCGGCTGAGCACAGACAACGGCCGCGGATTGGTACAGAGGGCCCCCTGGCTCACCGGCACCGCTGAGTCATTGGCGGAGTAGCCCGACGCAAACAAATAAGAGCCAAATAAAGGCGACGCGCCCATTTAATAGACGCCTCCCCCCAGATTCGACCGCCACCCTACCCTCAGTCTCGCACAATGTCGGGCAACGGCAGCCCTTCAGGAGTGCGTGACATTGCACGGAAGCAGCTGGAGCCCGGATTCGCCGCAGCGGTGGGTACACGAGTAGCAACAGCTTTCTGTGCCACGTTGTTGACTTCCCGGCATAGCATCCCTTATCGTTTAAAGCTTATTGTAAAGAGCTCGAGAAGCATATTTCACTCTATCCTCATGATATCAACGTGAGAAAGTCCATAATACGCGTGAAAAACAGGCGCACTTACACATCAGATAGTTTCGCGTAACACTGAAGCCAGGCCGCGACTGTGAGTGGCGGCAACGCGTCAAGAAAACGAAAACCTAACTAACACGCGTCTATCGACAGTGGGCGCCACTACGTGCTTGGAAGCGGGCTGTGGAAATGCCCAGACACCCCTTATAGAGAATATCAGCTCCCCGAAGCGTGGCAGAGAGCTCGGTGTTGGATCACTGTCAGCCTACAGGGTGAGTAGCCAAAAAAATGATCGCCGGAAGTCAAATGAACAAGGTGTATGCGCGTTTTCAGGCGCATATAGCGTCAAGCGTTGCACACCGAGATGCAAGGGATGCACGTGTGCGGTCCGGACACGTTGGTACGAAACTTGAAGTTGACAACGTTGACAGCCACAGCGTAGGTATTTGTCGTTTTGGATATATGGATCTGTCGCTTATAAGAAGACAGACTCCGAACAGTGCACCGCATATGCCGGATTCTCGGCGCCCCGCGCTGCTTGACGGGCTCGACGGCAGGACTCCAGGCACTTTAAGCTCTGCGCCACACGCAGGCACTGGCACCGCTCGGGCACGCCAGCTACTCGCTCGATCGTCCAGCGTGTCGCATTCATCTCCGGTCAAATCAGAACCTATGGATACCGTCATTCCTAGGAAGAGGTCGTCCGATGTTCCATCTCGGGACATCAAGAAGGAAGGACCCTTGACGGAAACGCTCCCCACGTTGTCTACACCCGCTGCAAAGAGGCTCAAGAGTGAGACATATAGCAGCCCAAAAACGCCGCTTGGGCTGGCGAACCGCGCGCCCTCCTTCTCAGACTTAATCACGGGCCACTCCTTCGAGGCCGCCATGAATGACGACGACATCGCAGAAGTCCGGAGAAAAATTGGCGAAATTCAATCGCAGATGTCTTCCGCTCAAGCGATGCATGACAAGGCTCAGCGTAAACCCAACAAGTCTAAGGCAGACACGGCTCGTATCGACAGATTGAAAAAGCACGTCGATGAGCTAACCTCGCAGAAAGCGCGCTACGCGGCAATGATCCCGACTGTGAGCCCCAGTCCTCGTAAACCTACTATCCCACGGTATCACACACAAAGCGCACCATCTGGATCAGATGTGCAACTTCCCCCAGCATTCTACAACCCTACGTTTTACAATCCCGGCTCACAGAACGGCGCGTTGCAGAATCAAGCATTCCATAATCTTGCGTTCGATCAGCAGAACCTATTTGTCTCCAGTGCTCTCTGGGATTCGCATCCCGCAATTGCCTCTGGTTCCAACGTCAAGGTCGAAGTGCAAACTCATGCGGTGAAGCCGGAGCTGAACGACCCAGACCTTGCTTTCGACTTCCAAAAGATCAACGCTGGCATACCCGGGATGCGAGCACCTGTTAGCGACGACGAAAGATTTGATGATGACGGAGACTTCTATGGCCGCGGCAAGGACATGTTCGCGGGCCCTATCGCTAAAGCAGACGAGTAAGTGCTCGACTACTCACCGCATACTACAATCTCTTCATTTATTGCCTTCAGCATCGAGAAGTTCTTGGTCTCAGCTGGAAATGCTGAGCAGTTTGATAGCAACGCGAGCGTTGAGAAGGCACTCGTGAAGCTCGGTCTGCCTGCGCTGTACCACCCCTTGCCTGGTATGGAAGTCGCACTGATGCCCCACCAAGCCATCGGTGTCGCCTGGATGCTGGAGAAGGAAAAGAGCCACGCGAAAGGCGGGTGCATGGCAGATGAGATGGGGCTCGGAAAGGTAATTTCCTCCTACCCGCGATTATATGCATCATAATCCGCTCACGATTTTCATCAGACTGTTCAAATGATTGCTGTCGTTGCCCGTAATCGCTCGCAAGACCCACTGAAGAAGACTACCCTCATTATCGCTCCATTGGCACTCCTTGACCAGTGGCAGCTCGAGATTGATATGAAGACGAACGTCGGATTCCAGTGCCTTATCTACCATGGTGCGTATGTTCCGTTCCGGTATATATATCGGTATATATTCGCTATCTAACCAATCACAGGTAATAACAAGCCTCGCAATCCCCAGGAGCTGAGGAAGTATGACGTAGTTTTGACAACATTCCAGGTCAGACAGCACGCAGCTTCTGTTTCATGTTCGTTAATGATATGTGGTACAGACTCTTGCGCACGAATGGCCCGATGACGAAGCTGAAGAGAAGGAGAAAGCTAAGAAGAAGCGGAAGAAAGTAAAGATGGACGGCTTCATTGTCGACGATTCTGAGGACGAGAAGCCACTCAAGAGGAAGGGCCGCAAGACCGACGGTCCGCTCATGCTTGTAGAGGTAATGGGCGCAAAATCCAGCGGAATAATAGCAGACTTACGTAACGCTCTTAACAGTGGTATCGAGTTGTCCTTGACGAAGCTCAAAATGTCAGGAACAGGCGAACTAGTACGTCAAACCCTGCAGCGGTTCTGTGGTATGCGCTCATCGTCGGCTATAGGAGTCTCTCGTGCTGTCAGCAAGCTCCAGGCTACGTATCGCTGGTGCCTAACTGGCACGCCCATTATCAACGGCCTGGCTGACGCATACGGCCTTCTCCGCTTCTTGCAATACCGCCCATGGTACGACTGGTCTGAGTTCAACTCGCATATCTCTAGGCTTGAAAAGAAACGCCGTAAGTAATGCTTGGCTTCTATGACAGAGTTGTTTTTACACCCGTTTCTAGCTGAGCTGGCGACACAGAGGCTGCAAGCTATTTTTGCTGCTATGCTCTTGCGGCGCAAGAAGGATTCTGTACGTACTTCTTACTTAATCATTCGCACTATGATGGCTTACATTGACCTAGTTGCTTGACGGCAAGCGTCTCATTGAGCTGCCCACCAAGGAGGTTGTCCTACAGATGCTTGAGTTCACTAAAGAAGAACGCGAGATTTATCAGATGGCACGTAGAGTTCTACGTTCTTCGAAATTAATACTCATCTACAATAGGTTGAAGCACGCTCGCAGGCAATCTTCAATAAGTTCCTCAGGGCTGGTACTGTCTTGAAGTAAGTGCTCTCTGGCTTGATACGCCCATTTGGCATATCATCGTGCCTTGCTTCGTTAGGAACTATCATCAAGTGCTTGTCTTGCTCCTCCGCCTTCGACAGATCTGCTCTCACCCGTCGCTCATCCAAGAGGAAGGTGTCGCGTTTGTCGCCAATGACGATGAGGAGACCGGTGCAAAGTACACGGAACTTGTTCGCGCTGAGCGTATCATGGGCGCTGAGTTCGTTAGTCGCATGCAAGCGAAGTTCAAACAAGCTATGCTTGACCGCATGGCGGCAGAGAAGGCAGTAAGTGCCACCTTCATAAATACACTTCGTAGCCTGAACACATCTTGTGCAGTCGGCAGATGCAACCCTGGAGGGCGATGACTTTGAGTGCCCAGTATGTTTCGACGGTTACACGGACCCCATCATCACAGCCTGTGGCCATTCTTTCTGTCGCGATTGCATTAGTAAGCGTCCACTCCACTCTCTGTCTGGTATGAGATGTTCATGCTCTCTCAAGCGAACGTGCTGAACGGCGCGCAACGCGAAGACGCTGCAGAACCAACGCGCTACAAAATGGATGAACGACCCTGTCCCACCTGCCGCAGTCCTATCTCCGCTGACAAGATCTTCGCTCGCACTGCGTTCGAACCCTCGGATGAACAGCTTTCCGCAGAGAAGGAGGAGCCTGTGGAGACTCAAATCGCCGGAGACACCATCATGGTCGATGTGAAGGCCGAGGGAGGTGTCAAATCCGCAAAGGCTGGGCGTGTTGTGCGCAAGCGCAGAGCGCATTCCAGGCGCGTTCTAGACTCTGATGAAGACGTCGATGACGACGAGATGAGCGACTTCATTGTGGAAAGCGACGAGGATGAGGAGAAGGACGCGCGGCGGGAACTGAAGAAACGCCTCAAGGGCAAGCGGCGAGCGATTGTGCTCTCGGACGATGAGGACGAGGATGTTATCTTTGGTACGAAGCAGGGCAAACCGGAGGCTGTCGCTGGTGAACAGCCTATCAGGCTTATGGCGAAATTTTTGCCCTCGACAAAGATGAAGGTGAGTGGCTATACGATTAGTTAACCTTCCTTGCTGATGAGACGCCAGCACATGATGGAGTTGCTCAAGCAGTGCGCTCAGGATCATCCGGATGAGAAGGCATGTTTCATTTAACAGCCGCACTGTTGCACGTGTTAACACCTCGCCCAGACCCTCATTGTCTCGCAGTGGACCCAGTGCCTGCAACTCGTCTCCAATTACCTGACGGAGAACGAGATTGCTCATGTCAAGTAGGCCTCCCTCCAATACTTCGTCAGGCGACAATGATAACTGACGTTAGCTGTTAGATATCAAGGCAACATGAATCGCGCCATGCGAGACAGGGCTGTTCGGGCATTCATGTCCAAGGACAAGGCGACCGTCATGCTTATGAGTCTCAAGTGTGGGGGTGTCGGACTGAATCTCACCCGCGCAAACTGGGTCATCAATTTGGACCTTGGTAAGCACTGCGCGTGTCCAGCGGCGCTTGGTCCATCTAATCCCTATCATCACAGGCTGGAGTTTGGCAATCGAGCAGCAGGCCTACGACCGAGTCCACCGTCTTGGTATGTGCATTCTATGATGAGACTGGGCGTTCTGCTGACAGAGGCGTGCAGGCCAGACACGCCCCGTCTACGTGCACCGTCTTGTGACCTCGAACACCGTTGAGGACCGGATTCTCGCCCTTCAGGAGCGTAAGAAGGATCTTGCTGATGGCAGTCTCGGCGAAGGTACTGGCAAGAAGCTTGGCAGACTCAGCGTGAAGGAGCTCGCAAACTGTACGCGTCTTTCCTCATCTCCTGCGCACAGCAGCTGATGACACATCGCTCGCAGTATTCGGTTTGGACCACCGTGGACATCTGCTCTGACGGACCTCCTCCTTATACCCTTACCTTACCGCGTAACCCGCCTTCGCTAGTCGTAGAATTATTCAGTAAAGCAGTATATTCATCGGTAACGTATTTACTCATTTCCGTCGTCTATTCCTGTTATTTTATGCGGCACTCAGCGTATTGTAGTTGTCGCTTTCCCCATTGTGTTCAAATCGTACTTTGAGCTTTTGTTCTATGTAACTCGAAGAATGATATTGGACCCTTTGAACGTTACAAATCTGTCTCTTTTATGTCTGGCGTCCAGCTTTGTACCCGCGTGCCCTTCCACCACAGCCCTAAACGCCCCTCGCTAGACGAATGCGCCTGATGTTCCCACCGTGCCTCGAATTGCCCACGTAACACGCCGTTCCTGGAAGCAAGTGCGGGATTGAAGGCGATGAAGCCCATTGACCCCTCTAACGTCTCTTCAGATGTGGAGTCCGCTGTTTCTACCTCTTTCGGGTCATGTTCTGGGAGGTGCATTAGGACAAGCGGTAGGGGCGAAGAGTGGGCGTGGAGAGCCGCCGATTTTGAGAATGGGGACGAGGATACCACGAGCCCTACCGCCGGATAGGCATTGCCAGGTCCTTGAGGAATGTTTTCTGCAGAAGCAGAGGGAAACAGCGACGTATAACGAAGGAGAACGCCCTCCATCTCGCGGATGTACTTGGGACTCAGCTTCTTCGCCTCTGCTTTGCACTGAGCGAGGACACGAAGGCGTCGGTGTCCGGGTATGCCGCTTTGCCTATGCAGGGAAGTATCGTCTGTTGGGAGCCACCACCAGCCCTGTAGGTCGATGCCGCCGTCAGCCTTGCCACCGACGCGGCGGAGGGACATGGACAGACAGTCCTGTAGGAGTCGCATGGAGCGTTCCTCGAACGCTATGCCTCGGTGCACCGCGGAGAGTGCCATCTTGCGCGAAAATATGAGCGTAGACCCATGCAGTACCATACACCTAAGGTGCAGAGCCCGGCTGGCAGAGGAGTTGGTGGGCAAGAGTCAGACGGAGGAGCAAGTTGAAGTCGGAAGGCGCCTTATTAGGCGCCTAATGATCCGCCATCTTTGTGGCGACGGCGGGCTTGACGTGGCCGTCGCCGACGGTGTGGGTCGGACGCGAGTGTCACGCTCGGCGGAGCACTGCCGCCCGCTATGAATAGTCGCCAAAGGTATATTATCCATTTGCTTGCTGCGGCTTGTGTCCGCTTACTAGCATAGCGTGATATTCATCCAGCGTCACGTAGCACCTCGACGTGGTTGGGACCCTGTTACTCGCGATCGTCCAGGGCTGGTTGAGGACCCACGTACTGAAAGCTGGCAGGCTTCACATATAATGTGCCGCCGTGGTATCCCGGGTAGCCGCCATTCTTGGTCTACACCTCCTGCTGAACACAAGCCCCACGATGCCAAGTATCCACGAAATGCCCACGGGGCTCGTTCTGCGCATCGTTCTATCCTCGGTGGTACGAAGTCTACGTTCCATTCGCCAAACGGCGGAGCAGACTCTGTGGATGTCTCTGCATTCGGGGTCTTCAGTACTTCCTAGTCTGCGTAAGTTCGTTAAGATGCTTTCTCTATGCATCATCGTTAACGCTTGCCCCAGGCATCCCATGGACCGCGCAGCCGACCCTAGTAAAAGGCGCATAGCGACTTGCGACGAAGCGTGCCAAAAAACGTTTCAAAACCAAAAAGCACAAAACGTGTCTCGAGAGAATACGGGCGCTGTGGGTATATCAATCGAAGTGAGGTCATCTTTGGCCGTCACACCGCGAACTACAGTATTGTACATGTAATACCAGGAACTACGGGACATTCGAAGACGAAGATTAATGTACACTTGTTACCGTAAAAATTGCGCCCTAAGAGTGTAAGAGGATGGGCATGGCCTTCAGCGACGCACTGCGCCGCGGTTCAAAGGAGCGGAGGAGTCCGTGCTGGTAACGCTCTCAATGGTACCGGCACTGGACGTCGACGCCATGCTAGGCGTACGGCGCAACGTCTGGACTCTTGCGGATGCGGATGCAGACTGCTGCTCATCAGAGGATTCCTTGGGGGGCAGCACGAACGGAGTGATGCCCGCTGCCTCGGAGGAGGCCATGTCGATAACCTTCCGTGGAGGTGAAAAGGAAGGCAAACATGCAGAATCGGTGATCAGACGCTGGGTCGTGATCAGCAAAATTGCGTTGACGAGCCCTTGAAGAAGAGATGAGCTTAAATGAGACGGCGAATAGTGGCAGTGTGCAGACCTTGGAGGTTGAAGAGCGTGTCTGTGAAGATTGTCGCCCAGAAAGGAATTTCCGTTCCGCTGAACTGGATGAAGCGAGAAATAGCTACCGGTACTAGCAAGATGCCGTAGAATACCGGGTACCTTCGAGCTGTGCTTTAGTTCAGGTGTATGAAAGACGAGCCAGTCGTGCTCACCACACCAAGCGAGCAGCGACTCGCATCATGGACGAGTCGAGCCAGTCGCGGCTGATGGCAAGCATCCATCTCTCGCTCCTTGGAACGAAGCGGAGATGCCAACCGTCACTCCTGTGCACAAGATTTCCACGGACGCGTAGCAAGATGAAGATGTAGAGCACGAAAGACAGGCCGGACGACATGAATTCCTGCATGCCATAGAAGCAGCATCAGCACGGCTTATTTGTCAGACAGGACAGTTGGCTTACGAAGAAGTACTCCAAGAACATCTGCTCTCTGGGGTATGCTTGGGTTATCCAGCACCTAGATCTCAATGTAGCGACGAAGAGAGCGACGACGGAATGGAGCCTACCAATAACCAGTCGGCCCAAAATACGGCCCTTTGGCCTTTGTCTCAATCGCAAGGGGTCCAATGGAGACAGCGAGCACAATCGCCAACCAACCAACGCATAGTGTGAGGTAACGCAAGCCTGCCGATGACGTGGTCCGCAAAAACAGGATACGGAAGACGCACACCGAAAGGATGAAGGACCTGCATCGACTTGATCAGAATCATCTATCGCAAACGCATCTCTCCTGACGTACCAAACCGCAGTCCCGACATTTCCAGCCTGTTTGACACCGCCTTGGAAGCTACAGAGCGTCCCTGGCTCCACAGCGCGGTCCGTGATCCATCTAACATTGACCATAGCTCCGATTGCCTGCAGAAGATTGGCGACCAGGAGAGAAACAAAGTAAGGCATTACGTTGACAGTGAATGCAGGAACTCGAAAGATCATGGCCTAAACAAGCATGCAGCGTATATGAGCGATTCAAGTTGGATGCAGGAGATTGAGGACTCACAAGGAGAATGAAAAGTACTGCGAAGCCAGACAGAGAACCAGCAACTACGAGACTCTGCACAATCCATTTAGTGACGTCCGTGATCTCTCGGGAGTGGAACCCACCGCCACGCCTTTGAAACGGTCATCACCAAACGGCGCAGCCGCAGAAAGGTGTGCAGGTAGCTGACTCATTCCGTATGGCTTCTAGCCAGTGCGGTATTCACGACCTGCGTGAAGCGGGCCTAGATGTGGAGGGGCACTCTCTCAGAGGGTTGGTTGAGGGACCGGCAAGGTCTCGCGGGACGCCTTGATAACGTGCTGCATTATGACCGTGAGCACCGACACGAAACTCGCACAGCCTTCGCTCTCCGTGTATCATATCTGCGGGCTCACACAGTCCACAGCATTTGGAAGGGCACCGCCAGAAACGCATTAATAGCATGCTTTGACGGTCACCATGATGAGTGATACAAGCGGACGAGCAGGCTCGAACAGGCACCAGACGCTCTGTGATAAAGGGAGAGAGACGTTCTAGAATCAAGGGCACTCCGGACAGAGTAGTATAAGACCCACCAAAAACGCTGCAGCGATGCTCAGAAGTATCGACGACCCGGTAGTGCGACGACGCTCAGCTATCGTCAGACCTCGTTGGTCTGTTGTTTACGGCTATGACAGACGAGTTGTCACGCCAGGTTGGGCGGAGGAAGAGAAACGAGATTGGCGTCTATTCATGGGCGAGTGATATAGGCGCCTAAATGCCTGCCCCGTCTCTCGTCTTCTCCCCTCGTCTCTCCAGCTCACTGTTAAACCGTAAACTCATTACGATACTCTCATCTTCAATACTCTCGAGATGCTCTGCAATCGAGTCTCGCTACCGACTCCGTAGCTCTCCATATCGGCCGGCGCTGATACTTGGATGCTGAGAACATCGGTGCACAACCCCAGGCGACTCAATCACTGGCGGCGCAGAGTAGACGATTTTTCTGGTGCTCTACGGTCTCTCAACTGGCAACTTAGATAGCTGTCACGGCGTGCTTCTGCTTGGAGTTCGCAACCGGTGAGTGTCGTGTGTAATCTTGGTTCGTAACCAAGGGCTTTGCAAAGATGACAATTGGAAGAATCATTGGAGGGCTCTTTCTCGATGAATGAACCGCCCTCGCATTCATTCGGGTACACTTCGTTTCATGTACATGCGAAGGAACCGTCTGGGTACGAGGGTATAGAACGGAAAGCTGATTTTCTTGGTGATGAACATCGCCTCCTTGTATTCAACTCCCACCATATATCAGAATGATTCTGACTTCATCATTTTTATTAGCGGCCACTGCGCTCTCGCGATGGTGAACGTCTTGTAAACTGGTGGCATTGACATCAAAGGCGCGACGTTTCTTCTGTTTGTGAAACCTTGGAGTGCTGCAGAAGGTCTGGCCGTAAGATAGGAGATCGCACGTGCGTGGCGGTTGACATACGAACGTTTCCATTTCTGTCTTGTACCAGCGTCGTGTACGCTTGTCGTCAGCCTCCGGCGCGGGCTATGTCTCCCTCGAATGCCGCTGGCTTTCTCTTGACCTTGGTCCTTCGTTATCACGGTCACTACTCGCTCTCGCGCTGTCATCTTTCGCTATTCATCTACTTCGATCCCGCCGAAATGTCGTCTAAATCCCGCACCATCCTCTCAGACGCTACAAATCAGTTCAAGAACGGCATTCGTCGCATGAGGAGCACACAATTCGATCGACCCCTCGCCAAAGGAAAAGAGAACTACCTTAGGCCGGCTCAGATACCGACACCTGAATCCGCTCCTGCTTTACCGTCTCAGCATGCGGTCAACTTACATCGCTGGGACCCAGTAGACGGTATGATAATCATCAAGGTCTCTGTGCCCTCTACGGACGACATCTGGCGCCTTAAAGTCTCGGAGACAATCTCGCTCCGCGCTTTCCGTGCAAAGGTCGAACTTAAGGTTGGCTTTGCTGTTGTACTTATGGACCAGGAGCACGCAGGGAGGCGGATCGTATCGGAGGAGGCTTTCAAGCGCTGGGTCGCTGGACGAGTTCGGAACGGGAGGAACTATCCTGTCGTCGCGGTTAGGAAGCAGCAAGCATTCGTCATGAACCCTTCGACGCCGACTTCCCCGCTCTCACCGATGTTTCCATTCACGCCCATGACGCCGATCTCGCCCACTGCACCTTACTTGCCTATGCCGACCCAAAGCCACTGGTCGCCTTAAACACCACTGCCAGCCTCGCTTAGCTACTACAATATCTCATCCATCTGCTCTCACCATCAAGAACCGGGGTGTCTACTGCTTGGATAATGTATTTGCTGCATCCTGCATCGTACCAGTTCTGTGCTTTTGTCTAGCTGTGATTTATTGGTGTAGCCCATCTGGCATTGCCCTTACCATTTTGATATATCGTCGCTCGATGTAATCTTCGCCGCCCTATCTGCGCTGGGTAATATTGTGATTCAAATTACTGTAACCTCACACCATCGAGAGTCTATCCACTGCTTTCCCTCGGACATCACCAAGTCACCTATTGGCCTACCTGTAGCGCGCGGCAGCGTAAAGGCGCACGGTGGCACGTTACAGAGCTCCTCCTCAATGCCGGCATCCGGTGCCTGCTCGAGACACCGCTGCAGACGCTGCAGGGCGCTGGTAGCGCCCGCAGACAACTGTTTGACCTCGAAGTCGAATTTTGGCGACAGAGGGGGGGACGACTCGAAGAGGTCCGCGACGGTGCGAAGGGAGACACTCCTAAGCTCCGAGTAGAACTGCTCGCTCGGGCGGTCCGCGCAGAGGTTCACGAACTCGTCGAGCGCGACGTACTCCTCGGCGAGGTCGTCTTCGTGGCAGGTCAGGGACAGTGCGGTGATGGGACACCGGGAGAGCGACGCCAGCGACTCGGCGAGGTGTTCGACAGGTAGCAGCGGCGAGATGTGGAGGCTCCGCAGGTGTTTGAGGTGTCGCATGTGTATCGGATCGTACGAAAGCGGAGAGCTGAGATGGAGCTCTGTTACCGAGTGTGCGGTAGCGTCCATGATGCGTTCGGCGCATGTGCGATTGAAGTCGGGAGACTCGTAGCAGCAGCTGCCGATCTCGAGTATATCAAGCTGGCACTGCACGGGGGTGGTGGCCCATCGCTCGTCGCCGAGGTGTGTGCCCCGAATTCGCATCACACGCAATGTTGGGATGCGCAGTAGCGAGGGCAGGGAGAGGCTATTCCCCAATAGGGGGTGTGCAGGGATGCTTTCATCACCCATGAGCACTGGAATAAACGGATAAGCCCCGACGAGCTCGGGTGCATGGATAGCTGAGCGGCAGATGCGGTCAAGCTCGAGATGGATGAGACGTGGGATAGTTGCTGCAATTGAGACAACCAGGCGCTCCCCTCTGTGAGTGGGAACGGGATCAGCGGTTGCGTCAGGATCCGAGGACGACAAACTTACAGAGGCGTGTTCTCGTCCCGCCCACAATTAGTGATACACAGCTTTCGGAGGGCGTGTAGGTGTGTGAAACATGGGATGATTCTGGGTTGCAGCGATCCCGGGATGCTGAGGGCCAGCTCCTCCAACCGTGGACACCGGGTGAGCAGGTCGGCCAGAGCTGTCGTCGCACGGAGCGGGGAGAACAGGCTGTCCATGGAGAGATCCACGCTCAGCGTTCGGACATGGCGACAGTACTCGTCTGGCACTGAGTCCAAGAACGACCGCATAGACCTGGATCCGCGAAGGTTCACATCCTACATGACAGTGTTAAACGCATGAAGAAAAGAACGGTAAAAAGGCGCCCACTTTGTATAGCGAGGGGATGGCCAACGCGTATGTCTCATGGCTCAGCCTTGAGAACTTGCGGATATCATAAGAATCGAGGTGTTCAGCGATAGTGTACTTCATCTCTGCAGGGAGCTCGTCCCAGTAAGAGAGGCGGGTGTTAAGCTGCATGGCGGTTGTGAGCTTCGAGAGGGGCGCGGTGTAGACTCCATTCCAGCAAAAGACAGTCTTTATACTAGCGCAAATTCTGCGACAACTTCGGGTCTTCCTGATGTGTGCTCGCGAGCAACCATCCAAGATAGCGGGCAGACAGGCGCCGCGACTGTGTGGGAACCCTGAGTTGGACGCCTAACCGGTGTTCCAGGGATGATGTGCCGATAATACACATCGAATCGGATCGAGAATTAGTAGATACCTGTGTCATCCTGGCTGGAGCTGGCAACCAGGTAAAGTTGGCCGAAGGTCAGCAGAAGTGATGTGGCTTGATTTCGCCTGTGGGTCGCCTGGTGAACCCGATGTTGGCGGAAATGCATAAGGTGATCGACGACAATAAATGTTCTACAAACTGATCAGCATGGTCGGACGTGTATGAAACGAGCGTGGTCAGGAGGCGAGGCGGCTGGCATCGGCATGAGGTGCAGCCTTCCGGGCGTTGGGCCATGCGTAACAAAAAGGCGGAAACACCGTTTCCTTGGAAATTAGAACTACGAGTGGTACCGGATGCTTCCACCTGAAGGGATGTTGATGAGGCAGGTCTGAAGATGCGCCGCATGCCGTTCGGCGTTTATATTAGGGAAACTGTTCTCGGTGGGTCGCACGGCCTGTAGAAGAAATATGTTTTGTTATTAGAAAGAAAGAAACAAGTAAGCTCGAGTAGATCCCAGATGAATTAATCAAAGCTGTAGCGAGAGCGTTACATATCGACACAGGGAGCAGTAACAAGAATTCAAAGGTTCGGCGCCTGGTCTGCGATTTCGGGCGTCTACCTGCTCAACCCACCCGTTGTTCTTCTGGGATGGCCTTGACATCCCACACTCATGTCTCCTACTTCTTCTTCTACTCCCGGCTGACAAGGTACCTAGCGCTCTGCAATCAACAGGGGTGGTCTGAATTTTGATCTTTACTCGTCTCTTTCCTGACCAAGCGCACACTGCGATATGCCCTTTTGTCTCATAGACTTCCTCGGCAGACCAGAGTTCAATTCGATCTCATCTTCATAACTCTATCGATCCGCGCACTAGACCTAGACAAGCGATGCGCTCACACCACCACCCACAGCGCACAAACAGCGCAGAGTGCTCGATCTCTCGGAATCGGCTCACGTTGCGCCAGAGGCACCACACCGCTACGGGTCTTCGTGCCAAGACGTGCATTTGTGAGGTATGTTGTGCACAATCTCCGGTCCACGGGTTATTTGGTACGCTCTTGTTGCAGTATTAGCCCAGGCCGCCAGCCTGCTACGAGTTTCGAACGCCGCATTTCGACCGCTCTGTTCCTGTCGCGTACTCAATCTCGGCACCGCAATGGAACAGGCCGTGCGCTGAACTGCTTACTCCGGGCTCGCGAAATAGTTCCAAGACACGGATAGTGGACCCCACAACTGTACCCGTTCAGCCTGGATGCTGTGAAGTGGAGTCGGTAGTGCCGACCAACCCACGCATTTTGATGTGTCGCTGTCTGTTGCCTGTCGGCAAGGCCCGCACCAGTCTTAACCTCCTAAGATCTGACATTAGGCATGGACAACATCCATTGGTGTCTCTTTTTGTCTCATGCACTTTGCTTCGACCTCCCATATCCAAGGCTTTTAGCCATCGATACTCGTTCGCTCGGCTCTCGTGATTACCTGCATGATATTCTCTGGCCGCCTAAACAATCGTTGAAACTGCTCTACGATAAACCTTTTACAGGCAGCATGTATATTGCTTGGCCTAGTCGGACCCCCTGCGCTGGGACGACTTTCTTCCCCGTCGGCCCCGGCGTCTACTGCGGACGGCTCAACGCGTAAATATTTTTGTCGTTGCGCCTGGGCAGATATAACATCCATAGCATCAACTGGATGCTATGGATGTTATATCTGCCCATTGGCTTGTACCCATCTACATCGCTGTTTGCACATATTTTTTGCTCCGGATAGACAGCTAAATTCACGCTCCAGAAAGCGCTGCAGTACTTCCGCTGCATAGCATTCGCCCACCGCGTTGATATATTGCGCAACCGGCCGATATGCAAGGCAGTCGACTCGTTGAAACTGATGTAACTGCCTCATTCATATAGATCCGCGGCCGCCGCCCGGTCGATTCAAGTCTTTGTGCTTTAGCTCTGACTCGGAGAAATATCAGATTTCTCAATCACAAGCTGATATTTTGCTCAAGGAAGCGGATGCAGGGACTTGCTGCTTTGCCGCAGCTATGCGAATGAGCACAAGGTAAGCCCCAGAGCAAGTATCGCGACTACCCCTTAAATGCACAGAGGGCAACTACTGGCCATGAGCTTCTCGACCCAACTGTCACAATTGTGAGCCTTCGTCTGATGAAGAGTACGATCGGCATGCAGTTCATGCACGAAGTGCTAGTGACACCTGCATAGCGTCAGTCGCTCCGCAAGTGCCGCCGCCTATTGTCTGCTCCAGTGTCCTGGCATTTTACGCCCTACCTAAAACGATCATGTGACAGCCGGTCCCGCGCCGCCACAGGCACTATTTATCCTGCGGACTTTGACAATTGGGATATGAACGAGGTATGTCTCACGGTATGTCAGTGCTATTTGCCTTCACATGCAGATTTATCGATTATCGACTAGATATGTCTGCTGTAGCAGGGTTTCAAACACTCCCTGGGGGCAGTGGCTTCGTGAAACCTCCCATCGGCGATCCTCGCCTGCCAGTGTGCGTTTGGGTCGCAGACGCCACCTTGCTGCGACGCCCTCCGGTGCATCGTTCATGTTTAGGCCCTTGCACAGCGATAACGTCGCCGCATTCGAATGGCGACCATGCCAGTACTATAGCGGACGCGGACAATGTCTAAGGAACGTCGGGCTTGTTCAAGGTGGCTACCTAAAACGCGATCAGACCCTGAGCTGGGGCCAGGGAAATTGATCTTGGAATAGAACTGACACAGTGATATGAGCCCAAGCCTTGCTACAATAATACAGGCATGTCTTGTCCACGACATCGTATTCTGAACTGACGAAAATTTGCCGATGCTTCTCCTATTTTCTGGAGCATCCCCGTACGAGATCCGCCGTCGTGGTGCCGCCCCAGCTCCGCTCTTGCTTTTTGTAATATCGTCTACTCGACAGGATATGCCGTGCAGTTGCAGGTGGCGAAGCTCAGATTATATGTCTGATCCAAAGACGTCAGTATAACGAGCTTGACCGACATGCCGTTAGACTTTGACTTCCCTCCCAATGGCATTTTATGCATGCATGGTTTTGTGCATCGACTGGCCAGAGCTAGTGTGTTTTATTTGTATCGGTTAGTGGTGACTTATGCCATCTCAGAGGGCGTTCGCTTCCTTGATGATCTTCGTCAGCGCACATCCGAGGCCACCGTAACCGGTACAGTACGGAGGCCCCTCTCTGACTGGCTCCGCAATCATTTAAGTCTGCTAGCTGGTGGAGATGATCATCACGGTACTTAGTCAGAAGCAACACAAACACGGGGCTAATTTTATACCATTTTGCGCGGATAGAGGTACAAAAGCACATTCAGTTTGTTTCATAAATACACTCAAGCTATTTCCCCATGGGGGGATGTTATCATTTTAGTGGTACAAAAAAGATACACTGCTTTTACACCTTTTGAGATATTAGGAGAGTCGAGTTATCCTTAGGGCGAAATCATCATCTCCATGTGTATTACTCTATATATGGATAGCCCAGCAGTATTTGCACCTCTTTTTGCTGCGAGCAGACCAACTTTGTACAACAAGATTTACTAAAAAAGGCGACTTTGTTTTACCCTTATTTTCAAATTCTATCTACCATATATTTTCACCGGAAAGTGTTCAGGCTTTTTAGCTTCTTTTCTCGCGGTCATTTTCGTGCCTCTGTCAGCCAAAAATATTTACTAACTAGCCCCGTGAGAGCTTCTCGCCACGCACGCCACAATCTTGGATCTCGTTGTCTGGATCATGTTGGCATGAAGCGCTGATAAATATCTAGGCATCTTTTACCGCGGTGCTGCCCACCCGGAGCTCATCAATAGATAACATTTGCTGAGACGGCAGCCCTTGCGCTAATCCCGGCGATTCTCAAGGCTTCAAGTGTGTCTTGGAGAGTACCACGGCAATATGTCACAGCGAAACAAACTCAACTTAGCACTTTAAATCCAGGAGAGAAAGAAAAAGAAAAAGAAACAAACTCAACTAACCAGCGCTCCTATGCCCGCCGTATTTGTCAAATCTTGCAGATTGTGGCTCCTGCTTTAAATTTCCGTTGAAATCCAACATGACGGGACGATTGTAGAATCGTTTGACGGGGGTGTAGTTCGGGACAAGGTTGTTCGCATGGCAGATCTTGGCGTGGAGAGCTTATCCGACGAGGAGCAGGGGAGTATCTTGTACGTTGCGTAGACCACACACACATACACTGTGTGTCACTGCAAACAAACCGATCTGTTCGTCTATGGGAGAGACTCGTCGAAGGAGTCACGCGTCTTAGCATTTGACCGATAAGCCGAGAACCATCAGTCTTAACGTTCTCAATAGTAGCCAAGTTCACAGAAGGCTTTGATAAAATACGCATGCTATATTCCTTCTCTCCATCTCTACATGACTTACCATGCTCTATACCTTAACTACACATGGATTATCATGTTAACGCAAGCGATTTTGTTCAAGGGCACACCATCATCTTATCTTATCAGGAGTCCGATCATTGAAGTCGAGATTAGATGGATCGAGGCGGCGATTGCTTGAGGCCAAGGGACACGACGCCGAGGGAGAAAATGAAGCACGACTGTCCTTGTCACAGACCATATCTGCATCCTGCGCGTCGACCACCAAATTTTCACTCTCATTCTCACAATTCGCCCAGCGGATCTTGCGGCATCTGTCCAGGCGGCGAAGCCTCGCTCGAACCCGTTCTTCTACAGTACCGCCCCATCGCTTCTCCAGAGAACTTTCTCGGTCTCGTTCGCATCTGGATTGCAGCTCTGCTGCGGTGACGATGCAGTGACGCGCAAAGTTGGGGCTATTTTGGCGGTGTGCCCGTTGTTCATGGAGGTCAGAGGAGCGTGAACATCAGGCAACGTTGCATGGAGAGGAGAATTCTCATGGACGCCCTGATGGACAACGTATAGGCTCGTCTCACGCCTGTCTTAGCCCGTAAGTTCGCGTCTGAAACAGGATGCACGACGCACGTGGCCTCGCGGAGCGCGGCATTCGTCCCTCGCTTGACCACGTAAAGTTGAAGCCCGTGGGTCGCCTCAGACAGATGCCCGCCCCAGCGGCAGTTGCTCTGCGCTTCTTGCCCGCCAACCATCTGCCGTCACCAGCGTCTGTTCACCGTCTGTTCACCGTCCTACTTGCTCTCTGCTTTCCACCAGCTCCCTACGACCATGGCACCAGGACCCGCAGACGACGATCCGCTATCGCGAGTGCTCGCACCGCCTCCGAACGAGACTTCAGCAGACAAAGAAGCTCGCTTGCTCGCAGAAGCTGAAGCTAAACAGATTTCTGATGCCATAGATGAAGAGCTTCAGCAACAGGCTAGGATGGACAGAAAGGGCCCTAGACCTATGAAAATGCTCTTGTTAGGTGAGTAGCTGCATCATGGCGGTGCCAGCTGGGCCCCTCGGCACACTCCGACCCTACTTACACTACTGCACACGAACTCGCAGGGCAGAGCGAATCAGGTACGCTACCAAGACGCCTGCAGGCTGCTATCGTCACTCATCGTGTCTCTTCATAAGGCAAATCGACCACGTTGAAGAGTGAGTGGCGTTGTAGCATGCAGCCAATGAGCATCCAAGCTGAAATCTTCTAGATTTCCAGCTATTGCACACCCCCAAGGTTTGTTCTAGGACTACATCGCTTGTTCGTGCAATCACGACTCCCTTTCCAGGCTTTCCACGCCGAACGTGCGTCATGGCGAACGGTTATTCAACTCAACGTCGTCCGGTCTATCCGCCTCATCCTCGAAGCCGTCGCCGAGGTCCATGCGCTCCAGGCTCCTTCCGCCTCTTCCTCCCCCAAGTCGTCCAATCGGTCACTTCCAGATTCCCAGCCATCGTCCGCGAGATCGTCGCCAGCCGTTGACCTGCCGCACCTCACCTCAGAGCACTTGAAACTGCGACTCCGCTTGATGCCGCTGTTCCAGGTCGAGGAACAGCTCGTCCGCAGGCTCACACAAGCGGGGACCTCTGAGCAAGAAGCTGCCCGGCTCACGCAGCTGACCAACATGCCCGACCTCGTCGCCAGAGACAGAGAATTTGCGGTCAACTCGCATTTTGTCTTGAAGTCGATGTTCAGCAGGCTTACGAGCAAGCGGAATAGCTTGGAAACGAATCCAGATACTATTGACTGGAACGATCCAGATGTAGGTGGCTCAGTATGAATGATGAAGCTTTGGCTTATGATCGAGTTGTAGGACCCAGGCCGCATCATTCATGCGTGTCGCGAAGACATGATCATGCTTTGGAACGACCCAGTCATCCACGATGTTTTGGCATACCAAAAGTTGCGATTGCAGGAAACGCCTGGATTGTGCGTATCGTCCTAGCTCGTCGACTTTCCTACTCACATATTACTTCCAGCTTCTTGGATTCGCTGGACAGGGTGACCGATGCCCGATACGTACCTACAAATGGTATGATGCGTTCATACATGAACATGTCACCATCGCTTACGCGTTGACGTCCAAGACGATATCCTGCGCGCCCGCCTCAAGACCCTCGGTGTCTCAGAGTACCGCTTCCAAGTCAAAGATGGTATGTCTGTGTTTGTCTAGATTGAGCTTGACGGTTTTTGAGCAAGCTCATAGAGCGTTTTCCAGGCATAGTTTCCGGAACCCGAGAGTGGCGCATCTATGATGTTGGAGGGCACAGGTCGTTGGTGAGTAGCTGTATGTCCGCTAACTTTGTGTCCTGTATCTGATTCTGTTCTAGCGAGGTACGAACGTTCCATAAACTGTTCCTCACCAATATTGACACATGATATTAAAGCTGCCTGGGCACCCTTCTTCGATGATATGAAGTGTGTATCGTTTCCCTGTGACTTCCGACAAGCGACGCTAACTGGGCCGCAGCGCGATTCTCTTCCTAGCGCCTATCAGCTGCTTCGATCAAGTTCTTGAGGAAGATCCTATGGTCAATCGTCTCGTACGTTACACTTACTTTTCCGCGCCGATTGACTCGCTGATCCGCCATTTTTACTTGTCCCAGGAGGACTCTGTTCTCCTATGGAAATCGATCGTCTCTAACCCGTTGCTTAAATATACGAGTCTCGTGCTCTTCCTCAACAAGATCGACATTCTGAAGCAGAAGCTCGCCGCCGGAATCCAACTTGGTCATTACATCGTATCGTACGGGAATCGCCCGAATGACTATGGGAGCACCTCAACGTGTGAGCATTATCAAGTTCTCGTTCTGGACTCGCCTGTGGCTCATCATACAATGCACGATTCGTAGATCTGAGGCGCAAGTTCTCGCAGATTCACAAAGAGTCCTCGCCCGAACCCCGGCCGTTCTACTGCCATTTCACGACTGTCACTGTGAGTTCGATCCGCTTCACCGCCTTCCTTGCCATCGCTGAGCCCCGCCCTCCCTGCTGCAGGACACCAAGGCGACTTCTCATATTCTTTCTGATGGTAAGCAGCCGTTTGTCCTGATTATCGCTGCGGCTGACAGTTTTGTTTCCAGTCCAAGATACCATCGTCCGGAAGCAGCTTCAATCTAGTAAGCTAGTTGGTTAGCACGTTTCTTTGACGTACTGGCTACTCACGCCTGGGGGTAGTTGCACTTATGGGTCCTGATTTGTAATGATGGACTCGCTACGACGTATTTATGTATGTACCCCCTAGCGTATTCTTCATTTATGAATCTTTCTTTGCGCATGGTCTGGTCGGACATAACGGGCGTCAATCAATGAACAGAGCGCGTCGGTCTGGTGGGGTACCCGACTACAGATAGACTGAGGGAGCTCCTTCCATCGCACACTGATTTGGAACTTGAACTCGGGGACAAGTTATTGCTATCTTCACCAACAGCGTTAATGCTCCTCCATACTCACTGAACACTCTGATAGATAGGCCCGGGAATACGCAAGATGTCGATGCATGCCTGGGACTGGGGCACCACAATAGGCGGCAATCATTGCCAGTATACTCCACCTGGAGTTGGCAGCCCATATTGTCCAGCTTCGTCTACGACAGGCTGTATGTTTCTAGGTGTGCTATTCCTAGTTTCTCTCGCGGGGCGCCGATGCTGAACGTTGTTTTAGCACGTAAGTACCGCAAGGCATTGTCAGATATACGTTTGTCGCGCCAGCCTTGTCTTCATCAGGAACAAATAACCATTCTACCCGATGCTACCTGAGCTTGGTAGTGCTCCGAAGCATCGGGTAGCATTGGTAGAATGGTCAGTGTTTCCTGATGTTGGAACTCTCTCCTCGCCAGCCTCGCTCTCGCGCTCACCGTCGCGGCCAGCCCGGTCGTGACCGTCCGCGACGGTCTGGTCACCCTTCCGTTCGCGAAACGTGTGAACTTCACTGGATCGGCTTCGCTGCTTAGCCGTGACCGGGATCGCGTGCACTACCTGAAGCAGCTCGCGAAGACGAGGACCACCAGCAAGCCTTCCACAGACGCAGAAGATGCCGTTGTCAGCATTTCGGCTGAAAATCAGGCCGTGAGCTACGTCGTGAATGTACGTTACAAATGTACCTTCTTCAAGGCGCTTGTTAACAATATTGCAATACAAGGCTGGTGTTGGAAGCCCACCAACCACTTGTAAGTCGCGTGCTTGTCTGCGAAGGGCTACCATACTCATAATCACCCAGACTCGCTTTTGGTCGATACCGGAAGCTCTAACACATGGGTCGGCGCCGGCAGGGCCTATGTCCGGACTTCCAGCTCCGTTAAGACAGGTGATAGTGTGGTAAGCTTTCCCTCCGCTGGGGCGCGGCAGCACTAAATGCTGATACGGTCGTTGTAGTCTGCTGAATATGGCACGGGCAGCTTCTCTGGTACAGAGTTCACGGATACTGTTACTTTGGCCCCAGGCCTGGTCATCACCAACCAATTTATCGGTGTTGCTAGTACCTCGTCAGGCTTCGAAGGCATTGACGGTATCTTGGGGTGAGCAAGCTCCTTGGCATGTATCTGGCACGGTCACTCATCTACCGCTTCGGGACTCCCGCTGGAATCGGTCCCGTAGGCTTGACTATCGATACACTGTCTCCGGATACTGACTCGGCGATCCCAACTGGTAAGTGGCGAAGGCTAATCTACAGATCTCACTGCTGACACTGCGCATCGTTTGCAGTCACCAACAATCTCTTCTCGCAAGAGTCCATCCCTCAGAATCTTGTTGTGGTCTCCTTTGAGCCAGCGACATTGGACGGCATTACTAACGGCGAGCTCACATTTGGGGGCACCGATTCAAGCAAGTATACTGGCTCCATCCACTCCACGTGAGTGGATCCACGTTTCACTTTAGCCTTGCAGCCGTGGTCATCAGTGTATACAGTCCTCTCACCACCACATCTCCTGCATCGTACTACTGGTACGTCGTAACAATATTCTACAAAATGTCCGAGCTCTCACGTCAAGCGACTACAGGGGTATAGACGAGAGCATCACCTATGGTGCATTGGGGACTAGTATCCTCACTAAGACTGCCGGCATCGTCGACACCGGAACCACGCTCGTTCTGATCGCTTCGGGTGCGGCTAACTGCACAGTGGCTTGCTGCACCTCGCTGAGCGCAGCTCTCTTGTGTAGATGCCTTCAGCCGCTACCAGAAGGCAACGGGCGCTGTGATGAACGAGAATACCGGTCTTCTCCGCCTCACCAAAGCTCAGCTCGCAAACCTGCAGAGTTTGTTCTTCAGAATCGACGGTGCGACGTATGAGTTTACTGCGAACGCTCAACTATGGCCGGTGAGTCCATCCAGAGCTTCTAGTCAGTCGTACATACGCTCACTTCGTGCCCCACAGAGGGCGCTGAACGCGGAGATTGGCGGCGACGACAATAGCATTTACCTCGCTGTCAGCAACCTCGGCACACCAACAGGCGAGGGCCTCGACTTCATCAATGGTCAGGCCTGGCTGGAGCGGTTCTACTCGGTCTACGTAAGCTGTTTTCCCCCCAGTCGTTAGCACTTTGAATAACGAGTGTTTTCAGGATACTGGAAACCAGCGAATGGGATTCGCTACGACTCCCTTCACTTACGCGACGACGAACTGAGCGCATGCTTGTGAGGCGTAACACGACTTACGCTGGAACATACCTCTTGAATTACACGTTGTAATATATACAGAAAGTATGGTAACACTATTACTGATGGCCGTGACGCCAAGAGCATGAAAGACCAGCAAGTATCACGCGGTGCAACCTCATCTGAGCTAGCCTCTTTTGAGTCACAATGGCTATATGAATGATGAAGATGGAGGCGGCGAAAACTGGCCTCCAAGTTAGTGGAGAACGGTCCTGACAAGTCCTGCAATGGATTCGTTTCTGATCTGCCAGTTTTATCGTGTACGTAGCACAGTGGCAAATCGTAGGCTTGCCGTTGCACGATCATTTGCACAGGGACGTCCACGAACATCACCCGGCATGAGCATCAGGCAAAGCTCACTCTTTCAACAGAATCATGTCACAACCTCACCGCGTTGTACAGCATACTGTGGGTTTTCGAAAGGACGTCAAAACTAGCTGTTGAAAAAGACGGTCGCTGCCGTCATCTACATCGCCGAGAGAGAGAGCAGACGAATTGGCATTCACTGCCTATTGAGCAAGCCTAACAGAACGTTACGACGTGTCAGGCTTGATGTGAGGACAAGGATGTGTGCGCACAAGGCACCGGTGGGCACGAGCTCGAGATGCACCAGGATATGTATATTGAATTGTGAAAGCGTATTAGAACAATTTTATAGCTTTCGGCCTGTCTAAAATTTTCTGAGGTTTTCCGCGACGCGCACACCACAAGCCTCCGAGTCCAATCGTAAAAACTTGGACTCACTGGTCACGCGCGTTAGGCCATGCTCCTTCGCGCGGAGTATGTGGCGCAGTTCTTCACATCGCGCCTTTAACTAGCGCTAACATTGAGAGTAGGGGTTCTCATTTTGCAGAAAGCGACGCGGAATCCCGCATGCTACACTCGAGGAGTGAAAGGTACGGCCGCTTATTACACCAGAAACCCTGGATCCAAACCTACCGCTTTCTCGTCCACGCTGCTGCTCGCGCCCTTGGGCTCCCTCACCATCTGCGCCAACGTTGTCAGACTGATCGCTGCACAGTCCGCAGGAGACGTTCCGGACACTCACGATGTCTATCGGTACGGGCGGCTCGTTCCAAGTCGGATTGTCGTTGCCCACGTAGAACGTCGCGACGATCTCGAAGCCCAGCTCGTGGTAGAAGCCTCGGTTTATCGTGTTGCTCGACATAAGCCAGCTCTGGACGCCTCTCGCATCCGCCTGCGAATTTCAAAGACTTCACGTTAGGCTGCACTTCTGTGGTAGTCGGCATGGCACGAACCAGGTCTGTCGCGAGGTGCGCGAGTGCGGTGGCGTACCCGCGGCCCTGGCGTTCTGGTGTGGTCGCGAGGCCGCTGACCTCAATCATCTTCGTGGTCCTGTCGCCTAAGACTTCCTTCGCTGTATTCATGGCCTTGTTCATGAACTCGGTAGAGCGCTGGCGTCATGTCAAGCTCAATCAGCTGGGATGACTGCAGGCGACGGACCTTTCGTTGCTCCTTGGACTCCGCGAGATCGCGGATGCCTTTGATGAGCTGGACAAAGAGAGAGCCGAGGACCTTGTCAAGAGGGCTTTCCTTACGCGTCGGATCGCCTCTGACCGAGCGAGATAATGGAGTGCAGTTCAATAAATTTTGTACATTGCACTCACAGGCCGATGAGGGACTCGCCACGATTGACGGTCCAAGCAGCTTCATCGTAGATAGCCTTGTACCACTGGAGATATATCATCGCTTTACGACCGGCTTTCCAGCGCTTTGTCTTCTTGTGGTTGTCCTGGCTTCTTGATTACTGAATGCCCAGCAAGAAGATGCTAGTCAGGAAGTCTTACGGGAGTATTGCTCATGTACCGGTCCAACGGGTCTGCAGCAATACTCTTCTCTATAGTCTCATAAACCTTAGGCACATCCTCTAACGCAAACTGTGTCAGTCTCATCCATTTGATGCACGCGGAAAACGCACTGTACTGCATAAGCTGGGGAGTGACCTTCTCGCATACTATCGGCGCGTAGAGCAAGCTATCAGTTTCCTTGCTTTCTGTGGCACCGCATAGCGTGTCTTGCGATGCACCGGGCCCACTATGCAGCGGACAGAAGGTGTAGTAGACAGACATTTTGAAGATCAGTGTACGGCACGCGACAGAACTAGCCGTGAGCGTCGTGGTTGCCAGGATCACGTCTCTTGGTATATATGGCCAAGGCGGTACTGGCACCGGCCTGCTCAACCGCAGTACTTTCGCACGCTGTCATATATTGATGAGCTGCGGCCGGACAAAGGCCTGTATTTAATGTCGACGACCACATGGTCGGATGGCGCGCAAGCGTCTGGCTCTCACCAGGCGGAGCTAGGGTGCGGTTGCCAAGTTTACCAGAAGCCTAATCGTCTGGTGCGCCTGGCCTTTCATGCGGCTCATGAGTATGTGCTCCCCATGCGCAGGAGCAATACTGTTCGATGCCCGAAGCGCAGGAGAGAAGATTCTTCGGATTCTTAGCTCCTTCATCATGCGAAGAGTGGCTCTAAGAGTTCTGGAAGGCCCAACTAGATACTATGCTCGCCTTTGCATCGAGCTTGAGCTGGTGGCCTTCGGCATATAATGCGCGGCTGAGCATAATGAAGACACTGTGGTGTTTCGTCGCGTCAGTATCAAAGCTAGTAGCACATTCATCCGCTGAGATGAATTCAACACAAGAGCGATGCCGGGTTATAGTCAACAGCAACTTGAAAGCGTGCCCACGGCGGGCGTTTAGTTGGCACTTGGCCACGTGGGCCGAGCGGCCGCCGCATTCAAAACTTTTGAACGCCATTGTCTTGCGTTCTGGCACGCCCTAGCAACGGTACCCATGTACTTATGATATTCCAAAATCTGGTAAACGAGACCTCGCCCTCTGCCTTTAATTAGCCGACTGGGATTTCCGCAAGCGCAGCTCAAATACGCATGCGCAGCCTCATTTTTTACTGCGGATTTTTCACTCTTGACTAGATATGACTCCCGAGTCAAGCCTGACTAGGACTGTTGGTCAGTTATCGCAATCACGCCGCATGCTATGGCACCAGTAGACCCAGATATCCCCATAGCATATCACATCCTCTGCCCAAACGGGAAGCAAGACGCACGTGCCCCCCACGGTGAGTCCCACGACAGCGCAGTGACAGCTTCAATCTCAAGATCCCAAGGTCTGGACTTTGAATTGGTATTCCTCGTGCGAACTCACCAGGCCAATGGCGCTGGCCAAGCCCCCATACATCGATCTCCCGGCGTGCGCGTCGCTCCTTGGCTTCGCAAGCCCCGTTTCATTCGTCGCCAATGTTCTTCTTCCGTCGTCTGCCGTCGGCTCCCGATGAAATCTACTCGTCCTGCCTGGCCTCGCTCCACGAGGGCCACGCGCTGTGGTACCCAGAGCCCCACGAGTCGGGCGAGCCCCAGATCGGCGACGTCGGCTTCATACACAGAGGCGCGTTCATCCGCCTCTTCAACTTGGACGCCTCTGCGCCCGAGAAGAAGGTTGTCTTCTGGGACCCGCCCTTCGAGATCACAGAGCCCCTCCCCCCAGGCGTGCTCAAGATCGATCGCAGGCGCCGCCCGCTCGTCCCCGCCCACTACCGCAGCCACGGGGTCGAGAGCAGGCAGGTGTACGCCTCGGCAGACATGTGAGCCCACTGCGCCTGTCCAGTCACTCCGTTTTCCGCTGACGATCCGCAGAGCCGCCGGCCCCGGCGTGTCGGCGACCCTGAGCGCACAGTACACGTGCAAGGCGTCCCAGGGCGCGGTGCTTGCGCTGAAGAGCGAGGCGTACGCCGAGGCGATATTCGAGAACCTCGTCCTCAAGAAGTACATCACCCGCCACCACGACCGGTGGTACGCGTATGTCAAGGGCGTCCTCGGCCAGGACATCAAGCGCGGCAACATCGTCGTCGTCTGCGGCTGGGTCAAGACCGAAGCCGACTGGGCGACGGTCGCCTTCAGCAAGGCGGGCTCGAGCTCCAACGTCTCCGTCGAGGGCAACGCTGGCGGCGTTGCGGGCGTGGGCATGGGCACGTCCCACGCCAGCTACATGACGGGTCCGACGATGCAACGGCAGGGTGAGATCTACTTTACGAACGCTCCCGGTGCCGTCCCCGCGGTGCCGAACAGAGACCAGTGCGTCTTGGTGAAACGGTACAAGGTACGGAAGCGGCTTGGAGTGCTCAAGGAAGTTGTCGCGGGCGCGGGCTACCACCGGCTGCCAGATGGAGGAGATGAGGTACATGGCCCGTCATGGTGCATCACGAGGCTCGCTGATTTCGAGACACCAGGGCGACGTTCCGGACGCACTGGATGTCCTCTTAGACTATATACTCGAAGTACGTCTGCTTGGAAGCTCAGCTATCACGTCGAAACGCTGAACAACATGCGGGTGGCAATAGGTTAGCAATGTCGAGACCGCCATCGCAAGCGATGACGATGTCTGGAGCATCGTCGTACGTGTCGTGACGAACATCTGAGCAAAGTCCCAAAGCTCATCTCTGCTCAGGATGGCAGATCCGTGGCAGATTTCGCGAGCTACCTTCGTCAAGTGCAGCCTCCAGTAAAGATCGACGGCACGCGTGAGTCTCTCGTCTGCTAGCAGTAGTGGTCTCTGACACATTTCGCAGTTGGATCGTTATGTATGGAAGACATGGTCGTTCAGGAGCGAGAACAAGCTTTTGCGCGCCGGACCATCACCACTGCCGACCTGGCGGAGTGGCCAGACGCCCGCCTGGACGGAGGCGGCCGCATGGAGGACACGCGCGTCTTCATCGGCTCCTCGACCATAGAATCTCAGCCCTTGAGAACGAAGCGGCTCGTCTTCACCGATCCCCAAGACCCCTCCCTCGCCTGCGCACACTCCGCCGTGTCGGCCGACGGCAAGCTTCTGGCGGCGTCGTTCGGGAGCAACGACGTCCTCGTCTGGCGACTCTCCGACGGCCTGCTAGTGCAGCGTCTGGGCCATGACCACGGCCACACCGACCGGATCTTCGCCCTCGCCTTCTCCCCCGTCGACCCCTGCACCCTCGTCTCCGGGTCCAAAGACACGACCGCGCTCGTCTGGGACACCCGGCGCGCGCGCGTGCTCCAGCGTCTGGAGGGCCACCGCGGGCCCGTGAGCAGCATCGCGTACGCGCCCGACGGCGCGCTCATCGCGACGGGCTCGCACGGCGACACGTCCGTGAAGCTCTGGGCCCCCGCGCTCGGCGCGTGCCTGCACACCTTCGACGTCGGCGCCGGCATGTACACGCTCGCGTTCTCCGCAGACAACACGCGCCTCGCCGTCGCCCTCGGCCGCTCCGGGCTCCTCTACGACCTCCGCACACACGCGCGCGTCGCGACGCTCCAGCACGCCTCGACCGAGGTCCTCTACTGGGCACTCGACTCTGCTGCCGGCGCTGACGCTGACGCGCGCGTCGCGACTGCGCCCGGCCTCCAGAACCCCGGCGAGGTCAAGCTCTGGAGCGCACACACCGGCGCGCCGCTCCGCACCATCGCCCACCCCCCGCACGGCCTCTCGATGCCCGTCGCGTTCGCGCCCGACGGCAGCGAGGTCCTCGCGGCGTGCAACGCCGAGTGCACCGCCCTCGCGTTCGACGCGCGCACCGGCGCGCTGCGCCGCACGTTTCGCGCGGCGAAGCGGGTGTACCGCGTCGCGTACTCGCCGGACGGGGCGTACGTCGCGTTTGGGGCTGCGGATGGGGACGTTGAGGTGCATGATGCGGCGTCGGGGGTGTTCCTTGGGAGGTTCGATGGGCGCGAGGGGAGTCGGGAGTTGTGGGAGGTGCAGTTCTTGGCTGATGGTCAAAGTCTGTTGGCGAGGTTCAAGTATGGGCCTTTGCTTCTGTATAATGTTCAGGACGTGTTGCGAATCCGGTAGGGTAGTATTAGTGTAACAGTGCCTGCCACCCTGCTCGGTGTACTGCAACGGTGCGGATTGTAGCCGGTGTGTGGTGAATACAGTGCGATAGATTCTAGTATGCCGCGTGAGGACAGAATATATGTCACAAGCGAAGGGTATATTCAGCCTGAATATACCCTTCGCTTGTACTCTCCATACCTGAATAATTCAGGTATGGAGAGTGCAAGAATAAGCCAGAGGACGGTAGGCGGAGAACTAGATGTAGGGTTTACGAAGCGCACACGGATGGGAAACAAGAATACGGGAGATACCAGTTAGGCTCTGGAGACCGCTCTGTTGAATGTTCAGCTTCACAGATTACGCGCAATAATATGTCGCATAATGATAAGGTTCGCAGGGATGATTGCCTGGACCGTTGTGAGTGAAGTTCAATGCGCGGGCGAGGGGATTCACGAGTAATCGATAACAAATTCTCAAAATAATACGCAGCGCGCTTTGGGAGCAGTACTGCTTTCCTAATGTAGTCACATCGGATACAAAGTCCACTGAAAACTTAAGACTAAGGAAAATGTAGTGGGAGTCATACGGGCGTCGGCGCTCAGAGCGCATCATTTCTAAATATGACACGACGGCGCTAGATGGCGACGCATCTGATGCGTCTCTGGCGGATCACAAGGTCATGGCGACTTTCGTGAACGCGCTTTGTACGGACGCTTTATTGCAATCATGCGATGCCTTTGCGCCCTTTCGGTTACAGCACGCCTCTTGCGCACGCGAGAGCCCGAGAGCCCGAGTATAGTATGTTCAGCCCACTGATTAATTCGCTAATTCGACTTACTAGCAGTCTTCGGTAGGAACGCGTCGCTGTATAGCGGCCTCTGCTCTGCAGATGTACGGAGTGAAACGTTGAGTTGCGAGGTCGAAACCGCGCCGTGAGAGAGAGCGCATCGTTGACGAGTGCAATGTAGGAAACAAGGTTCGGGCATCTGTATTCCTCGTGCGAATCCGTCAGGCTGGCGGCGCTCGAACGTTAACCTCCCTCGCCATCGATCTCACAGCGTGCGCGTCCCAGCTGGCCTCGCACCGCCATAGTCATTCTGCCAGTCTGCGCTACAACTCTCGACTCATATTCCATGTTTTTCCGTCGTCTCCCATCAGCTCCAGACGAAATCTATTCGTCTTGTCTTGCGACGCTATACCAGGGCCATGCGTTGTGGTATCCAGAACCTCATGACTCGGGAGAGCCGCAAATCGGAGACGTTGGCTTTATAAGCGGGGGCGCGTTTGTCAGGCTCTTCAACCTCGACACCTCTGCGCCCGAGAAGAAGGTCGTAGAGTGGGATCCACCGTTCGACATTACAGATCCCCTCCCCTCCGGTGTGCTCAAGATCGATCGGAGACGCCGTCCGCTTGTTCCCGCCCATTATCGCAGTCACGGAGTCGAGAGCAGGCAGGTACATGCCTCGGCAGACATGTGAGTGCACTCTATCGTCAAATGAATATGTTTTGTTGACGGCCTGCAGAACGGCCGGCGCGAACGCATCGGCGACTCTGAGTGCGGAGTACACGTGCAAGGCTGCCCAAGGCGCAGTGCTTGTGCTGAAGAGCGAGGCAGACGCCCAAGTAATCTACGATAACGTGTTCCTAAAGAAGTACATTGTTCGCCACCACGGCGAATGGTACTCATACGCCAAGGGCATCCTCGGCCACGATATCAAGCAAGGGGATGTCGTCATGATTATAGGCTGGGTCAAGACCGAGGCCGACTGGGCGACGGTCGCCTTCAGCAACACGAGCACGAGTTCCAGCGTTTCGCTCGAGGGTCACGCCGCTGGTGTTGCAGGGCTGGACGTGGGCACGTCGCGCACAAGCTCTGTGGCTGGTCCGACAATGCAACGGCAGGGCGAGAACTACCTTGGGAACGCTCCCGGTCCTGTTCCCGCGGTGCCGAAGAGAGACCAGTCTGTCCTCGTGAAGCGGTATAAGGTGCGAAAGCGACTTGGAGTGCTGAAGAAGGTCGTCGCGGGTGCAGGCCATCACCGGCTTCCGGATGGAGGAGATGTGAGGGGTGGCTCGGCGGCGGAAGGAATAGTGGCGCGAGAGACGGGAGATGAGACGAGCATTGTGGATCTCTGGAACGAAGTATATGTTCCACTACGATCATTCACAAGGCACACCGACTGAAGACATCCCAGGGCGAGATATTTGATCCACTGGATGTCCTCCTTGACTACATTCTGGAGGTGCGTCCGCTCAACGACTCATCACATTATGTCTCAGCGCTAAACAAGAACTGCGTGGCAACAGACTACTGGCGTCGAGACTGCTATCGCCAGTGATGACGATGTCTGGAGTGTCGTCGTGCGTGTCTTGATATACATCTGACGGGGACGGAAAGGCTGATTCTTGGTCAGGGCGACAAGCCGGTGGTTGATTTCGCAAGCTATCTTCGTCGAGTACAGCCTCCGGTACAGGTCGACGGCGCAGGTGAGTCTTTAATCTGCTACTATTATTGGTCTCTAACTGACACGGCTCCCCATACAGTTGGATCGCTGTGTATGGAAGACACTATCTCTCACGAGCGAGCACTCGCATTCACTCGTCGGACCATCACCGAGTCCATCCTGGCGGAGTGGCCAGATGCTGCCTTAGACAATGCCGGCCGCCTGGAGGATGGGCGCGTCTTCACCGGCCCCTCGGAAGCGGAGGCTCGACCTCTCAAGTCGAAGCGGCTCACCTTCACCGATTTACGAGATACATTGAAAAATTGCCAATGTTGCGCTTTTTCAGCAGATGGAAAGCTTCTCGCGGCATCGTTTGACAGTAGCGATGTCCTCATATGGCGACTTTCCGACGGTCTACTCGTTCAGCGTCTACACCATCAGGGCCATACAGACGACGTTCGGGACCTCTCCTTTTCTCCCGTCGGCTACGCTCTTATCTCGGGGTCTAAAGACGGCACCGCAATTGTGTGGGATACTCGACATGGCCGCGTACTTCTACGTCTGGAAGGACACCGTGAGCCAGTGCGCAGCACTGCATATGCTCCCTATGGCGCGATCATCGCCACCGGTTCTGATGGCGACGACATATCGGTGAAGATTTGGGACGCGTCGAGTGGAGCATTTCTGCATTCCTTTGACGTCGATGAAATGGTGTACAGTCTCGCCTTCTCCCCAGACGGCTCATGCCTCTGCGCTGAACTGCAAACGTCCTGCCACATCTATGACATCCACACCTTTACGAGTACTGTTACGTTACAGCATGCCACCGGGGAAACGCTCTTCTCGTCGATGTCTCACCAAGGCGATCGTATAGTCACCGTCCTGAGCTCGGGCAACCCGGGACAAGTGAAGATCTGGAGCACGGCGACTGGCGAGGAGCTTCTCACAATTGATCATCCAAACAAACTCTCGTATCCGGTGGCATTCTCCCCAGACGGAGCCGAAGTGGTGGCGGCTTGTGAGGCGGACACGGCAGCCATCACCTACGACTCGCGGACGGGCCAGGTCCGTCATGTCTTCAAGTTGACAAAGCCGGCATATCGTGCAGCGTACTCCCCAGATGGGTACTATGTCGCCTTTGGTGTCGAGGGCGGAGATGTCGAGGTGTACGATGCGAAGTCTGCGACATTCATTGCGAAGTTTGATGCGCGTGAAGGGAGTGAGACGCTTTGGAGGGCGCGTTTCTTATCTGACAGTCAGACTATTCTAGCGAGGTCTGATTATGGTCCTCTATCTCTGTATAACATCCAGGATGTATTGCGCATGCGATAGCGTAGTATTACTGTAACTATGTCTGCAGTACCTGACTCAACATGCTATAGCAGTACAAAATAATAGGGCGTGTGAGTGTGATGTGTGCTAGCATTTGACGTCGGCGAGAATTACATGCAACAAGTGAAGTGTGCGCGTGTGTACGGCGGGCCTAGGTCGAGACCCGGCTCGCGAAGGGCACTGGGATGGTCCAGGGCTTGAAGTTGAACAGACGTACTCGTGGTGCTGTCGCGCAGCGTAAGCGACACGCCGAGCTATCTTACGTGCCTTTAAAAGCAAAATACTGGTAGAGGATGAGCTCATCCGAGATGTCAGAAAGAGAATGTATCAGCTGTGTAGCACTGCTTGCGATGACCTCTTGACCCAGATGAACAGCACCACACAAGAGGCCACACAGAGCGACCGACACCGTCTTGCAGTCGGTTAGGAGCAGCTTTCCTTGCCAAGTGGTGGGCCAAGAGGACCATTCGAGCGATCTCTCTGCTTGCGCAGAGTAGTAGCACAAGAATACCTGCGATGAAGAGTCAGAGTCTTGATGTCTGCTATCCGAGGCCCCATGCTCAGCCAGGTATACTGCCTGCTCATACAGGGAAGGATGTAGTATTAATATTGAGCTGTCTTTATATAAAGCCATCTCAGCGACGGATGACGGTACAATATTGAAAGGCAACCAAAAGTGGGGACGGCGTCGAGCCGAGCACGTTCTCGTTGTCCGACATCGCGCACGACAAGCACTACGGCGACCCGCTAAGCTCGTTTCACCGCGCGAGTGAGATCGTCACCTCCTGTAGACTATGCTGGATACCGCCGTGCAGAATCTCGATGCGCTTCGTCCTACGAACACAGCATCAGCGGAATCGCGCGCGCGACAGAGAAAGGAGTCCGCCTCGTGTTCACGTTGTGAGCGGCGTTCGAGTGATCGCATACACCGCCGAAAGAACGCAGTCGTCGCGTCTTTGCCAATGTACTTCGCCATTAGGTGCTGCACGCGAGGTGCTCGTCCAGGCATCGTACCCTGGATATGTCTGTCAGACCTTACACACAAGCAGCTAATCGTGGTATGCGTATCTTGAGCCAATGATCTTCCGCGTGCGGCTCGCCTTCGCTTGCACCTGCTGACGTTAGTCCCCCGTCCCGAAAGCTCCGACCTTCTTCACCCTCTCGAGACTCTCCACTGGCGAAGCCTTCTTCGTGGGCCAACCTCATTCTGCTCGAGTACCGGTACGCGGCGAGCGGTTGTGCCTGAGGACAACAACGAAACTGCGGGTACGGGCGGACAGAGCTGGTTGAACAGGAGACGTGAACCTCGGAGAACACTTTGAAGTCGTGCGTCTAGCTCCAAGCACCCCGCAGATTATCGACAGATACTGTACGTGGAGGGGCGAATGTAGTCAGATTAGGGCTCATGGTGGGAGGGAGTGGCATCGGATAGGGACGCAGTATTTCCAGAATCGTTTAGAAGACGCAGGCGGTGGCCGGCGAGCGAATGTGGAGCCAGCGCAGCGGAGGCGTCACAATAGGGTCGGCGAAGAGTAGCAAGAGATGCAACTCTGCGGTGGAGATGCCAGACGCCTGCTGAGACGGAGTACACAGGCGCGTCCCGCTGTAGATTCCCCAGAAGGTTGAGGCGACGGAGAGGATGACGACGAAGACGACGAAGACGAGGGCGCAAATGGCGATGAACAGGCTGAGCGAGCCATCGAGACGTTCCGTGTGCGGATAGAGATAACATTTGGCGATTAAGCTTGCATTGTCGCGCTCAGACGTCGTCTTCGGTACAGCCATAGAGGACTTTGAGCAAGTTTCAGATGGCACAGCGAGTGTGTCGAGATGCGTCTTCCCGCAACGGTGCCAGTCTGAAAGTGCTTGTGAAGATGTGACGGGCCTTCAACTACTGCTTCGTCCGGTAAGGCTAGCGAGGATGCTATGTTCCTTCTCATGCTATTGGGTTGCATAAGACTCGGTCGTGCTCGGTCAGCTTTAATGCATGATGCATATATAATGCACGATCAGATGGCTATAACTCGACCATAAGTACTATCATGCACAAAAATGCAATGGACATACCGCTGGCAAGAGCCTGTGATCCGCAAAGACTCGTTATTTCTGGTGTCTCGCTGTCATTTCACCAAGCTGCTGAGAACTCGGAGGTCGAGCGGCTGGATGAACGTGATGGTGCTCGCGACGTAGTAGACTGCTTGGCCAGTACCACACGGGCCCGGGGTCCTATAGGCGCTTATTGAATATATGGCCACGGAGAACCGGGCGCGTCCTGCCAACTTGTGCTCAGGCTATGTCTCGGAGTCGTGTACGGTACTAACCAAGTACTGCAGCTGCAGGGCCGCACAATCAAAGGTGATGCGACAGCGAGATCTTGGAGTCTGGCGCTGCATGCTGCCATAAATGCAGCATGACATCGGACGTGGCAGCAATATTGCGCGCCGGCCAATGAGCTGCTCGTGCTCAAGCTCAGGGTCTGGCTATCGCATTCTTCGTGTGAAATAATCAGGCCAATGGCATTAGAATCCCCCTTGCCATCTATCCCACGGCACACTTGCCTCAGCTCGCTTTGCACAGTCATAGCGATACCGCCCATCCGCACCAACTCGTCCTTCATGTTCTTCTCCCACCGCCTACCGGCAGCTCCGGACGAAATTTACTCGTCTTGTCTCGCGACACTATACGAGGGCCATGCCCTCTGGTATCCAGAGCCGCACGTATCGGGCGAGCCGCAGATCGGAGACGTCGGCTTCATGCGCAACGGCGCGTTCGTCAGACTCTTCAACCTCGACACCTCTGCACCCGGGAAGAAAGTCGTATGCTGGGATCCACCGTTCAAGGTCACAGAGGACCTGCCCCGAAGCGTGTTCACGATCGATCCCAGGCGTTGTCCTCTCGTTCCCGCCCACTATCCCAGTCACGGAGTTGAGGTCAAGCAGAAAGGCGCCTCGGCGGGCATGTGAGTACGTTTACCCGCTCAATCGGTCAATTTTACTGACAGTTCTGCAGAACGGCTGGTGCCAATGTATCGGCGACTCTCAGTGCGGAGTATTCATGCAAGGCAGCCCAAGGCGCGGTGCTTGAGTTGAATAGCGAGGCGGACGCGGAATCGATATACGAGAAAGTATCCCTCAAGGAGTACATTGCCCGACACCATGACAAATGGTACGCATATGCCAAAGGTGTCCTCGACCTCGATATCGAGCGGGAGAGTATCGTCGTGGTCATCGGCTGGTTCAAGACCGAGGCCGACTGGGCGACGGTTGCATTCAGCAAGACGAGCACGAGCTCCAGCGTGTCGTTGGAGGGCCGTGTGGCCGGTGTTGCGGGGGCAGGCGTGAGCACGTCGCACTCGACTTCTATGATCGGCCCGCGGATGCGAAGACAGGGTAAGAATTACTCTGCGAACGCACCTGATACCACTGTGAGCGCACGTAATCCCTCTGCGAATGCACCCAATTACACTGCGAACACACCCGATCCCGCTGTGAACGCGCTCGATCTCGTCCCTGCAGAGCCGAAGAGAGACCAGTCGGTCTTCCTGAAGCGCCTCAAGATGAAAAAGCGGTTTGGTATACTGAAGGAAATTGTCGCCGGTGCGGGCTACCACCGGCTTCCGGGTGGGAGAGATGGGAGAGATGGCTCGGTGGCGGAAGGGATCGTGGCGCGAGAGGAAGAGGTGGGAGATATCGACGAGACGAGCATTATAGAGCTTGGTAGTGAGGTGTGGCTTCCGTTACCATGCATCGCGAGGTACACTCACTGATGAGACGTTAGGGCGAACTTCCTGATCCATTGGGTGTCCTCCTCGACTACATACTCGAGGTATGTCCGCTCAGTAGCTTATTTCATCGTGTTGCGATGCTAATTGAAACATTTGTGGCGACAGACAACCGGCGTCGAGACAGCTATTGCAAGTGATGACGATGTGTGGAGCATCGTTGTATGTATCGTGACACACAGCTGACACGGACGCAATGCTCATAGTTGGACAGGGCGGCAAGTCAGTGGTTGACTTCGCAAGTTATCTTCGTCTGGTGCAGCCTCCGGTGCAGGTCGACGGCGCGGGTGAGTCTCTCATCTACCAGCAGTAATGGTCTCTAACTAGTACGACTCTTCACATAGCCGGATCATTGTGCATGGAAGACGTTATCTCTCGGGAGCAATCACTCACATTATCTCGTCGGACCCTCACCGCGGCCGACTTGGCGGAGTGGCCAGATGCCGCCTTGGACGGTGCCGGTCAGTTGGAGGACGCGCATGTCTTCACCGGCTCCTCGAGTGCAGAGACTCGGCCTCTCAAGTTGAAACAGTTCATCTTCACCGATTCGCGAGATCCATCCAAGGATTGCGAATGCATTGGCTTGTCGGCAGATGGCAGGCTTCTCGCTGCATCGTTCCAGAGTAGCGATGTCCTCGTATGGCGAGTGTCCGACGGTCTGCTCGTTCAACGCCTACACTATCAAGGCCATACGGACGATGTTCGTGCCCTCTCCTTTTCCCCCATCGACTACACTCTTGTCTCGGGGTCTTTGGACAGGACCGCAATTGTGTGGGATGCTCGGCGTGGCCGCGTACTTCTACGTCTGGAGGGACACCGTGGACGAGTAAGCAGCATCGCATATGCTCACCATGGCGCGATCATCGCCACTGGTTCTGCAGGCGTCGACAGATCGGTGAAGATTTGGGACGCGTCGAGTGGAGCATGCCTGCATTCCTTAAGGGTTGATGAAGACACGTACAAGCTCGCATTCTCCCCAGACAGTTCATACCTCTGCGTCGAACTCAAGACGTCCTGCATCGCCTATGACATCCGCACCTATGCGAGTACAATTATGTTACAGCAGCTCGCTGGGGAAGCACTCTTCTCGTCGATGTCTTACCAAGGTGATCGCATAGTCACCTGCCCGCTTTCCGACCTGGAACAAGTGAAGATTTGGAACGCGACGACCGGCGAGGAACTTCTCACGATTGATCATCCGATGAAACTCTCACGTCCCGTGGCATTCTCCCCAGACGGGGCCGAGATGGTGGCGGCTTGTGAGGCAGACATGACAGCCGTCACCTACGACTCACGGACAGGCCGGCTACGTCATGTCTTCAAGTTGACAAAACCAGTAGATTCTGTGATGTACTCCTCAGATGGATACTATGTCGCCTTTGGTGCCAGTGGCGGCAGCCATGTCGAGCTGTACGATGCAAAATCTGGAATGTTTCTCGCAAAATTTGACGGGCGGGAAGAAGCTGGGCTCATTTTAGAAGTTCAGTTTTTATCTGGCAGTCACACACTTATAACACAATTCGAGAGGGGTCCCTTACTTCTGTGTAACGTTCAGGACGTATTGCGCATTCGATAGCATGGTATTAATGCAGCAAGGTCTGTTTAGCTCAGTGTACTATAACAGTGCAAAAAAAAGTGAAATTGTAGTGAATATAATGGGACACATGCTAGTATATGGTGCGACCATAGATCGCACGTAACGAGCGAAGGATCTGCGTGTGCGCACCGCTGCGGACGTGGAAGCACAGACAGTAGGCGTAGGACAAGATAGTTCGCAGAAGGCAATGGAATGGTTCGGCATCAAGTGTTGGTGGTCAACCGGTCAAGTGCTCGGGGACGGCCTGACATGGCTCAGGTCCCCTCCGAGAGCCAATACGTCTGTCTTGCCTGACTTCCTCCAACCTTCAGACGACGACAATGTTGAGATCCGCATTCACATCAGAAAGCAGCATGCACTGAAAGCGCTGAGGGCCCTGATTAAGCTAATCAGGGCCCCCAGGGCTCTCAGGAGCATCAGGGCGAGAGTTCGAGTCATGACCAACGCATTTTACGCAACTTCGGTTCCTTCAATCTTGGGCCAGCCAAGAGTACATCCTTAAATGCATCACATGGCCCAGAAATTTTGTCAAAAGTATGTGGCTTGAAGTTTGGCTGTGGCCGTCGATTTTTGGGCCCCATCACTGAGGGCGCTCGCAGAGCCGGCTGACGCTGGACAGTCTGAGGGCCCTGAGGGTCCCTGGTTAACGCTAATCAGGACGCCTCAGGGCACTTGCGGTTTTCCTGATGTGGCTTGCTCTGAGAGCGCATGGAACACCATTGACCTCTAGCAATGTGTGTGAACAGTGAATATTTTGGATAGTCGATGTCTTTTGCTAGTTCCGATTCCCCTAGAATCGGGTTATGGACTGAACCATGCATGCTCAAAAGTCACGTGACTATCGGCCATTGCACCCGAGCTTGTGCTAATGCGCTGCGCCTCTATCAGCCATTCCATCCGAGCTTGCCCTACACCGCCGTCGTGTACGTAACTGACAGTTTAGAATCAAAATGATCAAACAAACGCCTGACTGGTCTGATGCTACTCAGCGGACAGCCAGGAGTACAGGCGCGAATTCAATTTGCTAACCATCAAGTCTCTATTTGTGCCTGGCAGGCTAGCCATTTGCCTAACAGATTCCTGAACATGAGGAAACAAGTTCTTCCAACTTGCAACAGTAGCTACGAGCCCACTTCCTGCTAATAAAATATTGGAAGATTCCTGAGGGCAGTAACTAACCTTACTCACATCTTTGTTGCATTCAAAATATTTTTCTCACTGCAAACAAAGGATGTGTCCAATGAAACAACAGACTTTGCGAATGCTTCAAGCCTTTGAGGCTTTGAACTTCACTGATGCTTGGCATGCATCGGCATCCCCTTGGTGTGGTTCAAGTGCTTCTTGTCTGCCACATCTCTTCCTCTCCCATCCTCCATTCATCTTGCATATACCTTTGCTGTGTCTTCCTTAAGCTACGGTACAAATCATGTTGTGCTACATTTCAAGGAGTAGCTTCTGAGTCAGATGTTCTTTGGTTCAGCAGCACTTACACTGCTCTGATGGGTATGTCACCATATATTCTGTGGTAGTCACAGCTGACAATTATCTAGATGTGTAATCATATGTAGCTAACATGTCAGGTGATGGGTATCACTCATGTAAGCTCATAAGTCTGCTGTTGTGTTTTAAGGGCTCACACTTTTAGCTTTGTGCAGGGTATCCATGCAAGTCTCAGCAAGTCATGACAGATGTGAAGAGTGCACTAAGCATAGTGTCTGTCTGGAAGATTAGCATGTACTGTAGTGTAGTAATAGTTCCTAGAGCTTTGTATCTTTCCTAGTTTTGTCAAGAATATATTGCTTTTTATTGTCAAATATTCATGCAAATAGAGCGAAAATTCAATGGAAAATGTGTAATTTATTCAAATGAGTACTGCCGACGTATTCAAACTCTGCTGCAGAACATCTTGGGAATATGGAAAGACCAGCCTGTTACCTGATCTCGTTAGCTAACTGTTAGAGCTTGCCTAACAGTGCACTGATGTTATTTACTTATCTTTCTGACAGTTAGATAATGAGGAGATGTGCATCATGTGCTGCACAGTGAACTGTTTGGTAATGGCATACACTCGTTTATACCTCATGGCACACCGGCAGTGTAGCGCCCCAGCCTGATGTTGCGTAACCCAAGCTTGCACTAATAATGTGCCAGCTGGCATCTATGAGACTAATTCCCAAGGTACAAGCAAACTCGCTGTTCCTCACTCGAAACCCACGAGTGTCACAAGATTTAAAAGATTTATTGGTCTTCAAAGTGTATAGAACATGTGTACAAATTTTAATGCTTACAAAATTACCCCTCACCAGGCACCCGAGCTTGTGCTATTGCACCAGCCTAATGTTGCATACCAGCACCTATGAGTGTAATTCCAAGGCACAAACAAACTTCCCATTGCTCACTTGAAACCCACAAGTGTCACAAAATTTAAAGGATTTATTGCTCTTGAAGGTGCATCGAACATGTCCGTACATAATTTAATGTTTACAAATTACCCCTCACCATCTATGTTGCTGGAAAATCTTCCAGTTCCTAGGGTGCTTCTGGTCATCTGAAAGCAGCACGGCTTTGTAAGCAAAGCTTCTGGCTGTCTACTGCTCCTGGCCCACTGCACCTGAGCCTTTCAGGCCACCACTCTCCATGACATCCTATGAACCATCGCTTGCAAAACTGATTAACTTCAACAATGGCCTTGATTGGACAAGTGTAGATACCTCGGGGCTAAATGAAGGTCCAAAAATTAATTGGTGAGCAGATATCAAAATTGTGAGTGACATGATTGGAGCCTCACCATGTGAGAGAGAGCAGAATGCCACACTCATGAGAGATGGCTTGCACTGCCATATCCTTCATGTTATCGGGAATAGCATTAACAGACATGGTGCATGAGTGGTGTACTGTACTAACTGAGGTATTGTTAGCTGTTGCAGAACTAGCAGATCATAACTGGAGACCTGACGTTGTGCAAAGCAAAAGGGGAGTAAAAGGACTGTGCACTCCACTCCCAGCTTATAGGCATTGGTGGTTGCGGGCACAATCGCCCCACTGCATGGAACAAGATGAGCCACACAATGAAAGACCTCTGTTCTGATTCCCCTGAGCTCTGGTTACAGATCTGCCAGCAGTCAGCCCTAAACAGTGCATGTCGAGGTATGGTCCATTCATGCTCTTGAGCCAGCCTGTTAGCGTGTCAGCTGGGCGATCTCCACTGTGCAGAACATCACGTCGACTGTAAGTCAGTTGCTATCATTGGTACAAGTGCTTAAAATTGTTTGTAGCTGCACTACAATAAACCTGGTTCATTGGCTACTTCCAGCATGCTCTTGTCCTTGAAAGTGATGGTAACAGCTCCTGAATATGCCATTAAAATATTGACCATGTAGTGCTCTGTAAATGAACCTGCAATGAAGGGATCTAAGAATTGTGTTACTGCCTGCCATGTCTCTGAAGACTATCCAAAGCGTTGCTTGCTGCAGTTTACGGCAAGTGCAAGCTGCACCTGTTTGATGTGGGCTGCAAAAACAATGTTGAAAATTATATACCATGGTAGACTTCTGACCACATGGACAATTGCAGTAGGTGCGATGTCTCCTGCTACCATTGATGTTGCCAACATCTGAAAACAAAGCTGCCTCAAGTTCGGCAGAAGAAGCTTGAGCATGGCAAGAGTAAAACACCAATTATACAGGTGCTCTTCTGCTGTGTTGTTGACGAAGCATGGAATAGATAACATGAGAGATTGCAAGTTGATCATTTGATGCAACGGCAGCATCTTCCATAATTCTACAAGTATTGGGTGCACTTGAACATGATAGATTGAGAAGAAATCATAAGAAAGATGTCATTTGCCACTCATGGAATCGCTTCCTCACCAAAATTTCCCCTGACGTTGAAACGTTCAAGCGCACCATGCATCTTCATGGTGCTGTACTCTCCGGAAGCTGGTGTATTGCCTTTCTAGACGACAAACATGTCTTCCTCCCTGGTGATTGGGACTAGTACCTCCTGGACTATGGCTTCGACCCCTTTGTTGCCTTTCTTGTGAGGCACCTCCAAGGTGCAATCATCCTTGACACCTTTGGGTATAACACTCCTGATGAATACAGACCGTCAAACGGCATTGCTCATCTGGTGCGCATCCACACGTCCTCTGCATCCCATGACGACATCTGTAGCCGCACTTCCTCCCCCGAGCTGCCCATCACACTCTTCCACTCCACGGCTGTCATGAACCATGTCCCTGCGGACAGCTTCAATGCTGTGTGTCCTTACATGTTATTCTCTGGTGTCAGTGTCAAAGCCTCTCGCCACTTGACCACCAGCAACTTGTGTGGCCTTTGCAAGTACCATGAATGTGGATACATTCTGCTTGACGGACCTTCTGCTTCTGTCTTACCTGCTGCCAGCACCACCTGCTTAAATGACAGTTACTGCGTGCAGTCCATGCATCACTTTGGTAACCACTTCTCTCTCAGGTTCTCTTTCAAATGTGAAGGATAAGGCAGCCCTGTCTATGAACACGTGTACATAACGATCTTCACTTAACCCAGACAGCTATTTGATTGTAAGGGCGACCCCTTTATTTGGAGCTGTGTGACATCTGCGCTGCCAACCATTCTGAGGCCACAGCCATCATCGTGTTGGCCTGGACTTGGGTGAGGTGAAGAGTTCCTATTTGGCTGATACTGCGCCTGCATGCAACATCTGCTGTCTCAAGTTCAAAATCATATATATATTGAGTGCTATGATTGTCCTCAATGGCACTATGCAGGGAAATCGGCAATGGACGCTTGACGCCCATATCTACAAGTTATGGACCGAACCATGCACACTCAAAAGTCACGTGACTATCAGCCATTGCACCCGATCTGGTGCTAATGTGCCAGCCAGCGCTTATGAGTCTAATTTCCAAGGCACGAACAAATCCGCCGTTGCTCGCTCGCAACCCACGGGCATCGCAAAATTTTAAAGATTTATTGCTCTTGAAGGTGCATTGAGCATGTTCGTACATAATTTAACACTTACAAAATTACCTGTCACCAGCTATGCTGCTGGAAGGTCATCCACTCCTTGGAGTGTTTCTGGTCGTCTGAAAGTGGTATGGCTTCATAAGCAAAGCTTCCAGCCATCTACTACTCCTGTACTTCCCGTCTTTGCCACCGAGTAACATCTGTAAAGGGTACGTTCTCTCTCTCGTGCTCTACAGTTTGGCAGTATTGATGACGAGACGAGGGGCGAGCAGTTCATTTGGAGCTGTGCAACATCTGTGCTACTGACCATCCTGAAGCTACGTCAGTTATACATGTATTAATTAACTGGCTGATGTAGTATGCAGGACCAGACAGATATGTCACAGGTGCAGACCACCCAGGGAAAGGTATGACAGCGCTTGAGCGCTTGAGCCTCAGCCCAGACAAAGAGATGTGCTTTCAACATGGTGAAATCAAGATTCTGCGTGAGCATTATGACCAGCCTGTCTTTGGGTCCTCTCTGAAGACAGGCTGGTGATAATGCTCACGCAGAATCTTGATTTCACCAATGTTGGAAGCACACCTCTTTGTCCAAGTGGTCATGGACAAAGTATTCATGGCACACACTCTGGACAATTCTTAGGCTTGACATATGGAGCATGGATTTAATTTTGCATTACTCAAGTCAGTGTAACATGCCTGTCTGCACTTGTACCACCTTGCTGCAGTTTCTTATTCTGTGCATCAATGTTTAGGCAGAGGACCATGTAATGACCCTTTGTGTATGTTAATACTTACAGAACTATTGCTCTCCAGCAATGCTGCTGGAAAGTCAACCTGTTCTTGGGTGCCTTCCTGCCATCTACTGCACCCGAGCCTTGGACATTTCACAGCTGCGCGTACCTGTACCACGACCATGTATATGACTACCCACCTTTGCAACTATAACTATACAGATTTGCACTGGTCTGCATGCAACAACTGCCATCTGCAGTTCAAGATCATATTTATTCTGGGTGCTATGATTGTCCTGAATGACACTATGCAGGGGAATCAGCAATGGGCACTTGATGCCCATATTCACGAGTGACGATGTTGCCAGGACTCCGCTGTAGTACACGTGACTTTAAAAGCATCAGGTTTATCACGTGGTGGGCTATCTTGAGCACGAAAGCACGTCTCTCTGTATTGAATCTTGAATTAGAGCATAGTTTACATACAGGATACCTTCTAGACACTATTAAGCATATGCGAACAACTTTTCAACAGTGGAAAGATACCGGGTTGCTCATAGAAGCCTGTCTGAGCAATTGTATTCTCATGTGCACCAGCCATCCGAGCATAGTATTCTGCCCTCTGTGTTGCTCACACCAACAGGTTCCATTTTTAACTTGACTTAGATGTAGATATACATGGCCTGCACACAATAGCATAAAAATAAAATTTTGGGAGTGCCTGCAGCACGAGCCCAAAGCTCACTATGCCAACTGCCTGTAGTGTGCCAACTGGTGCTAGTACTGTATGGCATGACTGCGTCATTTGGATGACGAGGTGCCGCCCGCAGATGTGGATGACTGGGGCCACCAGATAGACGAGGTTCACTGGTGATACAACACTGATGAAGGCCTTGTCAATAGAACGTCAGGATGGATGCTCGAACCAGTCAGCGCTTTGTCCGATGGCCAGAGATAGGTAGTGTTTATTTAAATGCTCAGCAGCTACAAACTGTGCAAGCATACTGGGAAACCTAGTAGCAGCCAGGGCCGGAGCTCTAGTGCCAGGGTTCATCACGCTGGTGTGGTGCCCGAGTGAGGCCAGCGTCACTTGGGTGGCATTGAGACCGAGCAGCCTAGGGTAATGGGTAACTGGTGGGGAGTACGGGTATCGGACACTTAGTAGCTAGTATAGGCCTACATGTACCTCATAGTTGTACGGGCCTTTATAAACATGCAGAAAAAAAAAAAAAAAAGACTGCGTCATTTGGCGCCTCTGATAGGCGCGGCTGATGCGCTTCGGTGGACCACTGGTGCCTCGAAACGGGCCATGATTTGCCCTCAGAGCTCTCATTTACATCACAGCTCTTTCGTACGGGCGCGGGCATAGTGTTGAGACCTTAGAGTCTGGCCTCACCACGCTGCATGCTGCCATAAATTTAGTGGGACACTGGACGTAGCAGCATTAACATTGCGCTGGCTCATGAGCTGCTCGCGCTCAAGCTCAAGGTTTGACCATCCGCGTTCTTCGTGCGAAATCATCAGGCTCATGGCCCCGACCATCTATCACACAGCACACTTGCTTCGGCTCGCTTTGCAACGCCATAGCCAATCCGCACCACACCGTCCAACTCGTCTTTCATGTTCTTCTCCCGCCGTCTACCGGCAGCTCCGGACGAAATCTATTCGTCCTGTCTTGCGACTCTCTACGAGGGTCATGCTATGTGGTATCCAGAGCCGCATGTGTCGGGTGAACCGCAGATTGGAGACGTCGGCTTCATACGCAAGGGCGCATTCGTCAGACTCTTCAACCTCGACACCTCTGCACCTGAGAAGAGAGTCGCACTCTGGAATCCACCGTTCGAGGTCACAGAGGACTTGCCTCCAAGCCTGTTTATGATCGATCCTAGGCGTTGTCCTCTCGTTCCCGCCCACTATCCCAGTCATGGAGTCGAGGTGAGGCAGAGGGGTGCCTCGGTAGACATGTGAGTGCACTTGCCAGCCCGATCAATCAGTCTCGTTGACAGTCCTTCAGAACGGCTGCCATCAATGTATCTGCGACTCTGGGTGCAGAGTACACCTGCAAGGCGGCCCAAGGAGCGGTGCTTGAGTTGAATAGCGAAGCGGACGCCGAATCGATATACGAGAAGGTGTCCTTGAAGGAATACATTATCCGACATCACAACGAATGGTACGCATATGCCAAAGATGTCCTCGACCTCGATATCCAGAGAGAAAGTATTGTCGTGGTTATCGGTTGGGTCAAGACCGAAGCCGACTGGGCGACAGTTGCCTTCGGCAACACGAGCACAAGTTCCAGTGTATCGCTGGAGGGCCGTGCGGCCGGTGTTGTGGGGGCAGGTGTAGGCACGTCACGCTCTAGTTCTACGACTGGTCCGACGATGAGAAGGCAGGGTAAAGACTACTCTGCGAGTGCACCTGATTCCGCTGTGAGCACGTCCAACCCCTCTGCGAACGCATCCAATTCCTCCGCGAACGCGCTCAATCTCACCTCGAGCACACCTAACTCTTCTGCGAACGCGCCCAATCCTGCTGCGGGCGCACTCAATCCCGCTGTGAATGCGCCCGATTCCGTCTCTGCAGGGCCGAAGAGAGACCAGTCCGTCTTCCTGAAGCGCCTCAAGATGAAAAAGCGGTTTGGATTGCTGAAGGAAATTGTCGCCGGCGCGGGCTACCACCGGCTTCCGGACAGGGGAGATGGGAGAGGCGGATCGGCGGCGGAAGGGATCGCGGCGCGAGAGGGAGATGTGGAAGACATCGACGAGGCGAGCATTATAGAGCTTGGCAGTGAGGTGCGCCTTCTGTTACCATGCATCGTGAGGCATACTGACTGATGAGACGCCAGGGCGAAGTTCCTGATCCGTTAGATGTCCTTCTCAACTACATACTTGAGGTACGTCTGCTCAGTAGCTTATCTCATCATGCTGCAGTGGTAATCGAGAGATGTGTGGCGACAGACTACCGGCGTCGAGACTGCTATTGCAAGTGATGACGATGTGTGGAGCATTGTTGTATGTGTTCTGAAGCACATCTGACAAGGACAAAAGGCTTATAGTTAAACAGGGCGGCAAGTCAGTGGTCGACTTCGCAAGTTACCTTCGTCGAGTGCAACCTCCGGTGCAGGTCGATGACACGTGTGAGTCTCTCATCTACCGGCAGTAAAAGTCTCTAATTAGTACGACTCTTCGGACAGCCGGATCATTGTGCATGGAAGACGTTATCTCCCATGAGCAATCGCTCGCTTTTACTCGCCAGACCATTAATGCGGCCGACTTGGCGGAGTGGCCAGATGCCGCCTTGGTCGGTGCCGGTCGGTTGGAGGACGGGCGCGTCTTCACCGGCTCCTCGAATGCAGAGGCTCGGCCTCTTAAACTGAAGCAGCTCACCTTCACTGACTCGCGGGGTCCATCCGAGGACTGCGAATGTATCGCCTTGTCGGCAGATGGCAAGCTTCTCGCGGCATCGTTCAAAAGTAGCGACGTCCTCATATGGCGAATATCCGATGGTCTATTTGTTCAACATCTCCATCATCAGGGGCATACAGACCTTGTTAGATCCCTCTCCTTTTCCCCCATCGACTACACTCTTGTCTCAGGGTCCGATGACATGACCACAATTGTGTGGGATACTCGACGTGGCCGCGTACTTCTATGTCTGGAAGGACACCGTGGGCCAGTGCGCAGCATTGCATATGCTCCCCATGGCGCGATCATCGCCACCGGTTCTGAAGGCGACGACAGCTCGGTGAAGATTTGGGACGCGTCGAGTGGGGCATGCCTGCATTCCTTCAGCGTTGATGAATACGTGTACAAGCTCACGTTCTCTCCAGATAGCTCAAGTCTCTGTGCTGAGCTAGGCAAATCCTGCATCATCTATGACATCCACACCTTTACGAGTACTGCTACGTTACAGCATGCCGCTGGGAAAACGCTCTACTCGTCGATGTCTCGCCAAGGCGATCGAATAGTTACCTGCCCGGTTTCGGGAGACCGGAGACAAGTGAAGATCTGGAGCACGGTGACAGGCGAGGAGCTTCTCACAATTGATCATCCGAAGAAGCTCTCGTATCCGGTGGCATTCTCCCCAGACGGAGCTGAAGTGGTGGCGGCTTGTGATGCGGACACGGCAGCCGTCACCTACGACTCGCGTACGGGCCAGGTCCGTCATATCTTCAAGTTGTCGAACCTGGCAGATAGTGCGGCGTACTCCCGAGACGGGAACTATGTCGCCTTTGGCGCCGATGACCGCGGCCATGTCGAGCTGTACGATGCAAAGTCTGGAGTATTTCTCGCAAGATTTGATGGGCATAAAGAACATAGGCTCGCTTTGGATATTCAGTTTCCATCTGACAGTCACACATTCCTAGCACAATTCAGGAGTGGTCCCTTACTTCTATGTAACATTCAGGATGTATTGCGCATACGATAGTATAGTATTGGCGCAACGTCTGCTTAGTTCAGTTGTACTTTAAAATCATTCTAACTACAGTGAACATGTGGTAAATATAATGTGACGTGCGCCGGTATGGGATGCGTGCGCAGATCACACGTAACCAGCGAAAGATGTGCGTATGCGTACTGCTGCGGACGGGAAAACACAGATGGTAGGCCTGGGACAAGACCTAGTTCTCAGAGGGCAACGGAACGATACAGCACTTGAATGGGTGCACTCGAGATGCTGTGGCGCAGGATGAGCGGCATGCTGACCAGCATGTCGACGTCTTGCGTTTTCCCAGAAACGCACTATGGCTCGGCTGGAATACTGCAATATGGGCAACGCAACATGCTCACGAGACGCAAATGCGAACCGGTTCTGCGATGATAGCCATTCAAAGATCTTCATAGCAATAGAGCGCGTTTATATTTCGACTACAGAGGACTCGTTTGAAAAAGCGCGTGAATGATCCCTGGCTCAGACGAGACGCAAACAGCACCTACAAACACCACACAGAGCGCCCAGCCTTAGGTTTTAGCTGAGCATTGCAGCCGCACACCGTCCCTGCCAGCGCGACCGGCAGCTCACCCGGCCAAAGAAAAGACCGAGAAGCAGAATTTTGGGCAGTTCTTCCGCTCGCACAGTAATAGCACGCGGATACGACAAAAGGTCGGGTCACCCGCTCACCCAAGCTTCCACGTAGCGTCGGCGGTTTAAACAGAAGAGAAGAGTGCTATTGAGATGTTTTCCACACAAAGCCGCCTCAATAACGAAGGACGATGGGATAGTCTGCACAAACACAGTCTAGGCCTCACTGAATGGACGAACAAGGAGAGCCTGAAAAAACGCCGCCCAACTGAGCGCATGCCCTCATTGACCAAAGCCGCATTCGACGAGCAGCTCGGCGAGCTCTCGGGTTCGTCATCCCACGCAACGCGGAGGCGCTGAGCGAGCGGGACCGTCTTGTTCTGCAGGCCGTGTCGGATCCTTCCGTGCAAGATCCTGGCGCACTTCATCAACATCAACTATGACTCTGACATTAGCGAAATCGCACGCAGGACAGACAGGGGCCAGCTCACGTTGCGTGCCACGTTAGGGTGACCGTAGCCACCACCAAAGAACGCCGTCGTCGCGTCTTCGTTGATTTAGTTCACTGGCAGGTGGTACCCGCAAAAATGCTCGTCCAGGAAGTCGGCGATGATGCCGGGTACACGCTCAACCGACTGTTCCTGCACTGTATGCATGCCAGTGATCGTTGCCCGGCAGTGCAAAGTGCCATGGTTGGACGTACAGCTCTCTCGTCGTAGCTCATCGATGTCGCACGCCTGAGCAAGGCCGTCCTGCATCGCCCACAGCTGCTTCAGCTGCATTGTCAACTGTCCCGTCTTGACTTTGCTCTCCGGGAACGCCTTCGGTAGTGAGCCAGACCCAGCTATGCGCGCACCCATCTGAGCCACTTCGTCGGGTCATATTGGTACCACCTGATTGCATTCGGGTAGTCCATCGGGAGCTGGTGGTGGAAGTTATGATAGCTCTCGCCGACGGTGACGAGTACGGTGGTGAAGTGATCGCGCGCCGTGTGATTATCGTCGAATTGCGTCTTGCAGAGCCAGTGCGCGAGCGAGCTGACGCAGAAAATAGGCTAGGCGTAAATGAGTTCATGCATATATGCGCGCACTACAGTAGAACCACGCACACGGTGGACATACCACAGGCAGGCAGCACCCACGAAGAAGTATACACCTCTCCAGTCGCCCCAGCCAAGCCCGGCGAGCGGCGGCGGGTGGCACCAAGCCGCACCCGAGGACCAGCAAGCTATGCCACCAGTGCCGTCATCGGACGACAAATGATTTGCTCAAGTCGCTGACATACTAGGCTTATACCGTGGCTTGATGCTCATCCAGCCTACGTGGGGAGCACCAGAAGCCGATGTGCGCGTGGTACGGGTTGAGGTCGGTGTCGGTGTAGCGATGGTGGACGCGGCGATCACGGCATCACCGCTTGACGAGCCTTGGGCTGCGCCGATGCGCACCACAGCAAGGAAATGTTCTAGAGATTTTGAGGTATTGTGTCACTGACACGCCCACAGACGGTGATAGCCAGCAGTGATACCTGGGCGGCAGTTTGGCACGAGGAGACGAGTTGAACACGTGAGGGCAACGCACCGATACCTACTACAACAGACGCTCCAGGCAAGTGTCTGCAACTGCATCTTGATCGTGAAAAAGGGCATAGATGGCGACAGAGGGAGTAATGGCGAGGCTCAACCGCTGCATGTTTTTGAAGAGATTTCCAAGGGTGACCAGAGGCAGAGGCTTCTGGTTCTTGAGAGGCCAGGAGACATAGCTATTGGGAATGTCGATGCTTGCAGGTGTGTCGCTCTTCCTAACTCTGAATCCGGGCTCAGTGGCAGCAACGTCGTTCGCGTCTCGACGACGGAGGACGGAGGACATAGCGGGGGTTTCGGAGAGGGACAGGAAGGATCTATAGGAGGAGACGAGAACGAGGTAACGGGTCCTGGTGCATTTTATAATCCTACTGGTAGACGCGCCGTTACATGCAGCCTTGCGTGTCCTTGTTGGGGAGGATGGCAGGTCCAATGGCAGGCGCTTAGGCACCTACAGCAGCTCGTCCTATCTCGCCGTCAAATTCATTACTGACACGTACGTTTGCTCTCCTTCCGACAAGTCATTCTGCTCGAGGTAGCTGCAGAAAGCCGCAGTAGATGCTGAGCAGCGGACAGCGTATGCGCCCAAGTAGGGAATCGTCGGGGAGGAGTCCGGGCAGTGGGACACCCACGTGTTTATCTTATCATTCTCCGTCAAATTCGTCAAATTCATTTCTAATATGGCCTCCACCAGCACTCGTTCTTCCTTCTGTTGCAACAACACCCGGTATCAGCATGGCAAAGTTCGGTGGAAGACTAGGCGTGACATTTTCAAGACCGCGGTGCAGACGGGAGAGACGTTTTTGAACGGTGTTAGGTTGTGCTCGCTGCTCACTACTTTGAGCCATATACGAACGTGACCATGGTGCGTTGTACATCTCTGCGGGGCATAGTCCAAAACTGAGACCTCCCCAGATAAACCATCTCCGAGCGCGGTTGCCTCTCCGCCTCCATACGAAACTGGCACGTTGTATTCACGATCTCTACTTGTCCTCCGCGCCCGACTCCCGCTATTACCGCGTCGATCAAGAAGGAGGCCTCGGTGGAGTAGATCAGTACATGGCTTCTGACATTCCCGCGTTCTGTGACGTGTTTACTCAAGTCTAGTAATCCAACCCTGCCACATATGCTCTGACGCACCGTGAATAGAATCGTCTTGAGGCCGTGACTAGACGTTTCCCCTCTCATCTTACGAACGCAGTCGCTACGCCGCTGCCAAGGTCCTCCGTGCAGTGGCATCAGCGTTTGGTCGAGCCGTTGCGGTGGAAGCCGGCAAGGTTAGAGGGAGCCTGTCAGAAGACCATGCTGGGATGTACAGAGTGGGGAGTGAGAGTGAGAAAATCGCGTAAGTCACCTTGATAATCCCCGCACTGGGTGCCGAGCAAAATATTCCTCAGGTTCCGCAACGGTGAATCTAGAGAGCGAGAAACTCCGTGGCGAACGCATCGAGGTCTCGTCCAGCATATGCAGAACAGCTTCAACCACAAGGTTCGTTTAATCGCCTTCGCGCTCAAACTGTAGACGTTGACGGGTCGCGGTGTCAGATTCGCACTGCCTTCTAGTGAACAGAGGACTATGTGGGCGAGTAACTCTCATGTGCTGCAAGGAGCGCGCTCATTGTGGTGCCCTACAAGACAAAGGGGCCCCGCCGTGCTAATCTGCAACGCACCAGACGAGTGCGCTGTCGATGACGAGGTTGTAAATCTCAATGAGAGTAAGTCGCGGTCTTTGTATCTGATTTATTGCCATATTCACTGATCAGCGCAGTACAATCTCCTTATGATAACTATTGCTTTCGTTTGCCGCGGCACGCGTACAAAGGCCTACTCGAGCTCACCGGCCTCACCACGCGCTTGTACACCCTCCTCTCGGCTCTGCGCTCCTCAATTCTCTGCTGATATCTGCCGACGATGGCGACGTTGTCGCACTATCAAACACCAATGCCGGCGTCCCGGAGAACTTGGCCAGAGGCGTTCTACGCATCCTCGCCTGCAAGCTGTCGCTCTCATCGCGGACGGACGAGCACCTGACGGTCACGGGGAACAACATCGTCAGGAAGATCGCCGTCGCGGCGCGCAGGGTCATCGCGGGGCTGTGGGCTACCCAAGGCGAAAAGGACGGAGAGGCCCCGATTGCGGCACTGTGCAAGGCACTCTGGAGACAGCAGCGGACACGGGCCGTTTGGACGCGCTAGGAGATCTGTTGGCGCCCTGGAGCCCGACGGAAGAAGCAAGGAGACGGAAAGGGAGAGGGCGAAGATGGCCCCTGGTGGTACGATGGGGAGGCGTAGAAGCGGCGGCAAGCACAGCGTCGATCACATTCCTACGGGTACTCTTTCGCGTCCGAGTATCTGGGCGGGGAGGCAGATGGCAGAGCGAGCGCCAACGAAGAGCGAGCGGGAGAACGTCACGAAGGGGGAGGGCGGTCCCCACGGGAGCGAGGGCGAACATTGCTATCTTGCGCGACGGGATGTCTCACGGCACAAACTCACCTTGCACATCCTTTCAGCACTTCCGCACCGACGTCCGCACGGGCGCGCGCCGTATTTTCGGCCGCTGCAACATGGGCTCGCCGCTGGCACCTCTTCTTCCCCGACGCGCGGAGAGCTTTCGTGATTTTGCGACACTGCTGTCCGCTCTGAGCCAGTGCTGTGGAGAGCGCGCGGATTAGGAGCCTGGTGCAGCGTTCTGCAGACGAAAAGCACGCGCTCTGGTTCGACCCGCACGCCAACCCGACAGCCTGTATCCATCTCCGTGCTGCCCTCAAGGCGGGACGCACCCCTCTAGACCAGACGAATACCTGGTCTTGCTCGCTCGCTCGCCTCCGAGAGGAGTGCCGCGCGGCTAATGTCGCGAATCTACTTGGGGAGGTGCACACGTCGAAGGCGGCTGTGAAGAGCCAACCCGACGTCACCATCGGCCGTGCGCAGATAGCCGACTGGGATATGGGCGCAGGGTTGGGCGAGTTTGTGATGGTCGCTGGGATGTTGGCAGGCGAACTGGAGGACAGTTCATCTCACACTCTACATATATCTGGCTGCACGTTACCCAACTAGAGTCGCAATAAAAGCTGGATGTATTGACGGTGCTTCCCTTCGAGCCAGATCACCGGAGGCATGCCAACAGACGATTTATCTTAGCGGTAGTGCTCGCGAGACTGTAGAGTGGAAGCATATACATATGCAATTTCGTGTAGCCGATGCTAGAATACATGGTGAAAAAAGTGAACTTTTAAGGGCTCTCAATTGGATTACTCCAATGCCAAGCAAGCAGTCACGAGCGACGCGTTCGTCTAGACGCCGTTCGCGTGTGTTGAAACCCCGCTCAGGACGTGGCCCGGGTCCGAGTTGCCTGCAGCTCAGCCCGGTGCTGGCAGTCGTGTACTGACCACCGTAACAAACAGTGATAAAGCAGCGAGGCCTTGGGGTCTGGCTTGACTCATGCTGCATGGTACCACAATGTACTATGGCACCGGGTGCGACAGTGACATTGCGCGCCAGCTAATATCGAGCCGCTCAAGGTTTGGCATCCACATTCTTCGTGCGAACCCCATCACGCTAACGGCGCTGGAATTCCTCTCTTGCCATCGATCTCACAGTGGACGTACATGCCCCAGCCCCCCATAACGATCCTCCCGCCTGCACCACACCGTCCGACTCGCCCCTCATGTTCTTCCTCCGTCGTCCGCCGTCAGCTCCCGATGAAATCTACTCATCCAGTCTCGCAACACTTCACCAGGGACACGCCCTCTGGTGCCCAGAGCCCAATGAATCCGGCGAGCCGCAGATCGGAGACGTCGGCTTCGTACACAGAGGCGCATTCATCAGACTCTTCAACTTGGACTCCTCTGCGCCTGAAAAGAAAGTCACATTCTGGGACCCACCATTCGAGATCACCGAACCCTTACCTCCAGGCGCACTCAAAATCTACCGCAGGCATCGACCCCTGGTCCCTGACCACTATCGTAGTCATGGAGTTGAGGTCAAGCAGAGAGGTGGCTCGGCGGGCTTGTGAGTGGACCCGCTTACCCCATGAACCCGTCTCGTTGAATGTTTGCAGAGCAGCTGGTGGCACTGTGTCGGCGACTCTGGGCGCGGACTACACATGCAAAGCGTCCCAAGGCGCTGTTCTTGAGTTGAAGAGCGAGGCGTACGCCGAGGCAATATTCGAGAACTTGGAGCTGAAGCAGTACATCCTTCGACACCACGGCGAATGGCACAAGTATGCCAAGGGCAAACTTCACCAAGACGTCAAGCGAGGGGATATTGTCATGATCTGTGGCTGGGTCAAGACCGAAGCCGATTGGGCGGCGACTGCCTTCAGCAATACCAGCACGAATACCAGCATCTCGGTCGGAGTCCAGGCCGGTGCCGTTGCGGGAGCAAACGCGGGCGCATCGAACACAAGCTCTACGACTGGTCCGACGATGCGGAGACAGGGCGAGAACTATGCAAAGGCGTCTGGTCCTGCCGTAAAACCATCCGATACCCCTACGAACGCGTCCGAAGTCGTTGCGAATGTGCCCGGTCTCATCCTTCCAGAGCCGACGAGAGACCAGTCTGTCTTCGTCAGGCGCTACAAGGTTGAAACGCGGCTTGGAGTGCTGAAAGAAGTTGTCGCCGGTGCGGGCTATCACCGGCTTCCAGATGCAGGAGATGGGAGGGGTGACTCGGCGGCGGAAGGAATCGTCGGGCGAGAGGGAGGAACAGAAGATATCGATGAGACGAGCATTATGGAACTTGGAAACGAGGTACGTCTTCCGTTACAACGTATCATGAGGCACAAGAACTGACGAGACACCAGGGCGAGGTCCCTGATCCATTAGATGTTCTTCTACGCTACATACTCGAGGTATATCCGCTCAACAACTTATTCCATCACATCGCGACGCTAAACAAAATATGTGTGGCAACAGACGACCGACGTCGAGACAGCTATTGCGAGTGATGACGATGTCTGGAGCATTGTCGTACGTGTCATAACAAATTCGACAGGGATGGAAAGGCTGATTATTGGACAGGGCGGCAAGTCAGTGATTGATTTCGCGAGCTACCTTCGTCAGATGCAGCCTCCGGTACAGGTCGATGGCATGAGTGAGTCTCTAATCTGTCAGCAGTCACACTCTCTGACTGACACGACTGGTCACAAAGCCGGATCGCTGTGTATGGAAGATGTTATCTCTCACGATCGATCGCTCGCATTTACTCGTCGGACCATCACCAAGTCCGTCCTGGCGGAGTGGCCAGATGCTGCCTTAGACGGAGCCGGTGGCTTGGAGGATGGGCTCGTCTTCACCGGTCCCTCGAAAGCGGAGATTCGGCCTCTCAAATTGAAGCGAGCCACCTTCAGCGACCCACAAAATCCATCCGGTGGCTGCAAACATACTGCTGTTTCGGCCGATGGCACGCTCCTCGCGGCATCGTTCGAGAGTACTGACGTTCTCGTATGGCGACTATCCGACGGTCTACTCGTCCAACGTTTGCATCATCAGGGCCATCCGGGTTATGTTCAGGCCCTCTCTTTTTCTCCCGTAGACTACACTCTTGTCTCAGGGTCCAAGGACAACACCGCAATTGTGTGGGATACTCGACATGGCCGCGTACTTCTACGTCTGGAAGGATACGGCTCTGGGCCAGTGCGCAGCATTGCATATGCTCCCCACGGCACGTTCATCGCCACCGGTTCCGAAGGCGACAACAGTTCCGTGAAGATTTGGGACGCGTCGAGTGGAGCATGCCTGCATTCCTTCAGCGTCGATGAATACGTGTACAATCTCACGTTCTCTCCGGACAGTTTATGTCTCTGCGCCGAACTGAAAACGGCCTGCAACGTCTATGACATCTACTCCTATACACACACTGCTACGTTACAGCATGTTGCTGGGGAGATGCTCTTCTTGTCGATGTCCCACCAAGGCGACCGCGTAGTCACTGTCCCGGCCGACCCGGGACAAGTGAAAATTTGGAGCGCGACGGCTGGCGAGGAGCTTCTCACCATTGATCATTCAAACAAGCTCTCGAAGCCTGTGGCATTCTCCTCCGACGGGGCCGAGGTGGTGGCGGCTTGTGAGGCGGACGCGGCAGCCATCGCCTACGACTCGCGTACGGGCCAGGTCCGTCACATCTTCAAGTTGACAAAGCCGGCATATCAAGCGACGTACTCCCCAGATGGGGAGTATGTCGCCTTTGGCGCCAAGGACGGAGATCTCGAACTGTACGATGCAAAGTCTGGGACATTTCTTGCAAAGTTTGATGGGCGTGAAGGGAGTGGGACGCTTTGGGTGATGCCCTTTCTACCTGACAGTCAGACTATTCTGGCACGGTCCAAGTATGGCCCTCTATCTCTGTATAACATCCAGGATGTATTGCGTATGCGATAACGTAGTATTGTTGTAACAACGTCTGCAGTGCTCGGCTCAGCATGCTATAGCAGTGTAGAATAGTAGGGCGCGTGTGGTGAATACAGTGTGATGCTTGCCAGCATTCTATGTGGGCAAGAACTACATGTGACGAGCGAAGAGCGTGCGTGTGGGCGGAGCGTCTAGATCGAGACACGGCTCACGAAGGGACTCGGAGCAGTGGAATGGTTCAGCTTGGACGGACCTGTCGCGTAGCGTAAGCATCACACCAAGCTGTTTTACGTGCTCTTAGAGGTGTGGTGGAGGTCGAGCTTATCAGAGATGTCAGAAAGAGAATGCACCAGCTGCTTCAATTAGCAACTTGCGATGATCTCTCGACCAAGACGAGACGTAATCAGCACCACAAAGGGATCGCATCAAGCGCCTAGCCTCAGTCTGCAGTCAGGCAGGAGCTCCACTGTGTCAGCACGACCACCACTGGCAGCTTCCACAGGTAAACGATGTACCAAGGAGACAAATTTTGTACGACTATTCCACTGGCGTACGATGGTAGCGCGAGAACGGAATGAAGGGTTAGAATCCCTGCCACCCAAAGCTCCCAGACGCGGCTAAGAACACCGTCTGCCCAGACAATACAAGAATGCGACATTGCAATTTATTTCATATGACAAATATCAGCGGTGTGTCGTACGCAAAAATAGTTCTCGTACGAGAGGGTCTCACTATCGACAGGTAGCCAAAGAAATGAATGAGGGGACGACGCTCAGCCAAAAATGCCTTCGTTCTCCAACTTCGTACTCGACCAGCAGAACGGCGAGCCCCAGACCTTGGTGTATCGCGCGACCTGGAGCCTGAGCCGCCGCGCAGGGCGAGTCGTCTTGTCCTGTAGGTCGTGCTGAATGCCGCCGTGCAGGACCTCAACGCGCCTCACGGGAAGCAGCTATGGCTATAGCATCAGCGAGATTGGATGCGAGACAAGCGAGGGTTGCGCTCACGCTGTGCGCCACATTCTAATTGATCTTATACACCGCTAGAGAATGCCGTCGTCGCGTCTTCGCTGATGTACTTTGCTGGCGGGTCGCGCCCGCCTGGGTGTTAGTCCAGGAAGTCGGTAACATCGTGACGACAATTAGTGGACGCTTGGTCGCCTATTCCCGGAGAATATGTAGCTTAACAAACATTAGTTCAGAGCATGAACGCCTTGGAACTAGACCTACAGCCTTTCTAACTCGGGCCGCACTGGCACCATTTGACCGTGTTGCAGTAGTCTATCGGGAACCGATGGTGGAAGTTGCGGTAACTCTCACAGACAATGACGAGCGCGGTGGTGGTCGCGCAGCGCATGCTCGTCATCGAAGGCCGCATTGTTAAGCCGGTGCGCGAGTAAATTGACGCAGAAAGTGGACTAACAGATGGTTGAAACATGCATTAATACGATACCCCGAAGACGAAATGGCACGTACGTGGTGTACGAAGCGTAGATGGCTGCGCCTGCAAAATGAATTCGCCTGTCCGGTCGCCTTAGCCGAGCCAGATCAGTACGGTGGGAAATACTGGCAAGCCGCAGCCAAGGAGGATCCGGACACCCGACTGGCCCTGCCACCTGACAACAAAATCCTCGCTCAGATCACTGATTTCTGCGACGCACTAGACTCGAGCCGTGTTTGACGACCATCCTGCCGGCGGGGGAATATCAGAATCGCTTGTGCACGTTTTGCAGGTCAGCGTCGGTGTCGGTGTAGCGGTACAGTGCACGGTAGCCTTGGCACCACTAATTCATCGAGTCATGGACTGCGCCTGTGTTCGCGGCCGCGAAGAAGTGGCGAGGAGGTGCTCGAGAAGCTTTGAGGCATTGCGGCACAGGCCCATAGACGGCACCGTAGTAGCCGGCAGTCATGCTTGTTTGGCAGAGAGAGAAAGCGGAATGCAAGAGGGTGACGCTCCGAGACCCGCTATGAAGCAGTCGAAGACTCTCCAGGCGAATATCTGCCACTGTATCTTTAACAGTGCATAGCGGCAGTGGGAGTAATGGTGCGCGTGGATGCTGAAGCGTTGAGGCTTAGCTACTGGACGTCCTCGAAGAGACTTTCGAGCGCCATCTGACGCGAGGGCTTCTTGCTTTTGGGTGTAGGCGGCATGGATGTCAGGAACATTGCCGCCTACAGGATCCTTCAAGTTGACCTTGAGCCTCGGAGCCCGGGCCTAGTGACAACGACGCCGTTTGCATCTCGACGGCGTAGAATATGGCTGAGAGGTGCTGGAACTAGACCGGGATGGAAGAAGATGGGGATAAATGGACATCGCAGCCGATAGCGAACAGCGGGCGCCGGGCACTGTGCAGCGCGGGTGGGCGCATCTCCACGTGGCTCCTGACGCTTCTCCAAATTGGGACACATGTCTTTTTGTCCTAGTACTACAATAGTGCCTCAAAGCCTCAAGTATCACGGCCGCGGGCATGGATGAAGACGTCTAAGATATGGCCAAGAGGTGGTACTCGGGCCCAGTCACCGTGCTCATCCTTGCTACACACACACAGACCTTAACCGCATAATACGCGCACAAGGGCTGTCGCTTGGTCCTGCACATCGTCGTCGGGCTCGGCTGGGTAGATTGGAAGGGCAGTGTCTCACCTACGTCCTTGATCATGCATGTCCTTCGTGCGCATATATGCATATACCAACGTACGCACAGTCCACTCTCTGCGCCAACTCGCTCGTACACTGGCTCGGCGAGACGCCCTTCGTTGACGAACGCACACCATGCGACCGCTTCATCGCCACGCCCGTCGGTGCCTGCGAGGGCGCTATGTGACAGCTTCAGCCACTAGTACTTCAGTTCCTAATGTACTACTGAAATGCAATCAGGCGCTTTCAATATGAGCTGATGAAATTGTTCATCTACGCGCAGTAAAGCCTGGCGAGCCACCTCATGCTGTTCCCCCAAATGAGGTGAAGACGGGCAGGCCAATCATACAACTCAAGAGGCCATGGAGAGGCAGAATTACCCTGCGCGGGCACTCGCCAACGTGCAGGAGCCGCTAGTGCTCAGCTGGGAGAGCTGTACGCCCCAACCTTAAATGTTCTCTGTTATTCAACGACGTTTGCTGACCTGTCTATAGCTCAAGAACAAGCCGTCTAACGTCCTCCAGTTTTTGTCATCAGCTTCATCTGCGACATCGCCAACTTCCTTGACGAGCAACCCGGCGGGCGCCATCTGCTGGTGAAGTACGTCGGCGAGGACGCAGCGACTGCATTTTTTGCCGGTGTCTACGACCACACAAACACTGTGCGAAACGTGAGCGTAACTCCCGCATATCTCACATTTATTTTTGCTGACGTCGCACGCGTTATTACTGTCGACGACGCGCGCTGGGGTCATACATGGCGGCATCCAGCACGGCCTGCGGAACAAAACCGTCCTGCTCGCGCAGCGCCTCCACGTTCCGCTATACAACGAGTTCGAGGAATCGCGGTACTTTTAGTTGAGCGTGGTGTCAGGTAACGAGCGCATGCTCGGCTGGGCACCGTCACATCGCTCTGTTAGTGGTCGTGGAGGCGGCTACATGCTCAAATCAATAGCGTTTATAGCTGGATATAGGAGTATCGGGTGGTAGGCATCCTGAACTTTTGTTTCATTCCAGTGCTACCTCTGTATGCTAGCGGATGAGCCGCCCAAAATTTATATCCCCGGGTCATCGCTTGCCTGTGGAAGCTGGTGGTCATAATCACAATGTGTTTTTCCTACCCAACTGCAGACCAAGGTCGAGTGCTTTGTGCGGTCTCTGTGTGATGTTGTTCACGTCTCGTTTGAGCTAGGGTCATCATAAGTCGCTACGCAGCTGCTGCTTTCTCTTTCTGGCATCTCAGATAAACCCGTCCCAATCGTCATCCACGGACAGAGCCTGAACCGCCAGACGACGCATCAATGCTAACGGAAACTCTAACAGCTATCCCCGGGTGCACTCGCATCGCGTGAGTACGTCGAAACTACGTTATGATATTTCAGCTGAGCATTATATTTCTGAGAACACAAAAAGAGTCGACACATAGCTCGGCGCGCCGCTTACTACACTACGCGACAGCACCTCCAAACGTTCGTCTGTGTCCTGAATCCCTCCATTGCGCTTCGCGAAATGTGCGCCATTCTGGGCCCGCCACCTGTGTTTTAGTGCTTCCTGTACATAAGTACACTGTCTGTTCGTTACAAATGAAAATGCTGTGTTTAGCGCATGTTCTCTACTGCCCGCACTGCTATAGTACCATGAGCCGGGCAAGTATTGTTACACTCATACTACGCTATCGCATTCGCAACACATCTTGAACATTATATAGATGTAAAGGTCCATACCCAGACCGTGCTAGAAGAATTTGGCTATCAGGAGAAAACCGAATATCGCTAATAATCCAACCCTCTTCCCGCCCATCAAACATTGCGAGAAATGCTCCAGACTTCGCATTGTACAGTTCGACATCGGTGCCATTTCTAGTACTAAAGACGACATACTCTCCATCTGGGGAGTACGCCACACGGTCTACCGGCGTTTCGAACTTGAAGATACGACATAGCTGGCCTGTCCGTGAATTATAGGTGACGGCTGCCGCGTCCGAGCCCGTGCCGCAAGTTGCCACTACCTCGGCCCCATCTGGGGAAAACGCCACAGGCATCGATAGCTTCGTTGAATGTTCAATCGCAAGAAGCTCTTTGCCAGTCGCCGCACTCCAAATCTTCACTTGTCCCGGGTGGTCCGAATGCGGGACGGTGATTATGCGATCGCCTTGATGAGAGATTAGCGAGTGGTGCCACTTTCCGGCAACGTGCTGCAACGTAGCAGTGCGCGTATAAGTGTGAGTGTCATAAATGATGCAGGACCCGGCTAGTTCGGCGCAGAGAAATGAGCTGTCCGGGGTGAACGCGAGCTTGTACATGCTGTTGTCATTGCCGAAGAAATGCAGGCATGCTCCACTCGACGCGTCCCAGACCTTCACGCACCCGTCGTCGCGAGTACCGGTGGCGATGAGTGCGCCATGGGGAGCATATGCAATGCTGTGCACTGGACCACCGTGTTCTTCCAGACGTAGAAGTACACGGCCACTTCGAGTATCCCACACAATCGCCGACCCGTCCAAGGACCCGGAGGCTAGGGTGTAGGAGTCAATGGGAGAAAAGGAGAGGACAGCAACCCAGCCCGTATGGCCCTGGCAATGTAGACGCTGAACGAGTAGACCGTCGGATAATCGCCATACGAGGACGTCGTTACTGTTGAACGATGCCGCAAGAAGCTTGCCATCTTCGGACAAAGCGAAGAATTTGCAATAATGGGGTGAACTGCGCGGATCACTGAAGGTGATCCGCTTCAATTTGAGGGGTTGAGCTTCTGTTCTCGAGGAGCCGGTGAAAACGCGCCCTTCCCTCAAGTGACCGGCGCCGTCTATGGCGGCGCCCGGCCACTTCGTCAGATCCGACGCAGTGATAGTTCGACGAGTAAATCTGAGTGTTTTCTCGTGGGAGATAGCATCTTCCATGCATATCGATCCGACTGTGTAGGAAATTGCGCCAGTTAGAGACCGTTGCTACTTACAGGTTAGAGTTAGAAGCTCACCCGTGCCAACAATCTGTACCGGAGGCCGAACTTGACGAAGGTGGGTTGCGAAATCAATAACCGGCTTGCCGCCCTGACCAATAATGAGCCCTTCACCCTTGTCAAATGCATTTCATCGCACGTACTGCGATACTCCACACATCATCATCGCTCGCGATGACAGTCTCGACGTTGGCGGTCTGTTGTCACGAATTTCCTGCTTAGCGTTGCGACGCGATGAAATGAATTGCTGAGCAGATGTACCTCAAGTATATAGTCGAGAAGGACATCCAGTGGATCATAAATCTCGCCCTGGGTGTATCCTCAGTCGCCGTGCTTTGTGATGCAGCATAACGAAACACCCACCTCATTCTCGAGGTCCAGAATTTCCGTCTTGTTGGTATTCTCCACCTCGTCCGCCAGGATTCCCTCCTCCGTCGAGCCATTCCTCTCATCTCCTGGATCAGGAAGCCGATCAGGGCCCGCGCCTGCAACAATTCTCCTTAAGACTCCAAGCCACTTCCGCACCATGTACCGCTTCACGAGGACAGATTGATCCCTCTTCGGCACTGCAGAAGCGGGACTGGGAGCATTCGCAACGTGGTTCTCACCCTGTCGTTGCATCATCGGACCAGTCACAGAGGTCGTGTGCGACGTGCCCATGCTCAGCCCCGTAACACCAGCAGCGTGGCCTTCGACCGAGACGCTAGAACTCGTGCTAGTGTTGCTGAAGGCAGCGGCCGCCCAGTCGGCCTCGGTCTTGACCCAGCCGATAATCATGATAATATCCTCTCGCTTGACATCTTGGCGGAGAATTCCCCTGGCATATGCGTACCATTCGTCATGGTGGCGGAGAATGTACTCTTTCAGGGTCAAGTTGTCGAAGATCGATTCGGCGTCTGCCTCGCTCTTCAGCGCAAGCACCGCGCCTTGGGCCGCCTTGCATGTGTACTCTGCGCTCAGTGTCACGGATGCATTCGCACCAGCCGATCTGCGGGCCGTCAGCGAAATGGAGCTTGTCGGGTGAGCAGGTACACACACATGTCTGCTGAGGCATTTGATTGCCTGCTCTCGACTCCATGGCTGCGATAGTGAGCAGGAACGAGTGGACGACGCCTGGGGTCGATTTTGAGCACACCTGGGGGTAGTGGCTCAGCGGTCTTGAACGTAGGGTCCCAGAATACGACCTTCTTCTTCTGAGGTGCAGAAGGGTCAAGGCCCTCAAGGTTGAAGAGTCGGATGAATGCCCCCTTGCGTATGAAGCCAACGTCGCCGATCTGCGGCTCGCCTGACGCGTGGGGCTCCGGATACCAGAGGGCGTGGCCCTCGTGTAGCGTCGACAGACAAGATGAATAGATTTTATCTGGAGCGGAAGGTGGACGGCGGAGGAAGAACATGAATGTCGAGTTGGAATTGGACAGTGCGTTTTGAACGGTAGAGCAGCTATGGTGATCCCAAGCTAGCTGGAGGAGTCAAAACGCATGCTGTGGGATCGATATCGGCTGAGCATTCCAGCGCCATTAGCCTGACTATTTCGCACGAAGAATGCGGATGCCAAACCTTAATCAGCTCAATATTAGCCAGCGTGCAATGCCATTGTCACGTCCGGAGTCGCACTACATTACTGTAGCATACAGCGCAGACAATCCCAGACTCCAAAGTGCTGCTGTAACATAAGTTATTGCCTTTCTCTGCGGTGGCAAGTACACGACCGTAGTAGCACCGAGACACAGCTTGAGCACAAGCTTGGACTCACCGTAGAGTGTCCGTCGAACGTGGCATGTGAATGTGAAGGTTCAATCGACTGCCATACAGATCTGCCCATCTGGAGGGACGTTGTGGAGCATTTCCCTCCGAGTCTTGCTCGGAAGCAACATCATCACTACTGCTCACATCAATAATGAAACAAGGCTGGTGTGCCTAATATCGTTGTCGGCTAGCTCTGTGTCGCAAGCTAGGGAAACGTGCAAAGCACCTAGTAGCACCGCGAGATCTCTATCGTCCCCTGCGTAAGTTTTCCATAACTTCGACGGTCGTGGGAGACACTTGAGGCTAATCATCCAGCGGGTTTATCCCACTCTTCAAACCCCGCCCGCGTGCCTTAATTGCCACACCCTCCCGACGGCGGGCCGCGGAACCGCGGCCATCCCAAGTATCGTTTAAAATAACGAAGTGAATGGCCAATACAAAGTATTTGTTATCTCCATAAGGCTTTCTTATTTATGCGATGGCTTCTGAATGGGCGTCTAAACAAACTGCCAAGCACCAAGCGCCGAGGTTAATACTGTAGCCGTGGCAGAGCTAACATACAGTGCGAAAGGATCAGACACGTTTAACTGCAGTTCTATGAGTACATGCAAGGAGCACATATGCTAACAAAATGCGTGCCGTTACTAGCCAGGACACCATCAAGTAGCTACTGGCATAGTCCGCCGGTTCTCATGCGTCTCAACCTCTCGCGCGAGCTTTATTGCAGCATTCAACCTGGTTATCGCATTTTACACTCAGCAGGCATTGAAATCATCTTTGTGCACGTCTACAGCCTATGTAATTTGGCTCGAAACCCCCTCACACTGTACATGTTCGAGCATTCGACTTTCCGAGTCCTACAAAATGAAGCGCCGGCATCAGCGCTTACCGGCAAGTTACAGAGCTTATAGGATGTAAGAGAGCACCACTTATGTAAGGTAAGTAGCAGTTTCTGTTTGACTTATAATCTCTCCTATTGAGCTCTGAGTCCAGCATGCTTACGAGCGGACATCCTGGGGCGTGGCGCCTAAAGCACGCGAGCGGAGTTTGCAAAGTGGGACAAACCCGCTTTCAAGCCATGCACAACCCGCCGATATCCTCATCATAGGTGCTTGCTTGCTCTTCATCTGCCGTGAGTGCTACTCCGATCTGCAGGCATTTTGCTGCAGCGATCGAAAGCCAGGTTGAACTTGACCGGTACCGCTTAACCTGTCGTACGTCCGTACCAGTTCCGTGCAGGTTCTATGTGCAGCGCGGGTTCGGCTCAACATTCCGACGGACTGTACCAAAGCATATCTCTACACAGCTGCACGGATGAGACTGTGGAGCTCAAGATCTGGCAAATTTTGGGATCCGGACTATCGTGATCTTTGAGGCTTGGTTTTCGTCTGAGATTCGTACGACCGAAATCATGATTTTGTGCAATGCGAAATCCGCCCCGATCCGAGATCTCCCCGCAACAGAATGGCGCCCACAGAGCCTCAGAGCTCACGTTCGTTCGTGTTCGATACATAAAAGTGCACATTGAATGACGGGAGACTACAATAGAACATATGTATAACCTAGGCTGCAGGATATTGAGCCATGGCGGATGCTGGAGCAGCAGGCTGCGGGATGGAGAATGGTCTATCATCAAGCTCACTGGTCCGGGCAGTTCAGCAAGGCCGGCCGGTATATGCGGGCGGAGCGGTTGACATGGGCATGATGCATTCAGCAAGCTCAACAAGGTGTATGATGTGCCAAAGGTGTTGCGTAGAGGCAGAACCGAAACACGATTGGTGGGCCGATCATACTCGGGGGGTGATGAAGGAGGCAAGGGTGGATTTGCGCGGTTTCGACATAAAGACGCGTTCGATACACTCAGGATACTGGCGGGCATGGACGTAGGTTGAAATCAACACAGCTGTCAAGCTCGCGTACACATGTGCTCGCGTCGTGGTGAAGAGCCTCTGAAGTGACATGCCTAGTTCCCCACAGTTCAGTGCTGCGAGCACAAAAACTCATTTGCACAAGTCTTAGGCGCAGAATTTCTGACGGGCGGACTCACGATTCTTGGGTGTAGAGAATATGGTCAGATTCTCGGATGCGGAGTATCCTTGAGACTTGTATGACA